AGAAATAGTCAGACCGCTCCCGATCGCGATCTGGCCGGGTTTGCATGGATGACGTCTGCGGAGACTCTGAGATTACCTTGAAGTTAATAATCTGAGAGTAAAAGGCCAAAATAATCTTGATGCCTCCAAGCGACAGGTTGAGCAGTCGCTTCGTCTCCTCGCTGGTGGTGTCGTCCATCTGCTTCAAGGTAAGCTTGAGCGCCGATTGGTAGAATTGGTTGAGAATGTTCGCTAGAACATCGAATCCACCTAGGTTGCGGAAAGATACGAGTAGCAGCGTCAAAGCTTGTGATCGATCAAGGTTTGGCTCAACGATGAGCTGCGACAAGGATGTCAGGATGACAATCCAGTACGCATACCGGTCTTCAATGATCTCCGATTCTTTCGGACCCTCGTATTCGAGCTGATCGATGACGGCCTGAGCAAGTTGGTCTGACACAACAGTAGCACATTGCCTCTGGTAAGCCTCCAAGCTGCGGCGGAACAAGAGGAGTTTACCAAGCGACTGGAAGAACGGTGCAACCTCGGTAGGTATTCTGCTAAGCAGATTGCGGAGAGTCTGCGTGTTCTTGAACTGCGCACTATTCTGGCTCGCGACAGGGTTCTCTGAGGTCGAGCCAGGAGCAGCAGCGTCACCGTTGCTTGGCGATTCGGTAGCACTGTTTCCAATTCGGAACACATTATCGGCTTCGTCGTTTCCGAAGCCTGAGCTAGTGATACGGGTCTCCTTCTCCCATTCTGTAGGCATGTTACGCTGTAGTAACAACTCCTCCCATACACAGCTTCGATGTAATCTTCCGAGGCTATCCACGAGACGTGCATACATATCGGCGAGATTGACTTGGCTAGACACATTGTGCGAAGAGCGGGTAGTATACATCTGGCTCTGGAATGTTAAGGTCATAGCTCCGACGAGAGTATGGGCAGAAACTAGGGCTTTGACGTATTGTGTGCCTCGTTGCAAATTCTCAGTGTTCTGGGAAGTGCCAGAACTGGTAAAAGGTGCGAAGAAAGCCTGCTTGCCGGTGTGGTCGAGGAGAGGCTGCAAGTGCTCCAAGGCTGCTTGTGTACGTTTGATCAGAGATGGCACTGCGATATGCGGCTTCTGCTCGACGAGTACTTGGACAACATGGCCGAATTGCTCACACATGCTGCGGTACTCACTTGCCTTTGGATCTAAGCAGGCAAGGCTTGAGATGTCAAGAATCTTGTCTACACCATCGAGCTCGACGTACGCAGCGCACATGGCGTGATTTGAGAAGAATCCAGAGAGGAAGCGGCACAGAACGCGGATGTATTGACCGGTAGTAGGGCCCTTGGTGCTGTCTTCGGTCTCAGTGATTTGGTCGTAAGCGACTGGTTCGTTAGCAGTGTCATCAGCATCCTTCATCTCCACGTCGGTAGCTGTAGATTCCGAAGCTTGGGCTGTGCTCTGCTGAGAGCGTGGCCCAGAAAGGGCTTGGCGGCCGCCAGCGACGGTCAGCTTACCAGCGGCGTCCTCGGACCAAAGCTTAGCTCCTACACCTTCCTTGTCGGCCTTCTCGGCGCAAAGTTGAACCACGCGCGCTATCAATTCGCTGAGACATGAAAGAACACGTGCCTTCAGAGGTGGGTGATGGCGCACCAGCTCATCGAAAGAGTTTCCGATCAAGGTAGGCATCTCGGTATCAGCATCAAGTGCTTTTATATGGGCTGGACTCTCGAAAATCTCAAAGAATCGCTCAAGTGCGATTGATGACTGAAATAACTTCATACCAGCCTCAGCTAAGCAGATGCCGTCGAAGGCCGGTGGTAAAGTAGAAATGGCTTCGGCGACAGGCAAGATACCCTCCGCAAGTGACTTTCCAGCTTCTCGTGGAGGATATGTCGATGGTGTTGAAGCACTCACATCAGCGTTGGCTGCAGCGATTGCTTCTGAAGCGGGCTCTCCAGCCACAGTCTCCAGAAACGCATCGCTAAGACCCGCCTCGGCGATGACTTGATAGCTAGTGGGCTCATTGTTGATGAAGCTGGTGAGGATTGTGACAGCCATACTCCAGACAGTTGAGCCAAACGTCTTGGCATTGGATAGCACAGTGCGCAAGCTGCTGAGCAGCTGTTGCGAGTCAAGCAAGTTTCGCATCAGGCGATCGAAATTTCCGCCTGTATGCGACATCATATGGTTGAGGAACTTGAAAAGCCAGCGTAGACTCTGCTGGTGGTAGAACGGAATTTGATAATCAGTAAGCTGCGTCTTGTACTCCTTGGGCATGCCCTTGTCCTCTTCTGCGAGCTTCTTAGAAGTGTCGACCTCGTATTGCATCAGATCAGCGATGATTTCAAGTCCCTTCGCGGCTACAAGGGCTGAGAAGGCGTCGCGCAGGTTATAGACGAATGTGTCAAGGAAGTTGAGAATCTTAGGGTGGTTGCGTTCTGCCTTAGCGGTACGCAGCTTGAGGACATCGACTAGAATCTCCAGAAGACCAGCGGCCACCATCTGCTCACCAGTGCGCGTTTGAGAAGTAGGTAGAGTGTTCAGAAGAGAGAACAAAGCATCGCGCCACTCATCTTCTTCGACATCATCAGGGTTACCTGTCTCTTCGCCAAGTCCAGCGACGAGCTTGCGCACAACGTAGAAAAGTACACCATGGTTAACGTTGACGCTGAGGGCGGTACAAACATCAAGCGCTTTCGACTTGTGCTTTGCGAGCGCCTCAAGAGCGCTCATGGTGTAAGTCTGCAATTCTGTCGAGATTCCAGTCTCACCGTTGCCTGGCGGATGGACCAGCTCAGAGAGCTGGTAGGCAAGTTGTAACCGGCGTGGCTCATCTGCATCCTGCTGACCCAGCTTTGCCATGAACTCCTTCTCGACATGTACGTAGCCAATGTTTGCGATGGATAGAAGACGGATGGCGACTGCACTGTCGCGCCCTGCGTGTCCCTCGTGAAACATCTTCGCGGTGCGAAGCTTGTGGAGGAATTCGTAGTGGGCTGTTTCCGGTAGACGTGCGAGTCCTTCCTTAATAAGGTCGTGGATGTCGGTCTTGACCACCTTCTCGGCTGACAGCTCGAAAGTCTTGGGCCCATTCGTTGTACTACTGGGTTGTCCGGGTGTGAAGACTGGCGTGCTCGGTGAATCGGTAGCGGGCGGAGGCTGAGGCTGTCGCGGTGTTCGGTTGGGGTTCATGCTTGACGTCCTTCGCACTGGAGTCGGTGTTGTGGGTGCGGGTGTGTCTATGGAAGCCGGTTTGCTGCTCTCTGCTTCGGACGAGGGAGTGGGTTCATAGTACGAGATGAGGACGCCTCCGAACTCCTGCTTCATCGATGCTTCGGACATGGAGTACATGGCAACGAGATCAGATGGACTAATCTTATCAGTGCTGCCAGCGCGCTCCTTGCCTTTGCCTGCCGGTGTGCCGAACACTGGTACTGCTGTGGCGGGGCCTTTTGCGAATGGGCTGGCCAGCTTCTGGACCTTGTCGAGATTGATGTTGTAGTGGCTGGAGAGAAGAGATGGGTGGAGGGTGGCCGGAGCCAGGCGCATGCGTGCGGCGGCGTAGCGCTGAGCGAGTCGATGACCTAGACGAAGCGTAGCTTTGAGAAGAGATGTGGAAGTCGTGTTTAGTAGCTTGTCCAAGCGCTCGCTGCTAGAGTACAGACTACGATTGCCGCAGTTCTCCAAGAGCATGCGCGTGAAGTTGAGGATCTGCTCGATCAGCTCGCGATCGCCATCCTGTGATACGTGCAGGGTATCCAGGACAGCATCGGTTGTGGTCTGCTCCGAGCTGGTGTTTCCTTCCTCGACATCGCCCTTGAGCAGTAGTCGGCGCTGGAAGGACTGCGTCTGCGGTCCATCTGCCAGGCCATACTCCTTATTGAACAGCTCGAGGATGTGGTCGAAGCGGTTGAGGGCGGGGATCCAGTGATATGCGTCACCGCGGGGAAAGGGCCAGTGCCTAGGGAAGGAGGCGAGATGTGCGGGCAGCTGGAATAGCGGTATTGACTCGGTTGCCTTGACGAAGTCTGCTATCATCGGCGACTGCGGTGGTTTGTTAGTAGTGGCGAGACATGGCAAAGGATGCTCAACTTACCAGAGTCGACTCATGTCGCGATGTAGCCTGTTTCTTGATCTTCATGTTTGCGCCGGGCGCTCGGAAGGCGAAACTTGCTCACATGCAAGCTCTATGAAGCTGGTCTCTAGTGAGTAGCAGTTGTGTGCAGGTAGTCGAGTGACACGGCGAGAGATGCGTGACGCGGGAGGCTGTCTAGAGGTAGGCTGCGACTGCCTTTACCGGAAGCGCAGAAACCCAAGGTGGCTACGTTTTAGTGGAGCGAAAAGCGGGGTCTTGATGATGTATGTTGGCGTCGTATCCACACACAAAAGCGGTCGTAGCGAGATGTAGGTAATGCTTGTGAGCGGGCGGGTTGGCGGAGAAGAGGCGTAGGTGGGTAGGTCGCTGTTAGATACCACGGTGCAGGCGCGGATCTGGGACAGCTAGTTGGTCGCTTCTTGGCGGAATGCAAGTGCCAAAGGCTGGTTAGCGGCAGCCTCTATATCGGTGGTAGAGCGGGTGGGTGAGGTGTAGTTGTTGTGGGAGCTGTAGCTGTGAGCACTGCAAGTCGCAGTTTCCGCAATGATGGAGACATGGTCCGTGCCCGCTGATCCGAGCTTAGAGCGTCACGAAAGCGACGCGCTGTCGTCAGTGACTCTTCGGACGATATGACGATCATGAATGCGCTGGGGCGGGCTACGACATTCACGGGACGATAACACTATCTCCTTGTACCATCAAGCATGAGCTTAGCTAGCGGATATCCAAGGATATCACGACCAAGCACTTGCACCACCAGAAAGCATTACATCCACGACACAGAGACGGTAGGTGAAATGGTATTATATATTACTCGATATCAAATCATAAGTCACAAGAAAAGCCTCGGCAAGACTGCCAGTACAACAGCTCGATCATCCACCACAGGTCAGCAAAACACAACGATACCTCCCAAGCCTACCTGCGAAACCACCCACTCGTCCCACTCGCATTCTCTTCCCTCCTCTCCCCACCCCCATTCCTCCTATCCTCTGCCTTCCCATCATCAACCAACCTGACAGTCTCCTCCAGCACCAACAGGTCCCTCTCAATCATCTCCGCCCAATTCTGAATATCCCCCACCTCATTCAACTTCTTTGTGCCCCCTTGTAGCAACTTATCCCACTCGGCCGTTTGTTTCGCGAGCGCCGCCGTCTGCTTCGCCAGCTCCTTTTCTTGCTTGGATATAGCAGCCGAATTGGCGTGTAGGTCCGCTGTTCGCGTGCGCATTTCATTGTCAACGCTGGCGCCGACGGAGAGCAGGGATGCGGTTACGGCGGCGCGGGCCTCGTTTTGGCGACGAGCAGCTTCTTCTGGAGATGGAGGTGGGGAAGAAGGCATATTGGTGGTGTTGACATTCACGGAGTGGGTAGATAGCGTAGGCTTGTTGAGGAGTGGTAAAGTAAGTTGTCTTGATGTGCTGAACGTAAAATGGTTTGTATGCTCTGTTGGTTAGAACAGCTACCTGCCCAGCGAATGACGATCCGCGAACTACTGCGTAACTCCACCGTAGTAAGACTGCCTAGTCTCGCTCAAATCATTCCTCATACTGTGAAACGTAGTGTAACATGTTGATTGGTGACTCGGTCGTCTACCGGGTGGTTCCAAAGGCCGCTTCCAGCTCACTGCGTGATGGTGTAACGGGGCTCGATGTGAATGGGTGAAGAAAGTATTCAATATATGGTCATGCCTTGTGCAACGGCAGTTCCCTACTCTACTCCATCTCTGACACGTGTACAAGGCTAGCAGGCACGTTGTGCGGCGTGACCACGGAAACTTACGACTGGACAGCGGGGTAGCAGCGAGCAGCAGCAGCTTGGTTTGATAGAGTATTAGGCATTGGCTCCTGATACCGCGGTTTTTTCTGTCTGCATGAGTATGGACGGAGACGTTTGCTGCTGACGTGCTTTCCTATTTGCAGTGTTAAATGTATTGGGCGTTAGTCGTTGTACTCCTGATGCTTAAGGGAGAACGGCGAGCGGGGGTTAGACAACAGTCCGGGGAAACGTGCTGTAAGCTTCATGAAATAGACACGCATATCCTCTCTGTTGTGCATTAAGCCTGGAAGAAGCTATCTGCCTATGATAGACGCCCAAAGTTGCTGCGGCGATTCATCCAAGGCGGGGTGGGGTGCCTACTGTGGGGCCTGATCGGGGAAGCGCAGCGCAGTCGATGGGGGTACAATCAACACCTTTTCAGTAGTTGCCAATTCAGGAAATAGTCAAGTTGAGGCAAGTTTAACCGAAGCCCTTAGAGAAATAGACTCGTCATTACAATTTTGTCCTTCAGGCTCTTCATCGTCGGACAAGTCCTTTGCGCTTTCCGTGGACTAGGTTCCTTGCCGCCGTGAAAACTCAAGAACAAAAATCACTTATTAATGAAACGCACGATGCACGAGGTACGTATTGGGCCCAATTCGATAGATTCGTAAGATGTAAAACACGTAACCAAAGAGTGTGAAAGAGAGTAAAGAAAAAAAGGTCATGAGATTCCCACGCGACCGGATAAGAACAAAGTGATCCAGCCACACAAGTATCCAGATATCGCACCCAAACCGAAAGACTCGACTTATGCCGCAATCTCCTTAGCAACACGCTTGACAACATCCTCAACAGCGGCAGCTGCCTTCTCAGCCTCGCGCTTCGTATTCCTAGCCTTGATCTTTGCCTGCGCACCCTTGATCTGCTGGACCAAGAATTCAACACCCTCGTTCGCCCTAACACCGTATGTCAAGTGAGCAGGCAAGACGCTCAGCGTACCCAGGCAGACGGCGTCACCAGGCTGGCAGATGATCTTGACCTTCTCCTTGGGGAAGTTGGGGATTTGGTCGCGGTCCTGAAGCTTCTGTGTGTCACCGTAGGTAACAACGCCAGCGATTTGGTCCATGACAGCAGCGTCGAGCTCCTCGATAGCGCGGTGGTTGACAGCAGCACCTTGACTGTAGCCCGAGGATACGATAACGGAGTCTGGGCACTTCTGGGCCATGCTGTTGAGAGTGTCCTTGAGGAGGTTCTTGGAGCGTGTGTCGGTGCCGCCGGGGAGGACATTGGTGCCGATTGAGGCGGCATAGGGAATGCCTTCAGTGGCGACTGCATCTTGACCGAACTCTTTCTTGAGGCCGTCAGAGGTAGGAGGGCCGACTACGGTTCCCATGTTGCCGATCTCGGTGGAGCCACGGGCGAATGCGAAGAGAATATCTCTGCATCCACCTCGGCTGAACTCACTCGAGCTGGAACCGGTGCCACCGAAGAGCTGGCGGCTTTCCAGAGGGGCGGTAGCGGCAAAGCCAGCAAGGGCAGCAACGAGGATGGATTGGGCGTGCATGGTGTTGTTTGTTGAAAGTGTGGTGTAAAGTGTGGTGGAAAGTATGTCTGATATTGACAATAATGTGAAGAAGAAGCGAAGAAGATAGTAGCGAATGTAAGCACCGGGCCTGTAGTGTTGGTGACAGTGTTGACTGATGATTTTCAACTGAGGCTGGCGTCCTACCTTCTTATAATCCTATGTCGTTCGGCCAGACTTGGAACCAAGCTCGTCTAGCCATGACGATGATCAGGTATGCGAGCAAGGGCATTGCCCAAGGCGTTGCCAAGGTATCATTGGACTCATTGATCAAGCGGAAACAACCGCCAACTGAGAGAGCAGCCGAGGAAGGTATTCGTCAACTAGAGATACGATTGGCCCATTCCGTGTCAATGTATTGCCAGGAGGGAAGTCCAGTGTCATGGAACTGCTACCAAGCGATGCCAAGTTGGTTGCGTTCTCCGAGAGGCATGGTGGAGATGGGGTATGGAGGGATAGTAGTCCATCGTTGAGCCTCTGCGCCCCAAACAACGTACGGAATTAGCCACTTAGGACCTGAAGGTGATCCGACTACCGAAAAAACACTCTCACCGTCAATGCGCTTGGACCTTACTTTTTGGCTACCCTGGCTGATCCTGCTACAGGGCAGCGACTCGCGCGAGGGTGTTCCTAGTGCGTCCGCAACGTGCCTGCCGTGCCTCGGTATGTTGTAGACAACATTGCTGATCATTGGCCATAGCGACGTCTGTCTACGACCTGTCAGTGTAAGAAGTTGAGCTGACAAGAGAACGGCTGTCTCGAAATGACGGAATGACTCCATCGCAAGCAATGCAAGAGTCGAGCCTGGTATCATGCAAGCGTGTAGTCCGGAAAAGGGGAGCATTTTGGACAGTACCACACTGACGAGTATACGGGAATTATGCCCGTCTCTAAGAACGCTTTCGAGCGGAAATAAGCTTTCGTACATTCACAACGTGGTATAGGGTTGATCGACGTGACGGGTGCGTCCCGCTATGGACCGTGTGCTAATTTAGTTTTGACTACATGCGCCTGACGCTCTTAGCCGTTTCAGCTCGGGACGTGATGCAAAAAGCAAGCGCACCAAAGATGGTCAGACACTGGCAACACCAACATCGCATGTTCACCGTTGTGAGTGGAAATCTCCGAACCTGGGAACCATGCCATGATGTCTTTGATCGCAACATCTGGCCAATGGAGGAATCTGTTCGCGAAGGTACTCCAATAAACGAACGTGTTTGGTGTACGCGATGCTCTCCGGTCGAGTAAGTACGGCGAACTTCGCCTACGCTGATGGCAGTCTGTTGTCCGCACGCTTCAGACATTGCAAGTATAGCCCGTCCGCGACGTACTGATTTACTGATCGCCTATGCAGCCTGCGTATACGAGCCGATTCCTTGCACCCTTCTGTGCACGGGTTTTTCGAGAAGCCTTGGAAGTAAAAAGCATAGGTACAACCTCAGTCATTGTACGACGTTAATGCTGAAATCCTAGGAATTGGCTGGCCCATGATTGCTCTGTAACCTCGTTCATCCGCAGCACCCGGCAGGGCGGGATGACTCGCATGGAGCGGCGCGATCGTTTCGAACTTCAGCCTTGCATCTGCCGACGAGTCGTTCTATGCCTGAGGTTTTGTCAATATGACCCGAATAGGAAAGGTGGTCGATTGTGATGGACACAGCGATTCTCGCGTTCGCTTCTCCAGACCGATTTCTGCCTAAACGCAAAACCCAAGCTGCTGTTGCTGCTCTTGAGACAATTCCTTGCAACCTTTGCATCAACCCCCTCATGGTTTTGATTGTACAGTTCCCAATCATGCCGACTGGGTTGCACGTAGCTCCAAGAACGCGGCGCGTTGTCGAAAGAAAGGAGATCTAGGGTACCGAAGACAGGGACCTCAGGGCCATGACATCAACCGGTGGTCAAAGCGCGCCATCCAGTAAACTTTACGAGATGCGCGGCAACGACAAGACACATACTATGTACACCTTCGCATTCTGATTTATGGCCGATGAAAACATGGATAGGCGTTATCGACCCCGCGATGATACGAAGCTGCCCACCTTTGTGAGCAGGGATGGTTTCCGTCGGGAAGCAGAGCCTCCAAGCCTTGCGATAACGATAGCGTATGATTGGGCCGAATAGGACGACGACCATGGTACCCAGGTACCTGTATAATATCAGACAAGAAAGATACACAAAGTTATACCAAACTTTGAAGGAAAAGAAGAAGAAGACAACTTGAACTCCATCCATCAAGATGCACGATCCTATCGCCGATGCAAAAGCCCAGGAAGCAACGCGCCAATACACTTTCCGACCCGCTACCCCCACCGACATACCTGCTCTCCAGAAAATGATCGGTTCTTCTCTCCGCGGCCTAGGAAAAGGGTATTACAGTCAAGCCGAGCTCGATGGCTCAATAGGCTACCTCTTTGGCCCCGATTCCGTTTTGATAGCAGACCAGTAAGTACCGAACCTCAACATTTGTGGACATAAGGCGTCCGTCATCAACGAGCCGGAAGCCGATACCAAACGATACCAAAAGGGACCATAGTTAATCATGTGAATACAGGACGTACTACATCCTTCACCCTATCAACTCACCAACCACAATCTGTGCTTGTGGCGGGTGGTCCTTTCGTAAGACGCTGTACGGCGGAGATTCTGCACCCTCTCCTCTGCGTATGCCAGAGAAGCGTGATCCGGCTATTGACCGTGCAAGTATCCGTGCGATTTTCACGTCTCCAGAGTATGCGCGCAGGGGTCTGGGTACCATGATGATGCGGTACTGTGAGGCGCGGGCGCGTGAAGGGAAGAGAGGTGAGACAGACGGTTTCACCCGGTTGGAAATGGGGGCGACATTGAGTGGAGTTGCATTGTACGAAAGATGTGGGTATGTGAGGAGTGGGAGAGTGGATGTGGTCAAGTGTCCTAATGGGGAGGGAATCAAGATCTTACATATGACGAAGGATTTGGTGGCGTAAGGCGAGGCTGTTAAGAGAAAATGGTCTAGTCAGCTTCGAGGTATCTATGCGCAAGAGATTGGTATGCGGTGGGAAGATTACCCTTGTGCAATCGATCTTGTAAGATGCGGTGATGTGTTGGCAGGGAAGCATGATCGCCGCCGGGTTTGGGTTAGCGGATGATGGGCGCCTCGCGGTAAGGCACCCGATGAGGCGAATATACTTCTTGTGGCGCTATGGTGCGGTCTAGGTTGGAAGCGTGATGCAAGGAGAAGCGCGAAACTTGTATCGTGGCCATGGTGGGTTGTATATGAAGTATGCGAGCTCGCTTGATATCAACCATACGATATTTCCTCTCCTTCTTGCAGAGTGTTCGCTCTTTGTCATCACGTCAGCTCGAAATCTCTACGGTCAGCCTCACCCCACGATTGGAGATAAGCACGAACAGCATGTCAAGCCCCATGTCAAGTCCCATCTCGAATCCCATCCCAAATCCCAAAGATCCCAAAGCAGCCGCGTTGTCCACGGCTGTAGTCATCATCACCGTACCATCAGGCACATGATCTCGCCATGGATACTCATTCGACAAAACTAGTTTGCGCAGCTTGCAGCTTCGATTCCTAGCCTTACGGCGTGATCGCTGTGTAAGAGTAGGGCATTTTTGGGTTTAACGTATACTGCGATTCGGGGAAAGCTGAAGGTCTCCGAGGAAATGGTGGCATGTGGACTTGGTCGAATCTGGCTAAAAGGAGGCGATGTCCAATGACGGGTGGTGCAATCATGATCTCAGGAACGTCACCGTGGTACTTGGTGCGGTATTGTCCGCAATCTGCCAGCAGTGCAAACGGCGGTCGGAACATTTTGCGATGTGATCTAAGGATATTGGGACGGAGACCTAGACCTAGGCGGATGCGTTTGCAAGACTGAGTAGCAACGACATGAATCATCATGGTAATTCGAGACGAGGCCGATGTTCGGAGGATGGTGTTCTGGTTATGGTATCACGTACTGGAGACATGGCAAGGCTGTTGAAGGAACTTCTTTCTTTTGTAGAGGAGAGTAACTAGGACATGGGATCTTCAAAACACACCAAAGCAATGAAACCGAACGCATTAAGCTCCAGCATCAGACCGCATCTCCACCACGCTTCCATTTTGTTATGACCCAAGAAAGAAAAAAGCAAAGTAACGCTATCAGTGAACATGAATCCATGCTGCGTATTCCATAGAGGCCGCTCCGTTTGAGTGCAACCCAGCGTCGTAAGCAGCAGTAGTCGGGGTATCAAAAGGTGATGCAAGAGGGCATTCGCAAAGGCTGTGTGCTCGTGTCGGATCGTGTCGGATCATCTATACGTCAAAACGCAAGTCAAAGACGCAGGGAACTCCAGGATATCCCATACAGAAAGTCAACAACGGCAAACCGTCCCCAGTTCTGCCGGAAGGAAGATCGACTTGGCCACAGATATGTCAGTGACAGTTGTGATGACTAGTAGTCACATTGCAAGTTTGGGCGTGAGCCAAATCGATGCGTAACCGGGAGTTGCCGAAGATGGAAGCTGACCTGCAGACCTTCATGTAGAAGTGAGAATGTCATATCGTAGTCGGAAGTCTAGTGCGTGGGAGAGGGAAAGTCGCTACGACTCAAGGAAAGCTTCAATATCCTTCTCCAGCTCTTTACTCCAGAGGTACTCGTGGTCTTCTTCGATCTTGTAGTCGACAGGGAGGTAGACGTCTTCCATGGTAGGGATCTTGCAAACCTGGTCGATGGGATACTGCTCGATAACAGGGAGCTGGTTCCACATGAGGCCGGGAGGACCCTCCTCACGGGGAAGAGGAAGGAAGCGACCAACACCAGTCTTGGCTCGATCATCACCCTCCCACTTCATCTCCGCCATGGAAGGCCAGGGCGCGATCTCATCCTTACCATTCTGCCAGTCGTTGCACCAGATAGTCTGCTCACCGAGAGCGCGACCGTAGTTTCCAACGTCTTCGAAGTTGCCTTCGATACCGCATCTATTGAGGACCTTCTGAATATCTCCTGGGATCGGAGCTAGGATAGCTCGGGCGTCTTCCTTGTTCTGAACCTTGGTGGCAAGCTTGCTCGCCTGCGATGCTAACATCGCTTCCTTGTGGGCAACGTAATCACTGAGCTTCCACTTGGCAACGTCGGAGTTTCTGAATAGACGGCGCATGGCGTTGCGAACCATAAGAAATTCCTGCTGCACTTGCGCGTCTGGAGACACCCAGGTTCGCGACTGGCGAAAGCCTCCGCCACGAACGCCGTAGGGAGCATCTAGCTGGCGATTGCCACGGAAGTCACGAACTGGGGAACGATAGGTGCCTGACTCGTTGTGTTGCTTCTGCATGCGCTCGAAGGGGTCGTTGTAACGTTCTACGCTGTTCTTGCGGAGCTCGACACCACCACCGGTGATAGCCAGGCTACCGAAATTGAGGCTCCCTGGGCTGATGGGACTACTGGGAGTTGGGAGACTGTTGCTGCTGGAGCGAACGTCAGAGCTCTCATCATCATGAAGGGTGTCACCACTAGTATCGGTCTTTGGAGACGTGGTTCCGTCGCCCGCTGCGATAGGTGGCTGAGGTTTGCGAGGGGTCGCGACTGAGGCGCCAGTTGCAACTTCGATAGGATCGGCCATCGAAGGTGGCATCGAGCGAATTCTGATGTGAGTGTTGAGAGAATGAAGCGGAGACTACGCAATGCGTTCACACCCTTGAAGGTAAGGAAGGACGCTTTTCGACTTTGCGTGAGTATGTAACGTACGGGAGACTTGTCCGATGTAGTGGAGAAGGGCAAGTGTTGAGGCTGTGATGTTCAAGTCTGATATACCCAAAAGTTGACAGCGGTAAAGGTCCAAGCGGGAGCAAGGCACCAGGATGGTGTCGATCTTCTCAACTATGCGTGCATATCAATTAGCAATGATCCACTACCAGTGCGCTGGAACACATCGGGGCAACCGTGTCACCGCTTGCACCATTGCGATCGACACGAATTTGCTGCCCGAACACATGGTTCGCAGGGTGAGATAGATAGCGCGGGTGTTTCCATCATTACGAAGAGAACCAATAGCAAAATCCTTAATTCGACACCGCCTCCGAGGAACACTGAGCGGATATGCAATGTGATTCTGTCACCTACCTGATAATCTGGGCCTCGCAAATGCGGGGTCTATGAGATAGCCAATAACACGACAAGGTGTCAGACTGCTTGAAGGCTAGACTTCAAAGTGAGCGAGGGCGATATAGTTGACTGGTTGTATGTAAAAGCTTACTAGAAAAGAAATCGTTCAGTTGAGTAGGATTTTGAACGATGTCCTCACTAGAAGAGGTTTTGCGATATGAAGTTGTCTTATCGTAGAGCTGAGAGCTGCCTGGCAAATGTCTTAGTGGTCATAGGGCCTGCCTTGTGATGATAGAAGAGTGAGAACAGAAACATACGTGTTGTGCGATTGAAGCTATTGTGCTCTCAGTGGAAGCCTGCGATATCGGTCACAGGGCCCAGGTACGTGTCCACCTGCTCAACCGGCGGTGAATTAAGCGGTGGATAGACGTTGGTGCGCTACGATGTTGTAAGAATGGTGATGCTTGAAACTGTATGCGATGTTTTGGGCTGCGCGTTCTTCGAATTACATGGAAAGAGGAAATACGGAAGGAAAATATTCGAGCGGGCTCTGAAAGGCTGTAGTCGTTTGAAAAGCGGAAGAGCTTAATCTGTATTGCGGTTCGTTAATAAAGTCACGTCACGTCCGAGAATGCAAAAGCCGAGCAAAAGAGGTTCCAGATAGAGTTTGGCGCGAAAGCAGTGAACGAGTGGGCAATGTGGGGTGCGTAAATAAGAGGTAATTGTCGGTCGGTGGGGTAGGTGAAGTTATCGTCACAGAGCACGGCCTGCACGAGCGTACTGCAGAGGTGACGCCCAAGCTTATAGCGGACAGACGAGGAACGTGCTGGACGCTCAGGTTCACCTCACCACTCTTCGCAACGAAGGGGGGATCCGAACGCAGAGAATGATAGATGAGAACGAATGACGGTCAGCGACCAGCGCTGTAGAGGAAATGATAAGCAGACAAAAACCATGGACAAGAGACGGAACGGAGGAAACGGAAAGATGATGACGTGAAAAGAAGAAGAGAGCTAGAAATTTGACTCGAGGGACTGTTTTGTAGCCCAATCGACAGATCATGAAAGGAAAGCACGTTCGAAAGACATCAACTGCGACTGACATGAGGAAGTTACTGCCCAAGATGCGAGTTGATCACAACGGATCTCACCAACAGACATGCATCGCAGAACTTATACTCTCATGGATGGAAACATCTTGGCGAGAAGGGGATAGGACCTTTAGACTACAGCTTCGATGATGTGGGCTTCTGGGACCGCTATAAGGTGGGTTCAGCAGTGCAGACTGCTACCTAGGCAATCCGCACTTTCAACATCAGGTTCTCAACTTGCCAGCCGGTTCCATGAACACAGCGACCTGCTGGACAGAAATAGCAACGACTGAGAACACGATGAGATGCAGAAACTGTTGGCAATGCTGGCGGGTCGTAATGTGATGCCTAGGCAAGTCCGCTGTTCTGAGCCCTGAGAAGGTGGGACACGGAAGACGTGTTCGTAAGCGGGAATGTTCGTGTCAATATATGCAGGCGATCGTCACTGCAGATGTTGGAAAGCGGGTAATCGTTGTTGTCGTTGATGCAGCGAAAATGTTTCGAAACAGAATGGGGATGAAGTTGGGACGACGGCGACCTGTGTTTGAGCCTCAAGAAGAAGGGAAGGTTGATTGGACAGCAGCGGTCGACGCGTTAGGCCGCTTACTCCACACCAGCGCGCGCTACGCCGCAGCCACGCATACGAGAACTCGAGCATTGACACAAATTCCCGGTCCAGACATGTCCAAGTTCAAGTTTGACGGCGTTGAGCTTGACTATGGGGACTACTATGGAACTTCATTCTTGTGAGCCATGGTGTGCTGCCGTTAAAACTCGGGTGTTGTGAAGTTTGTTGTTCTGACGGCTGCAAAAGGCTGGACTGGGTATGACGTCTTCGCTAGCTGCAGAAATCAAGGCATGACGGCGCCACAGGCCTTTCAGACAGCCGTGCGGCGCGACGTTGCTACATAACGGCGGCGTCGCGCATCTCCCGAAGCTTTGAGCACCTCCTCTGCCAGCGACCGACGTTCAGAGGTCGTGTTCCCTTGCGCCCGACAACCTTAGCATCCTGCGACGATCCCACACGTCACGAGGGAGTGCATCCGCCTACCTCGCTCGACTGCGGGAAAATCGCATGCCAATGGGCGCAAGCCGTGGAACAAAGGACACCCGGCTCAACTTGCGACAACCACTCGAGGACAAACCGGCCCAGAATAACAGACGCTGTCAATCCCTTCTGTTCTAGCGCCTTGTTTTGAGCTTTCTCTAGCTGACCGGGCTGACTGGTCCGGAGTGGCTTGCTCCACTTCTGCGGGCGCCTATTCGGGCCACCACCTTTCCTAGAATCGCTGTGTTCTAACTTGAGCCTCACGATCTTGTATGCCCTGCTGAAACTATCTGGTCGTGCAGGTCTCTTCTCGAGGTATCATTGGTACCTGGTGGAGAGGCCTGCAACTGGTCCTCGCTTCCTCGCGGTACGTGAAATCCATTCATTTTACCCTAGTCGCTGTGAAGTAGATATTCACAGCGTCTTCTCCACTTCAGTCACCTTCACCTTGCCTGCTTCAACATCACCTTTTCTTATTGCATTGTACGGAGCGTTGGGTTTTCCTATTGTTGTCTATTGTCTTCACATTGCAATACTCGCCTAATACTTTTCCTACGTTGCAACCTATTTCTGCGAGACATTCATGAGCTAGCTGGCCTACTTCTACGACCGCACCTGTTTACGAAGCTACCACCGATTTCGACCCCCGATTCTAATACACTGGCCAGACCACGTTTCACAGCCATACATCTTCGCCATGGCTTCCTCCGCGAACCAACAGCAACTCTTCCCACCTGTGCCTCCATCTATGTCCGCTGGCGATAGTCATGAGATGCGAGACTACTACCCACCGCAAGATGCACCACGACCTACAATAAACCAGACACCAAACTTCAAACCATACCTCGGCCTTCGAGCTAGGCTCTCACAGATATGGATCAATCGCTGGACGATTCTACTGCTCCTAGTCCTTGTGCGACTGCTCATCGCCATCGCAAGCACCGACTCAAGCCTGGTTTCCGCCCGTCGGGAAGCCCTCAGTGCTTGCACCCAAGTTGAGAACATTGCTAGCTCCATGGCTTCCATGCCCCACTACATGTCCAAGGGCGTCAACGAAATGACAGCTTCCGGGGTTGAGAAGGCAGTCAGTGGCCTCATGCAAATGCTCGAAATGAGTGTCACTGGTGTCGAAGAGATCATCCTCTTCGTCATTCACATGATGACACAAACCTACCTCTGCCTGATCACCCTCGCTGTCAGCGGCAGTCTCCATGCCGCAGTGGAAATTGGCGAAGCTATCAACAAACAACTCGACGAGACCATCAACTCCGTTACCGACGAAATGGGCGACGCCGTCAAGTCCGTTTCTGACGGCATCAACTCCATCATGGACAAAATCAACTTCAATATTCCGGGATTCAACAAGCCAACCATCAATTTGGACGATCAGATCAAGAAGCTCAAAGCGCTGGAGATGCCTCCTGACATGTCAGAGGGTCTTCAGAAGCTCAACTCGTCCATCCCGACTTTCGCAGAGGTGCAAAACTTTACGGACTCCATTATCCGCCTACCTTTTGAGGAAGTCAAGAAGTTGATCCGCGGCATGGACACATTCGAGTTCGACCGCTCAGTTCTTCCCGTGCCGCAGAAGGAAGCACTCACCTTCTGCTCCGATGGCAACTCTATCAATTCGTTCTTTGACGACTTGATTGAGCTTGCTTACAACGCACGCAAGATCGCTCTCGGTGTGCTCATTGTCGCCGCCATCCTTGTTTGCGTTCCGATGGCGTGGATGGAGATGCGCCGCTACCGGAAGATGCAAGAACGTGCTGCTCTCTTTGGAGAGGGCCATGAGGCTATGGACGTCGTCTATCTCGCGTCCCGCCCAACATCTTCTGGCATCGGCCTGTGGTTCGGGAGGCGCTTTGGCTCAGCTCGTCGACAAGCTGTTATGCGCTGGGCCTGGGCCTATGCCACCTCCATCCCCATGATGTTCTTGATCTCTCTGGGCATCGCTGGTCTTTTCGCCTGCTTTTGTCAATATCTCTTGCTCAAAGCCATTGAAGACAAGACCCCAGAGCTCACGGATCAAGTCGCTGACTTTGCCGGAAAAGTCGTTACATCGCTCAACAATGCGTCCATGTCATGGTCTAACGGCGTCAACGGCGCCGTCGGTGACTTGGACAGCAAGATTAACGACGACATCTTCGGCTGGGTGAACACCAGTACGACGGCTGTCAACGACACCCTCAACGCGTTCGTAGATCAGATGAGCACCACGCTCAACGACACGTTCGGTGGCACCGTACTTTACGACCCGATCAAGGAAGTTCTCAACTGCCTGATTGGCCTGAAGATCGCTAGCTTCCAATCTGGCCTCACTTGGGTCCAAGAGCACGCGCATGTCCAGTTCCCTGGCGTCGCAAACGACACATTCTCTCTTGGCGCCCTTGCTGAGAAAGGCGACTCAGACTCTGCCAGCCAACTACTCGCTGATCCGAACGGCAAAGCAAAGGACGAGATTACCGAAGCCGTCGAACGCGTTATTGACAAGCTGATGAGTGGTATTCAAACCGAAGCGCTCATCTCCACCGCCTTAGTCCTCATGTGGCTCTTCATTGCCCTCGGTGGCCTTGTCTACGCTTCGACGCATCTCTTCCGCCGTGATGATCCAGAACGCGGACTCAACCCTTACGTCGTCAACCCTGCTCTCGACCGCGATCCCAAAGCCAGCGTCGATTACCCCACCACTGCGCCGCCGCAATACGTGCCCAACGACTATAACGTCAATAAAGCAGCGCCTTACACGCTCGCACCCCGTCCCTTCTCGACATTCGAACACAGCGGCGATGAAATCACGCCCGCAACAGAGAAGGTCGGCCAAGTTGGCGCACGCGCGGTGACCGATTCCGCTCGCCCAGGACATCTTCGTACGAGTAGCCATGGTCAGCTTGCTGACCCCTCACCGGCTGATGACCGCTCGGGTCCTTTTTCAGACCCTAATCAATACGCTCAGTCGCCCTATCCGCAGGAAAAACAGCAGCGGAATCCGTTCATCTAAGATTTCGATCCGTATTTTGTCGAATATTACAAGTAAGATCAGTTCCGTCGACCACCTGACCTTTTTCGGGCTTGCCCTTCTGCGTCAACCGGTCAACGAACTGGCCCCAACTACTAGACAATTATACCGAACCTGACCGACCTGCGATGAGCCGTAATTGCTCAGACCGAACCTTGCGTTTGAAGTTTTTCTTCTCCCTTCTTCCACGATGATGCGATAACACGCTCTCTGGAGAAGGGAATTTGGCACATGTTTTACTGCGTTGATGAAGCTTGCTTCTCCGCTTTTGCATGTGTCGGTGTTTCGATTCTTTACATTTTTCTTTCAACACTCCAACTATGTAAATTTTCTTTGTGTTTATTTGTCTTGTGTCATTGCTCTCTCTTGCGGGCTGCGTGTTGGATTGATATCCCCTCATCGCTACAAGTTTGACAGTGAAGCTCTGCAGACAGACTATCTTCATCTTTTCCATCACGTCTCCCTGCTACACGAGACGTGGTGTGTGTCTGTCTGTAGATGTCTTTCCATCAAATGATGAGGTCTGTGTATATCTCCTTGAGTATGTCTGTCCCCGAGGTCCCTTACGCCCGATCCTCTGTCCCGCCCTCCTACTCCCCGTTTCCCTTGCTCTTCATTCCACACCTCGACGCTGTATCGCCGCCGCACCCCGCCTCGCCGTTGGCTTGCCCGCTTGGCGCGCTGCATAGGCGACCTCTTGGTGTGCATAATGATCATGAGCTCAAGGCCGCAATGGGGGTGGTGTTGTGTTGCGGGTTATGAACCGGCAATATGTTGGATATGACTCGCTCATTCGCCACACCTCTCCTACTTCTGTAGAAAGTGGAGAGGTTGATGTGCTGATTGGTAACAAGCGTTGTGCTTTCCTCCTGTTTTCCTTTCCTTCCAATATTATGCGAGGAGCGTTGGGAGGAGACAAGGAAGATATGTTGACGTTGAAAGCCGACATTTTTGTGTTTGTTTGTACGGGTGAAGCATCCTCGTCCCCTTTGGATGAAGGGTTGGTTTTTGCTGTGTTCTTTTCCTCTGAAGAGAACCGCCGCCTGAGTTGATCCTGTGAGGCGCTTTGCGCCCGGGACCTGTTATTCCAGTCGTTTCTGAGAAGGAGGTGGTGCTGGATGGCCTGAAAGAAGCTTGAAGCCACTCGAGTGGTGTGTCAGTGGGTGTGAAAATGAGGGAGATGGCCCTGCCGAGATACAACGCATGATGGGCCACCGGTAAAAATTCAAATATCTTCCCTTATCCTGTATTGCACAGTCATGTATGTTTGAAGTTAGTCCCACTCGCTCATCCAGCAACACCCACTCTCATTCTGTTACTCGCTCGAAGTGCCTATTAATCGGGCGAGCACCTTAGGTAGATTAGATAGATTATCAATGCACAGCATCTGATCTCGAGACGACGACGCCCAACGTGACTGACTACTCGTGTGTTTGATAGTGGAAGCATGTAGCTATGGAAGCCTTGGGGTGGCGCACGTGGCTGGACCCTGGCCAAAGCTCCGCGGCAATGACGATGGACCGCCGAGCTCCAGGCGCATGCCAACACCCATGGAGCTTCCCTTTGGCACAGCAGCCGTCGCATAGCGACTCGACCATGCCCAAATGATATCCAAGTCGACGCAATAGCCACAATGCTCTCTGCCTTTACTGCCCGGCCCATTGTCGAGCTCAAGGCGCGCGACAAGTCGAGGATCGAGTCCATCCTCGCATACGGTACAGCAACCGACTGCATCGCATCTCAAGCGTACTAACATAGCCAGGCGACCGTGTACTTGTTGGCCTGAACACGGGTGCTCTGCGCATCTACCGTGTGAATGACCAGATCGAGGATGTAGAAGCCGACCGCAAGCAGAACGGCGACCACAACGGTGAAAGCGAGCCTCCAACAGCACCCAAAGCCAGACCCGCCGATCTCCTACGCGAAGAAGAGAAGTTCTCCCGGCGACCGATACAACAGCTGGCGATTATCAAAGAAGCGAATATCCTCGTCTCGCTTTCGGACAACTATGTCTCGATACACGATATACAAACGTACCAGCTGCAGGAGAAGCTAGAGAAGACTCGGGGTGCGACTACCTTTGCGGCGGCAAGTAACATCGTCAAGGATCCTTCGACGGGCATACCATCCATTGTGAGCCACCTGGCTGTGGCGGTGAAGCGGAAGATCATACTGTGGACATGGCAGGACATGGAGTTGACGGGCGACGCGGTGGAGATCTCGCTCATTGCTTCTGTCAAGAGCCTGACGTGGGCGACAGGGACAAAGATTGTCGCTGGCATGGATCCCGGCTTCGTCATGGTTGACATCGAGACGCAGGAGGTCCAAGACATAATCAAGCCAGGCGCGCTGGCAGAGAATGGGAGCCAGGGCGGAGCACGTTTCGGCGCTGTCTCGTCGTCAGGCATGGGATACATGGGCATGGGAAGTTGGGTGCCCAAACCCCTCGCGACACGACTTGGAGAGGGCGAATTGTTGCTGGCCAAGGACGTAAACAGCCTGTTCATCGACACAGACGGAAATGCCCTCGAGAAACGACAAGTGCCCTGGCAGTCTGCCCCTGAGACAATCGCGTATTCGTACCCGTATATGCTCACACTGCTGCCACCGTCCAAGGGCAGTCTGGAAGTCAGGAATCCGGATACGCTGAACTTGCTACAGATGATCTCACTACCAAACGTCAGCTTCCTTCACGTGCCGCAGCCCAACATCAGTCTAGCCCACGCCGGGAAGGGTTTCCTCGTTGCGAGCGATCGATGTATATGGCGGATGGGAGCGCAGAGCTACGAAACACAGATTGATGAGCTCGTCGCCAATGGGCGCTACGATGAGTCGCTAAGTCTGCTGAAAATGCTCGAAGACACTCTGCTCCTTGATAAAGAGGAGAGGGTTCGGGAGATACAAATCCTGAAAGCTCAGGCCTTGTTCGACCAGAAGAAGTACCGTGAAGCCATGGAACTCTTCGTCGACGCCAAAGCACCGCCTGAGCGCGTCATCGCAATGTACCCCCGATCCATCGCTGGCAATCTAGCGCCAGAAGAAAGCGTAAAGGGCGACGGAAGCGTGGCCGACGAGGAAGAAACCAACGGAGAGAAGCCCGCCAAAGAACAAGAAGAAAGCACACCCGCGCCTGTAGCTACCATCGGCCGCTCAATGATGGGTCGTTTCGGCGTTGGAGGACACAAGAAAGTCGATTCGGACACGGCTTCCATACGCACCAACTCGGCCAAAGACGACACCATGGAAACAGCCAGCATCCGGAAGAGACCAACAGACCCCTCCTCCCAGCCAGATAAACCCGCCGCCGGTGAAAAAGAGTTCAAAGACTCTGTTCGCGCGTTACAGTCGTTTCTTACTCAATGTCGCGTCCAGATTAAACGGTATATAGACACGGATGGTAATCTGAAGGAGCCTCTCCCTACGCCCAGTGGCAGTCAGCTCGAAGCTGATAAACCACCCTTCCACATTTTCATCGAAGAGTCCTCCCTCACGTCTCCCATAGACTGGAAAGCCAAGCTCCTTGACGTTGCCCAGCTCGTCGACACAACGCTCTTTCGCGCGTACATGATTGCGAATCCCAGTGTCGCAGGCTCTCTATTCCGTCTCCCCAACTTTTGCGAACCAGACGTTGTGCAGGAGAAATTGTACGAGACGGGGCGGTATGCCGATTTGATTGATTTCCTGCATGGTAAGCAATGTCCTTTTCCAAGTGCTCGTGATGCATACACTAACTGTGTACATGTGTGTTTAGGCAAGAAATTGCATCGGCAAGCTCTGGAGCTTCTCGAGAAATTCGGCAAGAACGAGGCGGACGAAGAGGTGAGTCCACAGTTGCAAGGCCCGACTAGGACGGTGGGCTATCTACAAGCATTGCCACCAGAGCTTATCGATCTTATCCTGGAATACGCGGAATGGCCACTGAGGATTGATCCGAAATTGGGTATGGAAGTCTTCCTCGCTGATACACAGAATGCGGAGGAGCTGCCGAGGGACCGTGTCCTCGAGTTTCTGCAAAAGATTGATACAAGACTTGCGGTCAGATACTTGGAACATATCATCGAAGAGCTCAACGATCTTAACGTGGACTTTCATCAAAGACTTGTTGATTTACTCCTGGAAAGACTCAAAAGTGGGGAGTTTGACAACGACGAGGAAAAGATGGATTGGAAGCACAGGCTTGAGGTTTTCCTGAAGAAGGGGAATGCGCAGTACAATCGGTATAGGGTGTTTCAGCAGTTGCCTGGGAATGGTATGCATCATCATCTCCGACAAGAAAGAAGATCACAGTAGGAACAGCTTTACTGACATGGTGACAGATCCGGATTACTACGAAGCTCGAGCCATCGTCCTGAGCAAAATGGGATCGCATAAGCAAGCCCTGGCAATCTATGTCTTCCAATTGAAGGACTACCAAAAAGCTGAAGAGTAAGTCGCTTAACCCAATCTTCTTGGTAGCAAACCATTTGACCCGCCAACCAATAGATACTGCAACCAGGTCTACACGGCACCACCCACCACACCCACCTCGCCCAACTTGTCCCACTCCCCATCCCCGCCAGCAACAAGAGGCTCAATCGAAGACACGGAGCTATCCATCTACCACGTCCTGCTCTCCCTCTACCTGCAACCCCCACCGCCGCATCAACCAAACTGGCCCCCAGCTCTCGACCTCCTCTCGAAACATGGCGCAAGACTGCCTGCAGCAACTACTCTGGATTTGATCCCCCCAACTCTGCCCGTCAAAGACCTCGAATCCTACTTCTTCGGGCGCATACGAAATGCAAACTCGCTCTTGAATGAAGAGAGGATAGTCGCGCAGCTCCGCGGCGTAGAAAAGGTCGCTGTGGAATCGGCCGTGTTGCTCGGCCCAGAGAGTAAGAGGGACATGTACGGTAGGAGCGTGCCTGGGGGGTTGAATAGGCGTGTTGTTATCGATGAGGATAGGCATTGTGCGGTGTGCCATAAGAGGTTTGGTGGAAGTGCGATTCGTGTCTTTCCAGATAACAGTGTGGTGCATTCGGGATGTATGAGGGGGAGCGTGGGGCTGGGGATCGGTGGTGTGGGAGGGGGGAGGAGGTCGGCGAGTGGGGTGGGTGGAAGCGGATGGCGGTAGGCAATCGTAGTTGTAGTGCTCAATCTTCATCGACGACTTCTTCTCCATACGTCTCCTCGTCTTTTGCGTCGTCGGCGGCCTTGTCGTCGGCCATTTTTTGAGTGAGAAATTCGTTGACGTCTTTTTGGAGGGTCCGGAGAGATGATGAGAGAGAAGTGAGGTATGCGACGCGGTCGGTGGTTGAGGGTGGTGATGGCAGTGCGGGGAGTTCGGAGGTGAAGGTTTGTGGTGGAGAGGTAGGGGATGTGTATGTTGCTGTTAGAGAAGGCATGTTGGCGTGATGGGTGTCTTGTTTGGATGTGGTGTTGTAGTGGATGAGAGGAGGAGTCTGAGGTGGGGTCAAGCGGCCCAGTACCGGGGTGGAGACAGCACGGCCACCATGCGTCGATCAACCAACGGCGCATCTAACGAACATGGACGTCAGCTCTTCCTGCGACTTGACGACCCGACTCGATGCTTGGATAGCGCTGCATCTGCTACGCTTCTTCATGCAGGCCATGAGGAAATACGACTAGGAGCCTATTTTTTCTTCCCTCTTCCCGTATACCCGTATATTCACTTCTCCACCCATACACCTTCTCTTCAGCCACCGCCTCTATACCTTGTCCCTGCAACAGCCACACGCCCGTCGCAAAAGCAACGGACGGGGTCTCACAAAGGGCGGCGACCACGATGCCTCCCTCTTCACCACCCCCAATCACCCCCTCGATTCGACGCCCATCGCTCGACGACTCCGACTCGGACGGCTCCCAGGCGACGCTGCAGCAACAACGCCGCTCTCCCCTCCCCGCCGCCATACTCTCGCCCTCGTCGGCAAAGTCGCCGACATCAGCAGACTCGCGCGCCGCTCCAGCGCAGAACTACTCGCGTCCAGGCATTGTGCGCGATGCTACGCAGAGTTCAGGCCACATTGGCGCGCATCTAGGACACCGCCCACGCCAGCGCTCCCAGGGCTATTTCGAGCCCAGTTTGAGCTCCATGAAGGAGGGCTCCATACGCGACCGAGACAACACCATGGCCTCGCAGACAAACCTTACCGCTTCCCAGATTGCTGCCCAGGCCGCCTATGCCTCGAATCCTCAGCACAATCGCAAGCGCTCCACCACCATACCAGCTCCGAGTGAAGCTGCGCCTACCGGACGCGGCCAGCCCATGAGTCCGCCACCCATGCCGGCTAATTCCCAGGTCACATTTAGAACAAACGGCATGACATATTCGAATGGTGTCATGGGAGGCAGGATGGCTGCAACGAGTGCTGCCAACGCCGCGTTTCCTCGCAGTCCGCTGAACTCGCCTGGCATTGAGGGACAGCAACAACAGCAACAGCAGCCACACGCATCGCCCAAGCCAGCCTCGTCGACGCCCGAGCTGCCGCAACTGCAGAAACCGAAGGAGGGGAAGAGCAGGCTAGGCGGGAAGCTGTTCTCGTCCAAGCCCAAGAACATCAAGGTGGACAATATGCTGAGCGGCAAAGACCAGGCATTGCCGTCGCCAGGGAAGATTGGTATCGGCATTCATAGCTCGCAGGCGCTGAATCGCATGATGATGGCAGGCTCGACGACGAGTTTAGTCGACTCGGGAACCAACAGCAGTAACGCTTCGCTGTATTCGTCCGCCAACGCATCGACGTCTACACTGGTACCCCCACGGAACGACTCCCTACCAGAGAAGAAGGAAGAGAAGCATAAACACCACTTTTTATCGCGGCAGAAGCACAAACTGAAGGATCAAGATGGCTTTGCTCTCCCATTATCCTCAGCGAGTAGTAATTCTAAACCAACAAACCCTAGCGCTCCCGAGCCGCTGTATTCCTTCGCCCCGTCATCGCCAGGACATTCAAGCTCGTTTGCGAACTCGGTGACGGGCTTGGATCTCAGACACGGTGGCCGGCATTTGCGGCGAGCGAAAAAGGAAGAAAAAGCCGCTGCGTTCCTTGACGCTCAGCTGGAACCTCCGTACCGGGAACGGAACCAGTCGTTTAGTACCGAACGGTCAGAATGGCCGAGTCTTTCTAGCAGTATAACGACGACACCGAATATGGCGACACCCGGTCAAACAATATCTCATACAACAGAGATGCTGCATCTGGGGAGTTCATTTGGCATCAACGGCCTGTCACCCGATGACGCCTGGCCACTGCTAAAAGCAAGGGTATTATTGATATTTGAGGGCGAAGACCCCCGGCCGCCAGTCGAAGACTTCAACGCTTTAGTCACCGTCCACATCAAACGCTGCATCCACAAACGATCCCCCATAATTCTCATTGAGGATTTGAATGAGCTCCTCCAAACGGGTTTCGGCTCTTTAGACCAAACACTACGTCATGTTCCCGACGATCGGCTTATCCCTCATTTGGTAGAAATGTGGCTCGTGGTCTTCACTACCATCCTACCTTTTTTGCAAGCTGTTTTCCTACCGCTAGACTTGGAGTTCCGAGGCTCAGGCATAATGACAAGTGCCCAAGCGGCAGAGTTCTGGGGTGTCATGTTGCCAGACGAGATGAATACCAAGAGTCCTGAACATAGGAATATACCGATTCTCGGGGAGTTGGAAGTGAGGAGAATAACGCTGTTGATGTTTAGGGATATTGTGATACTACCACGTTATGAAGCGCTCATGGCCATCTTCTCAAGACTGAGTTTGGAGAATTTGAATGCAGGGTTGGAGAGCCCGAGTCCGATCCCAGATGGCGTTATGAGTGGACAGCAGCAGCAGCAGCAACAGAGGCCGGGTACAGCTGGAAGTAGCAGCGGCGACATGGCCATGGGCAGTCTCAACTCGACATCGCAGAGCTCAGGGGGTTATTTGGAGAGTACGACGAGTATCACGAGTTCGACATTTGCCGCCAGCACACGCAGCAGAGCGACGAGTAACACGTCCGCTGGTTCCTTTTCCTCCAACCCATCACAACATCCCCCCACCTCGAACCCTTACCAACTCAACCCCCTCCATCCTACCATCTCGCACTTGCACCCCCCACCCACCACCTCCCATTCTTCAAACTACAACAATGCCCCTTCGAGCTTGCGCCAGACCCCCATGGATAGCACAAAAGTGACGGAAACTGTGGGCAGAATGCTGCAGTGCGTTTCTGTCCTCGTCTCGTTGCAGTCGAGCGATGATGCGCAGGACAAGATTAGTAGGTTGAGCAAGGAGCTCAAGTACAATTGGTTGGGTAGGGGTAGGACGGGCAGACAGAGACAAGGTTTTGTGGGGCCGAGGAGTAGAGGGCTTAATCTTGCTGCTGGTGGTGTTTCTGTTCCGGGTGTTGGTGCGTAGGAGAGGGGAAGGGCAGGGTAGGGATGGAAAGGGAAGATTAGGAATAGAATAGTAGGTGTCGTTGATGTGCTAGTGGTGGTGGCGGCGTGTTTGAGTATATCAGCTATGGGATGACGGAGTACACTTCTCTTCGCAATATATCTCATGAAATGTGTTATTGCTATCCATGTCTGTTTGTGTGCTTACATCTTACTATATTCTTTGATGTAGTTGGAGCTATTCTGCAAAGCCAACTATCTGTGTAGACTTCGATGGTTGATCCAACCATAGTGTAGAGACATCGTGATAATTCGAGGAAGTGAAGAGGTGACATGGAGGTGGGTGATAGATGGGCAAGGAGTAGTGACGAAAAGCAAGAAGAAGACAAGAGAGAAGATAGGAGAAGGAGTAGAATTAGGAGGGATGTTGGTTAGGGATGATGTAAGTCTAAGGTGGGTTTCTTGCAACATAGTTCATCACAAGCCTTGCTGTATCTTCGCTCACTCATATACATGCCCTTTACTCCATTCTTTAACGTAGCTCAAGCTGTTCTTTGAAGCTGACCAGCGGTGCAGACTCCTTCCCGAGTGCCGAGATATCGTTCGCAATCTCATCCCAGAAAGCACAATTCTCCATTGAGTTCTGCGCATCCTTGCCCGACGTGAAAAAAGGATGAGCATAATTTGGATACATCAACCCCATTTTTAATGAATTTGTTAGCTCGTTGCCGTCATCAACTGTAGGCTTCCACTCCAGTCCGCGACGATAATGTAGCTGATTTGGATCGCCAGTAAGTGCATGTCCCGCAAAGTAATCTTGGAATCTTGGCGCAAACACTGGCCAGATATTATCAAAGATATCGAGAATGAAGTCAGGAATCTTTTCTGATGCGTTCCTAAGCAACTCGCTTACAGCGACGCCGCGGTGCCAAATCAGGGCGAACATATCGAAGCCGTGCTGTGCAGGAGGCATCTCGAATTTCGCAGTATAGACAGTAGAGTCGTTGCGGAAAGCGTTATAGATCTGGCGTGTGTTGCAGACAAAGGTCGAGTCGCGCAGCACCTTCCTCATGCGCATCTTCTGCTTGGAGTCGAAAAGTCTGGCGGGATATTGCTTCTCGATTCGATCCCGAATATTGGCAAGCTTGACGCCGGGAAAGGCATAAGTCAGGAACTCGGTGAAATTTTCTTTCGTCTGAACCCATTTCGCAAGGAATAGGCTGACTTCGTCGTGGTCGTGAGACACAATGATCGAGCTGCAGTTGGTGTGGTTTCCTAGTCAAGGTTAACATCCTGAGTAGCGAACATCATCTTCGAGCATCACATACCTTTGCTCAACAGAGCAGCCGGAAGCTCTGGAACAAGATCTCCATCCACGGCCGGACCAAATGGAAACAAGCCCAGTTTCAAAGTGTCATTAACGACACCTTGATTGGCTTCAATCAAGTCGTCCGTGCTGGCCTGCCGGAGACAGTCAAGCGCCTTTGTAGAACACTCGACCTTGTCTGCGAACTTGTGGAAGGTATCTTCCAAGGCTCCAGCACGATCATAGCCCCATTGGAACGCAGGGCTCCACATAACAGCCCGGTGAAACAGCGGTGTTTCCTCTTTCTTATTCCCGCCATACGCGGTCAGGTGATGGAGGATGGATCCTGCGCCCGCAGACAGGCCCCATGCGCTCACAGTGTTGTTATCTCCACCTACCTGCCCAATGTATCGCTGCACCCAATCTAGAAGAAGGCGCTGGTCATGCAAACCCGCATTGGGCTGTGCTCCTTTTTCCATAGTAGAGCCAGCCAAGAAGCCAAACGCTCCCATCCTGTAGTTTCCGGTTACCCAGATGACGCTCTGCTCAGCCGCATCACGGATGCCTTGGCCGTCGTAAGCTTGGAAGAGACCATTCGTGGTATTGAAAGCGAGATCCTTCGAGCCGAAGATGTATGCTCCTCCATAGATCCATACAACAACGGGAAGCGGATCTTCATCTACGCCTGAACCTGGCTCTAGAGCCCACGAGGGAACATAGACATCGAGGAACAGGCAGTCCTCGGCTTGAGAGCTGTTGTCGTCTGTAGGTTCTACGGTCACATTCTCTTTAGGTATCTTGGCCTGGATACAGCTCGGCCCGTAGGTACTGTCTTGAACTTGTTTGGGGTCTTCGATTGCTTCAGGGTACTCTGGTGCTGCGAAACGCAGATTACCGACAGGAGGTTGGCCGAAACGGACGTTTTTGAAAATAGTAGTCTATATCATCCAAGCAAGAGATTGTTAGTCAAGATTGTTCACTCGCGCTCTAGATACCGGAGCGGTACTTGACTTACCTCGCCATCTTCGCCGTACGGCTTTCCTTCCCATGTTCCCCATGGAAGGGTTAGCTTGGGAGTAGAGTCCGCTGTTAGTCGTGATACCCGATGGGCATCAATTGGCAGAGCCAACGATGCAGCCAGGAGTAAGACCGCAGAGCTAAGCATCTTTTCGGCCTCGAATATAAGAAATCCTTGGTCGAACTGTGGGTGAGGTACTGGTGGTGGGCTTCGCGGCTTCTCTTTATACATGGTCCAGCTGTATCCGTTACGACAGTCTACTTAGGTAGGCATTGTTTTTCCGTGTGTCCTTTCGTTTTTCTGCGACATCACGTACGCTTGCATGTGAGTATACGCGCTGCTAAGAAGGTGCCTCAGGTATTCCATGGGAGCATGGAGCTGGCTAGACTGTAGTCCGTGTGGAGTTGCTCGGGATCGCCCGCACGTGTACGACCTAGTGGAGCGGTCCGCTGCCAATGCGTTCGCATCGTTGGACAGCTTACGTGGATCAAAACCGAAAAAGCATTCTTACAAACAGAAGTTGAGAATGCCCAATGCCTGTATTCGTATGTTTGCATGATTATCATCTCTTTCGCGAACCCATCCAAGCTTAGTTTTTCCCGCAACCACATTTCGAGCACACAGCTGGAATATGGTCACCATCTCTCTTGCCCATCGGACTGAACTACTCGCAGCGCATACGTACTTGGCACGGATAGACTCATCTGGAGAACCTCATAAATGCGGGGTTCTGGTCAAAGCCGATGATGAGGGGTAGCAGAAACTGAGTGCTTTTTCAGTGAACCAAACTTCGAATGCAGGAAGAAAGCATGCAGATAGGACTATCCGCCGACACACTCGTCTTGACCCTTGATATTCTCCACAAATCCTTCCAAGTACGCATTTTCTATCGGCTGTGCCGCTATCATCTCACATCGGTTTGTCAAAGGCGACGCTGAAGACGACGATGCTACTAGCAAATACATGTCTCTTTGACTTCAAGAGTATGACTATGCGGCTGACAGTTGCAAAGGTAGCGAAGGGGACGCCGGCAACGTTGCTGCTCGTGATGGTTCCGTGGCCTCTGACTACTTAGACTAGTGCGGTACCGCCTTCGTAAACCACGTTGATGCCGTTGATACTGCTCGCAAAGTTTTGGTTATTTCCAAGTTCGGATATCGTATGTTAGGTGTCCGAACACGATCCAGGCGCGTCTCGATGACAGCGGAAGCTCCTCGACAAATGATGGCTAACCACATTAGGCATCGCGCGACTTCTAAGCCTACTGAACGAAACGCGCAACATGGGTCGTGAATGTAATTGCCTACTTGCGAGATGGATTATTCCCTTGAAAGCGTTTCTAAGATCTTGTACCTCTATCGAAGAGCCCTAAGTTGGTAGACACAAGCATGATAGTAAGCTCACTGCTTTGTAAGATGAACGTCATCGACGTCATAGGTCATTGGTCATTGGTCATCTACATGTATAATAACATTGATCGTGTCGGCTACTTGCCAAAAGTTAATACATCAGATACTACTGTATGTTCTCAATGCCATAGTTGCTTAGCCCAGCCTACCTGACCTTCCATCTTCCAATATGCCTACAGCAGTAATCACAGGCGCAAATTCCGGCATCGGAAATGCCCTTGCCAAAATCCTCATTAGAGAGGTAGGCGATAACTCCTAGAATTTACTCTATTGCAAATACCCTGACATACCAACATAGGACTACAAAGTGATAGCGGTAGACAAAACCCTCGGCCCGGTCATCAAATCTCTAGACTGCTCTACCCATCAACTCGATATCTCTTCGCCGGACTCCATAACCTCTTTCGCTCAATCTATCACACATGACACACCTATCGATCTCCTCCTTCATGTCGCAGGCGTCATGTCCCCACCCTCCTCAGACAGCCTCGCAACAGTCTCTCTCTCAACACTCCAGAACACCTTCTCCGTAAACACCTTCGGCCCAATCCTGCTAACGCAAGCCCTGCTTCCCAACATCCGCAAGTCTTCATCCCCAAAGCTTGCTGTGGTATCAAGTCGCGTAGGCAGCATGGCGGATAACAGCTCCGGTGGCCAATACGCATACCGCGCCAGTAAAGCGGCCGTAAATAGCCTTTTCAAGAGCGCGAGTGTGGATCTGAAAGACGAGGGTGTGGCAGTACTTGTGCTGCACCCGGGAATTGTCAAGACAGCGTTGGATGCTAGACATAAGGAGGAAGATGTGCCAGGCGCGGTGGAGCCAGAGGTAGCGGCAGAGGGTTTATGGGATGTGCTGAGTAAGAAGGGGATGGAAAGCACAGGGATGTTCTTCCATCGGAGCGGGGAGGAGCTGCCCTGGTAGGTGGCAGTGTTTAAATTGTATGGGGGTAATTTATATATGTATTCGAATAGTTGGGATGTTGATCTATCAAGAGCACTGAAAGTATATACGACTGAATTCGATGACCGCTGGTCTCAGAAAGCCAACCTAATGCGCGAACCGGAAATCTAATCGTTTGTTCCCTTCTTCCTTTGTAGTCTCCAGATACGTCTCCTTCTCTTCCTTCGTCATGCTTTGCCAAATCCTATCTCTCTTCTTATTCACAGCAACGTAGTAAAACTTCGCTCCGATGAAAAGCAGAAAGTTGTACGCGCAGATTGCGATTAACACCTTGTTTCCCCTCCGGTAAAGCGGTTTGTCGTCGTCTCTGTAGATGTTTTGGCTGATGATGCTACTCGCCTGCACTGTCATGTTGTACATCGCACTGGCCACGGTACGGGTCCGGACTGCGCCAGCGTTACGTGAAGTAATTGCAACGAGGATAGCGTGAACATATGGGTGACCGACAAGGAGGGTTGAAAGTACCCAGCGTGACCACGGAGATACGTCTGCGGGGAGCACTTCGAGGGCGATGAGGAGTGGAAGAGCCCAGACTTGGGAAATGAGACCGACAAGAAAGCGTTGGTTGAAGCGCTCGGATATGTATGTCCATGACAAGAGCTGTAGAATGAAAAGTACGTATGCCGGGATCTATAAATGTCAGTTCCGTCAGACATCTTCCCAGTCTTGGTACTTACGGTAAGTAGATTGGTTTCGAATGTTCCAAAACCGAGCGATCGAAGTTGAAGCGTGAGATACGCCGTCGACGGTGTAGACGGTATAGTCCAGGATAAACCGATCAAGTAAATTGGCCACATGTGGTAGTCCTTGATGCATTCCCACAGCATGCGGAAGCTCAGGCCCTGTCTGTTGTGCATATCGCCCTTGCTGGGGTCATCCCTTAGGATGCGGTTCACCATGATTTTCTCTTCCCTCTCATTGAACCACCCATCCTTTCCACGAAAGGGGTTCCAGGTCTTGCTCGCAGTCTGCGTTGGGCTTGGCGGCAGGTAGAACCATGATGCGATACCGATCAAGCCTGTCAACATACCCTCGAGAGCGAACAACCAGCGCCATCCTTCCATGCCGTTGTGCCCGCGCAGACGCAAGATACCGAAAGCCAGGAAAGCAGAGACGATCGATGTGGACTGGTAGCTCACCCAAAACCAACTCAATCGTCCGGGTAGTTCCCACCCAGTGTAGAAGTAGCTGAGGTAAAGGATATTGTCGGGAATGAAACCACCCTCTATCAAACCCAGAAGCGCACGACAGGCAAAGAACGAGCTACGGCCACTGAGAAAGGCCTGCAAGCTAGCCACGAGACTCCAGCTTACCATCTGAATAGGGATCCAGTTGTCAGGTCCAAGTTTCTTGCTAATGAGCTGAGACGGAAGCTCCGCACACAAGAAGCAGAGGTAGAAGATGGTCTGGCCATAGTTGTAGTCGTTGGTGTTTATGTTGAGGTCGTCGAGCATGTTGTCACTGAGTGCTTGGGAGATGTTGCCTCGATCGAGTTGTAGTGCGAAGAACATTAGGCAAGCCCAAGTACAGATGCGCTTGTCGATCTGTAATAGGTTAGCAAGAGTACGACAATCTTTCTAATATGTTGCCGTGTACCTTTCGCACCAAACGCTTCTCTTCTTTCTTCTCCCACACAAAGTCTGGATCATACCGATGGATACCTTCATAAGACTCTACAGGTCTGTAGTGGTCTTTCCCGAGGCCCGCCGAGACAAACGTCGTGCCATCTTTTCCTTTCGTACCGGATCCGTCCACTGAAGTGTCGCTGCTGTTGGCGCTCCCAGTAGTGTCGTACAGCGCTTTACCATCGACAGGGTATTCGTCAGCGCTATTACCCATATTCGGTGATGAATCTTTCCGAGAGAGTCGCTAAATTGTCAAGCTCTTGGACATCTTGGGATTGTCTTGGAGGATACCTCTCCATTATATCAGTGAACACTCCCTCGCCCGTCGACTCGTGCGATGGCCAGCCCATGTACAAAGCTTCTGGACTTGCGCCTTCTCGGAGGAAAAGTGTTGCAATTTTGCTAGCGCTACAACGCATGATGACCGTATATCCACCAACTATCAATCCACCTTCGCCATCACTGCACTCCCCAATCGCATTCGGATTTCTTTGCTATCCGCGGAAGTATCAGCGACAAGGGCCTTCCCGTGGCCCGCAAGCACGCAAACTGTGGATGTTATGTTGCAGCAGAGCATAACTTTTGTCTCCAGTAAATCCGAGGTTGATTCGTTGTCGTCTTCTTCCATGGGGGATTGCGTGATTGGCTGGGGTGTTGGCGACATGGATAAGGAACACCATATCCACCATTACCCCAGCGGGCCGTGCGGAGATTATTCTGACGCCAGAAAAGCCGTATATTCGACATCGCGTGGGATGGTTCGGCTGTACGAAGCCTTTCGCAAGTCGACAGTCTTTCCTATTCGCGGACAGTGTGGGGCGGGAAGTATGTATGAAGCAATACAGTGCATGCTTGATGCAATCTGATCGCCTCCTGATTGATCAGGCATATCGCGGCAGTCGTTCTTCCTGGATCGCCAAGGTGTATCGCTTGACTGCGACACCCGATAACAGTGGCAACTCGCCACTAAGTTTGTGAGAGCGGGGTTGCGCATGTCCGATGTCAGGGCCTGACGTCGAAGAACTGCTACCCGCGGTAATAATGCGATGTCGGGTAGACGTCGGGCATATAAGGCTGCGCAATGTATGATACACCATCCTTTCAAATTGACGCTCTCACAAACATCAACTGAGTAGACAGGTCTAGTAGCAACATGGCTCCAGCTCTTATCGAAGAAGTCACCGAACAGACTACTGTAGGCTACAAGTCTGGAGTTGGTCAGTACAAAGAAGCTGCTTTTGGTGGCCCAAAAGTATTCCGGAAAGAGCTCGAGCTGCGCGGCACAGACAAGCACGCGCCTGCTAAATACCCACACTACCTCCCGACTTGGGACAACGAGAAGGGACAGAGGTGAGTATCGCCATGCTCTTAGTGAGACTAGGATCTGATTAGAGATTCAGATATCCACCATGGGAGCCGTTTGAGCACACTGAGCACGGAAAAGATGCTGATCCTTCTTTCCCTAACCTCTTAAAGGATGCTACAGTTGCCGACATTACCGCAAATATCGGCGCTGAAGTCCATGGCGTCCAGCTGAGCAAGCTGACCGATGCTGGAAAGGACGAACTCGCACTCTTTGTCGCCCAGAAGAAAGTTGTAGCGTTCCGCGACCAAGACTTTGCAGACATCCCAATCAAAGACGCTCTTGCTTTTGGTGGTTACTTCGGTCGGCACCACATCCATCCTACATCCGGGGCTCCTGAAGGCTATCCTGAGGTTCACCTTGTCCACCGAGGTACAGATGACACCACTGCGCGAGATTTCTTTGAAGAGCGAACGAACTCCATTACTTGGCATTCTGACGTGACGTATGAGAAACAGCCACCCGGAACGACTTTCTTGTATCTTCTTGATGGACCAGCTGCTGGAGGCGACACTTTGTTCGCGAACCAGGCGGCAGCGTACAACAGACTCTCACCAGAGTTCAGAAAGCGACTACACGGCTTGAAAGTCGTCCACTCAGGTAAGCTCTCATCAAAGACAGCTGTGAAAAGGTACTCACATCGTCTTAGCTGTCGAGCAAGCCGACAACAGCAAGAACAGAGGTGGCATTGTCCGTCGCGACCCAGTGACTTCAATTCATCCGCTTGTACGAACGCATCCCGCTACTGGCGAGAAAGCGCTCTTCGTGAATCCTCAATTTAGCCGACGCATCGTAGGCTTCAAGAAAGAGGAGTCGGACTTCCTACTCAACTTCCTATACGATCATATCGCGAAGGGCCAAGACTTCCAGGCACGCGTTAAATGGGCGCCGGGTACTGTTGTGGTATGGGATAATCGCGTTACGGCGCACAGTGCGTTGCTCGATTGGGATGACGGCGCGCGCAGGCATTTGGCGAGGATCACGCCGCAGGCCGAGGCTCCTTATGAGACGGCATTGGAAGAGCGCAAGGCTGCTGGCTTTGAGTATTAGTAGAGTTAGTTTGCGATAATGTATTGAGTCCTTGTTGACCCTTCGAAGCTTCGGTATATCCTGTGGTGATCATGTGCCAGCTGCTGTGTCCTGGAGGTACACGCGGCGTTCCCAAGCACTGCCAGAACACCATGGCCATATCGTCTTCAGTCAGGCCATGATAAACAGGATAGCAGGAAGCCCGTCAACGACATTGGGCCTTTACTGATGATGTCGTAGTGAATCGGGAAAATCGCGAGGTTGGGGAAGGAAAGGAGTATCGCGCGAGTTCATTGCGTCATAGTCTTTGCAGGGAGAAGCCTGCGAACACGGACACTTCAAACACAATCGTTAGGACCAACACGAAGAAAAAACTGGACAGACCGCAATGTTCGATTTGAAACAATCCTAGGAGATGTCGATGTAAAAGATTTTTATATTCGATAAAGATGTCAGTTCAGCCAAAGCCGATGACTCACGCACCCTGTAGCTCCCGCGCACACATAGAGCACCGTTCTCCATGTCGTTGTCAACGGCTACATGACAAGCTAGAGGTCTCCTTTATCCGCCTCAAGTTCCATATTTCTCATCAGCATCCCTTTCTTAGAAATGAATCCGACATCCGCTCTGACCACCGTCACGTCTCCAGAAAACTCGTCCTCCTCTTTAGCCTTGCTCTCACGGTCGAGTGCCTCAGCCATAAGACTACTGTTCCCATCGAAATCCTTCTTAAGCTTACTTTCACACCTAGCACAGAGCTTCAGGCCACACCCGTCAAGTTCCATCTCGTCATCCTCGGATGCGAAAAGTGAAGCTTGCCGCGCACAGCAGGTGAACGCTGCTGGGGAGAAACACATAGAGCACCAGCGTTGGAGTTGCTGTTGGACCTCTTTCGAGTTTTCGGCGACCTCTAGGAGATCGGCACATGCTTCTTCGAAACTTGAGACCGTACCATCGGGGAAGATGTGCTGCATGTCGTGTTCATCGCAAGTCATGATCTGCGCCCTACCTAAAAGGACTATTAGCAAACTCGATTTTGGTAATGTCTAAGCCTTCAAAAAGACCTTGCCATATGCAACTTACCAATCGCGCAAATTTGGCACATAGTCGTCACCCCCTCCTTGTCCTGCGCATGGCCTCCACCGACTTCCGTGTACCCATGTCCGCCGTACCAGCGGATTACATGAACCTCCTTCTCGAAATGGCCAACGAATCCGAATATTGGTAGCTCGCAGAAGTTGCAGTCAGAAGTGTTTTTGATGGTACCGAACTGGATAGGATGCGCGAAGCTGGTCATGATCTTTGTCAGCGTACCCTTGCGGCCCGCTTCATCTTCCATCTCAATCTCGGGGGTTGGTGAGCGTGACTTCATGTACACGTCTTCGTTGTACAAATCTTCTAGGTCTTCCTTCGTGAAGTAGTCATGATCTGGAATTGCGACTTCAGGTGCATCTCCTTCTGTGGGCCCTTTGGTCTTGGCTTTCTTCTCTTTCACTACTTTCGGGATCTCGTAGAAGGTGCAGCCGATGTTGTGCTTCTTGCAGTATTTGCATGGCGGTTTGTCGGTTTTCTTCTTTAGGCTGCAGCGCTTCTTCTCACGGCGACAGTTGGTGCACTGTGTGTATGGTCGGTCCTCAGTATAGATTACATCGTCGATGACGATCCTCTCGGCGCGGTAGCCAACTGGCGGAAGCGCTGCGCAAATGTGCTCGTTCTCAGCGCAATGGTCGCAAATCGCTTGGCCAGGCTCATTTTCGAAAGAACAATAGTCGATACTGTCGTCGACACATTGCTTGCAGCGCCCTTTCTCGGTAGGTGTGATGATGGGGTCGCAGTCCTGGTTTAGATCGCAGCAGTACTGACATGGATATGTACCACCTGTTACCATAGAGCACTCAGCTCCATGTACGCGACAGGATATGCAACCTCGCGCTGCTGGATGGCCTGTCAAATCTTCAACCTCGGAGCGGGGATCTTGAATCGGAAGCTGCATGCGGCGATCGGGGGTGTTGTGACGGAAGAATGCGCGATACTCTTGTAGTTCGCGCTCAACATCAGAATCAATGTCTGACCAGTCTTCTGGCCAATTGTCCTGGTCGTCTGTGATATTCTTCACATTGCCGAAATTTGCAATGCGAAGCTTGACGATGCACTTCAAAACCGGCTCTTTAGGTACACGATGCTGGTCTCTTTCCAAGCGCCGTGCGGCTTTGGCAGCCTTCGCTGCCTTTGCCATCCTGAGTCTATGTGCTTTGTTCTGGGTTTCGTTTACGGGATCGAAATTGCCAGACTCGTCTTGATCGACATATGTATACGCAGCTCTTCGTTCGATACCTTGACGCAACCCATAGGCTGGCTAGTAAAGTTAATACGAAATTGCTATGACGGTCATGAACTGATTTTACATACCTGTGTATCAGGGGGAATAACGATCTCGCCGTCAGATAGCGCTGGGGACATTCTGGGAGACATGCTATCTCTATCAGATTCCTCGAATCCAAAGCCAAGATTGAGTGGTTGCTCAGATGAATGGACTTCCGTCTCTTGCGCTTCGAGATCTAGACCAGACAGGCGGTTGCCGATGTTTTCTCTCGGAACCTCAGTTTCGAGGAGGTTGTCAGCTTGGTCTCTGAGGCCTTCTTCAGGCAATTCTCCGAAAAGGTCGTCAAACTGATCTTCTTCAATCTCATCCGTTGGCCCCCCAAAAAGAGACTGGCGTGGTCTCTTAACTCTGGGGCTTGCCTCATCGTCACCATCTTCAGTTCTTGGCGATTTCTTGCTTGTAGGCGGAGACTTCCGGGCCTGATGACCAGACCAGGAGCGGTCGAATGCTTGGGGAGCATCGTCGTCATCAGAGAATCCCTGTTCGAGTATCTGGAGTATCTGGTGGTTCATATCTTGATCACTTGAGTTCTGGTCATGTATGCTGTTGTCGTCATTACTTCGATCACGCATGTCGATGTCAATATCTTGCTCGACATGTTCGTGCATGACTTTTGGTAAGTTGTCATTCTCTTGGTAGCCATGTGTAGAGTGAAGATTCCCTTTGACGCTATCGCCGGCATCGATCCCATGAGGAAGATTGAAGTCAAATTCAACGTCAGGCCTGGGCGGCATGCTATCGTTTATGGTATTGCTCATGGCTGAAACTGTCCAGACAAGCCGTCACTGATCGGTCGACGTCGCAACAAAGAGTATTGGTGGAGGGTGGCTTGCAACTTGTGGACAGGTCGTGTCCTGGTGAGGGGTTTTAAGCGTCGGCTTAGCGTTTCTTGATGCTGAGTTGGCGAGCCCGAAAGCCTGAGGTGAGAGGAGCTCAGGAGGGAAACCCCGCCCCAACTGAGGGAACGCGGGATCAAATGATGCAAATCGCTACACAGATCGCAGTCAACGTGTCCAAAGTTAGCAAGTTTATCAGCAGGCTGATGGTACATCAAGACAGACTTGCAAAGCCTGCAGCGAGAGTGAGAAAACCGAGCGAACAAGTTTCGCTGTTTGGAGAAAATCTGGTGGTGATGAGAGCTAAAAATTGGGAGACGGAAAGTTTGAAGTGTGGTTCAAGAACGACGAAGACCGCAAACGGAGTGTGCGTTTTTACCTCGGAAGTTAAAGAAGGCTGATCAAGCCGGGACAAGAGCGAGGAGTAATACGCACATGTGCCTTGTCCGCTTCAGTCTTAATATAGCCCGTATGAATTATATAGAGAGAAGAGGTCCAGAAAGAATAATGGGAAGATGGGAAGGACTGAAGCGATCGCATTTTGGTTTGTCGACAGTACGATGGAAGGCGGTGCTGGGTCGACGGAGCGGTCTACTCTCGGCGTTTCAGAGCGAGACCCAGCTACAAGGAAACGAAAGTCAATTATGTATCGTCTTCTTTAGTATGTGTATATTCGATGGCCGATGGATCTTGTTGGTCTTAAGATATACTGGTGCTTCAAAGTTGAGAACATGAACGACTAATCGCAGATGAATCTCGGGTGTCTGATTTAGCCGTAGGCTTTATGAATTCATGGATTTACTTCAGGAACTCTCTAGGTAATCATTATAATTGAAGCGTGCGTTCTGTCGATGATTCTCAGGCCTATGTTTCTGGCAGCTGCGTGCGGCCAAGAGATGATTGACGACATAGGTTGTATGGCCAATACCATGATCCAATATGTCTTGAATATAGACTGATGTAATGCTGGAAACACGTCTGATGTGCAAAGAGGTATGGTAGTTGCCGGGATGTGGATGGTCTACAGAGAATAGAGGGAACTCGGCATTACTTAGTCATCACAACGCTAACACGGACCCCTCCAGCGAAAACGATTCGCGGACATTCCCAGAGCTCGCTCTTTCTCTGCACCGCTCTATTATCAATGAAGCTCCAGGACGCTTCATACCGCCCTCTGTGGGCACCATGGCGCGATCGATGAGGCTGTTTCTGATCCGTCATGGGGAAACAGTCGACAATGTCGCGCAACTCTAGTAAGCACTTCGCCAGCTCGGACCTTATCTTTGCTAACAGTTTCAGTGCCGGTAGTAGAGATTCAGCCCTCACCAACCACGGCTACCAACAGGCCACTCGTCTGGGTCTGCACTTCAAGTCTCTCGATTTGACGTTTACCCACATCTTCTCGTCACACCTCCAGCGAGCTGTGAAGACGGCTGGAAGAATCCGAGATGCTCAGTTCGCGTCGACCGATGATGACAACACTGTGAAAGCAGTTCCTGATGTTAAGCAGCTACCAGTGCTGATGGAGAAGGACTTCGGTTCGATGGAAGGGAAGAAATTCCACGATCGACCGGAGAACAAGGATACGACGAGCTTCGCGGATGCCGAGTCGAAAGACAGCATGGCGCGTCGAGCTGACTCATTCCTCAATGAGCATCTCTTGCCGCTCCTCGATGAAGCGTCGAAAGACGCCGACCTCGTGGTTGCGATAGTCTCGCACGGGATCTTCCTCTCTACCCTTTGGAGGCGCCTGCTGTTGCACCTTCCACATAAAAGCGTTGCGCTCTCTCCGGGGCTCCAAGCAATAGCGCGACCATCGCTCGAGCATCTGGGTGGCTGGTCCAATACTGGCTATCTCGAGTTGCGCATGACGAGGATAGACCGTGGTGATTCCACTGTCGTTGCGCAGGTACCTGCTGTACCTACGCTAGAACGTTGTTCATCGCTTGTAGAGATGCCAGCTACCAATGAAGATCTGGATGAGACCGAGGCATCAGATCCCGCGACTGAACATGGTTCTGCACGCCAGCAGGTTTCCCAAGTGCCTACTCGGGCAGCCGTCGCAGCCTCGCCAGCCATTAGACCGCGCATTGCGAGAGGATGGTCCTCTACCATTCTTGCGATTAATGGTAAAGACCATCTCCGCGGCATCAAACGCACTCGTGGCGGTATCGGAAGTTCTCGTCACGATGCATCGCAGAGCAGCATCAAGATCTTCTTCAAACGTTGCAAAACTGTTTGAAGTCATCGATGGTAAGTCCACAAATCTTCTTTCCTTTCATATGCAATGATGAAAAAACCTTTTAATCACAGACCTGATCGGAATTTAATGTCGACCAAAAATTGTACCAACTGCTGTCTGATTCGCATTCAACTCATTTTGTTCTTTTACTGCTTTTGTTTGAGAACTTCGCTAATAAATGAGGCCATAGATTATGTCTGGTGCGTCCACCCAGAATCATGCATCTCATGCTCTAATTGGAAATCAATACAAATCCTTCTTTTGCACATAGTCCTTCATCTTGACCCATTTCACTGCATGAATCCTTGTACCGTGACTCCATCACACAGCATCTCCAAGGTTACACTGAATTTGACGTCTAGACCGTGCTGGCTCTTGAAGCCAAGACAAGGCGGTCCACGCTCTGTCGCTTTCCGTACTCTGCGCTGGCGGTGGAATAACCACGACTCGGCTCTCCATATGCTGCTAGTCAGTGCCACGGTGATTCGCAGATTCTACCACCCATGGGTAGATACAACGCGTCGCGCGGGTATCACAAAGCCTTGTCGCGTTGGCTACCAAGTTTTGACGTGGTGAAGGTCCGTGCAGCACCCGCCTTCCTCATCGTCGCATCACTCACCGCAATATCGCAGTATCTCGACCGCTGTCGCATGCCTGTAAAAGCGATATTCCGGTAAGTTTCATATGGCTGCCGATGGCACGGTGCATAGGTTGTGCGTGTGCACTGCGCTACACCGAACGTTGTTGTGCGGCAAGCATGCTTTTTCATAGGATTGGCCGCTGGTGGCTGGCGACCTGCCACCCCGGTTTCCGGGAAGGGTCGATATCAGCCCCCCAGTATTAATACATATGAAAGTAGGGCTGGTAGGATTATTTCTGTCGTCAACGCTTTGTGTTTTGTTCAATCGTTCAATCTGCAGTCTTTTTGTTCCGGTCGCTGTCGGATCTTCTTGAGATCTTTGTGTCGGGCCAATTGCAGCACGTCGTTCTTTGCGCGATCACAGTCCACATTCGTTCACCATGAGAAGCTCAATAGTAATTCAGCTGAGTACGCTGTCGGTGGGTGTACTCGGTGGTGTAGTGCCAGGACCGTATTATGTCAATAGTAGTGAGTAGATGGTATGATGGCTTGGAAGATTGCGATATACTGACCTTGATAGCTACCACTATCGGAACACCACGGCCACACGTACATGCTCCTGGACTACCAACACCACCGACTACCCTGTCGACGTCAATATCAGATTCCAGCACAGCCATCGTCGCCCCCTACCCGACCTCATCGTCAAATACATCTGTTGTCGATGTTTCTCCCTCTTCATCAACTGCATACGCAGTCTCCAGCTCCTCCCCAGAAGCATCAACAGTGACGCTGTCAGTATCAAGTTCGCTCAATGTTACCACACAAAATGCCACACTCATCTACTCGCCACTTGTAAGCTCAGCAACCGTCACCTCACCTTCGTCAATCCCCACTTCAGAGTATCCTCCCGTGGTAGTGATAGTCGTCGCCGAAACGGTGTATGCCACAGCACAACAACCAAATTCGACTTTTGCTTACAACGCGACGCTTCCGACGGCAACGATTTCGGATTGCTTAACTACTCTTCCAGCATCCGCAAATCAGAGCTCTCCCAGTGTTGTGCCTTCGTCTGCTACCGTCAGCAGTATTCTTCCTGGCCTAGCTCTGGCTGCTGAAATCGGCATAGGTGAGGAGCTGGCTAGCTCCAGCATCGATCTTGGGCTTCTGTCGTCTATCCTCCTCCCAGATAGCTCAACCATAAATCTCGGACTTCTGTCATCCATCCTCCTATCCGAGGTGACTCAGCGATCAGTTGGGACGACCTATACGACCACTACGACGACCGTTATCTTTACTCCAACCCCCCTAGTTCCTTCTCCGTCAAGCACCAACCCAAGTATATCGGGGACGACAACAACGACCGTGGTTGCGCCCACCACCGCATCCCCATCCGCGTCGATAGCTTCACCGACTTCGACGTCAACAAGCGACTCGGTTGTGCCGTCGTCATCTGAAGTAGAGTCGAGGTCAACCTCGCCATCAGAACCGCCATCCACCATCCTCTCGACAGTCACAGTCACGATTCCAACACCATCATCTCCATCTAGCACCGAATCCAACACGGAATTTCCCACGGCACCACCATTCTCATACAACCCCTCCGCCTCCCGTGGCTCTGCACCTCCCATCTCACGCCCTACACCCGAGCCCTCTAGCGCGAACGTCGCTGGTTCGACGCTCAGCACTGCCGCCACACCTACCTCAACGAGAATCTCACAATATGGCACCGGTGTTCCGCCTGCGCCCAGTGCGGCGGGCGCATCGGGTGTTTTGAGTGAGAGGAACAAAGAGAGGGTTTGGTGGGTGGCTTTCTTCGGTGTAGCGAGCGTATTCCTTCATTAGCGACATGGCCTTCTTTTTCTAATTTCCCTCATTACCGTTATGAGCGAGATGTTTTACGCGAGAGAGAACGATGACTTTACGATTCTTATGTTATTATTACGATTGTTACTTTAATGTTTTTAAGGTTAATTGGCTATCAAGGGAAGCAAGAGGAGGATATACCAGGTACGCGATTGACACGGCGTTCGAAGGAGAGTTAGAACTTTTGGGTGTGGTTTTCGGTTAAGGGATGCATTGAGATCGTTCTGACATAGAATTCTACAAACGAGAGCGACAAAGATATCAAAGTGGGATTAGTGAGAAGGTGCTCGGCCGCGGTCAACGTCGAGATCTTTGAATATTATATAATGTACAATGAATGTTGTAACTCAAGTAAAGCTTCCTTCAATTGTCAAAACCTGCGACGTCATTGAGCAAACTTTCAGCGCAACCATGCAGCGAAGCTTGCGGATCTGATCCCTAGTTTCCGAAGGAACACAAACGGTACATCAGGCTATCTCAGAAAGGTTCAATGATTGAGATGATCCGGGGTTGAAGTGCGGAGAGGTTTGTTCGTTGAAGATCAGAAGCGGGGGAGAGGCCGCCTTGGCTAGCGCAAGCCACCATTTCTTCCGTCAATCAAACCTCAGACTCGACACACTTTACACGGTCGTCATCACTTCGATTGAACGCGTCAAGTCACAAAATCACGCGTTTTTGAGATGGATATGGATACAGCAAGCCTTCCGATCTGCACCAGGGGTGTTCTCGAAGACCCAACACGCGCTGCACACAGCCCAACGCTCTCGGCGTCACCTCGCTTATAAACATTGCATCGATCGTCGTCCATTGAACCGGTACCTCAATATACAGCGAGCGCCTCGGGAGACAATTGTCCGCGGTACATCATGGATTCTGCGGGTGCATGTTCCAACGGTCCGTAGACCCTGGATCAAATCTATAAGACCCAAGATACATTGTCTAGAACCCAGTATCCGGGCGAGACTGCACCTACATCTCACACCAATATGCGGCAGTCCTTCTTCGGTTCAGCCTCCCTACTTGTTGGGTGCGCTCTTCTACTTCCCAGTAGCGCACTCGATCTGGTCCGCAGACAGGCAGCAGCAAATGCAACCTACAAGGATGCATCGGCTCCCGTAGAGGACCGAGTGGCAGACCTTCTTTCTCGTATGACAATTGAGGAAAAAACTGCTCAGCTCATCCAAGGAGACATCTCGAACTGGATCAATGTCACTACTAATGTCGTCAACGAGACCGGTCTCGAATGGAACTTTCGCGTCCGCGCGGGTCAGTTCTACGTTGGCTATCCGATACCTGCGGAGTGGATCAGCAATGGCGTCAAGATTGGCCAGGACTACCTTTTACATAACACAACATTGGGTATCCCGGCCATGGTTCAGACCGAGGCTATTCACGGCTTACTCGTGGGTAACGCGACCATCTACAACAGTCCGATCGGGCAGGCTTGCTCGTGGGATCCGCAGCTGATTCACGATATGGCCGTGGCTATTGCGAAGGAATCGGCACCTCTTGGTATCAATCAATTATTCGCACCACTTGCGGACTTGGCGCGCGAGCTGCGTTTTGGCAGAGTAGAAGAGACGTACGGCGAGGACGGTTTCTTAGCCGGCGAGATGGCATACGAGTACGTTATGGGAGTGCAGAGTCTGAATGTCAGCGCTACAGTCAAGCACTTCGCCGGTTTCAGTAACCCAGAGCAAGGTCTTAATACTGGACCAGTTCATGGAGGTGAACGGGAGCTCCGAACCACATGGCTGCCATCTTTTCACCGTGCTATAATCGACGCCGACGCCTGGAACATCATGGGTGCCTACCACTCTTACGACGGGATACCTTCGATCGCCGATGGTCATATGCAAGAGACAATCCTCCGTGAAGAGTGGGGCTACAAGTACTGGTTGACTTCAGACGCGGGAGCCACGGACCGACTCTGCTGCAACTTCAAGCTGTGTCAATGCAAGACCGAAGATACACCAATCGACAGCGAAGCGGTAACACTCATGGCCCTACCGAATGGTAACGATGTGGAGATGGGTGGAGGCTCGTACAACTATGCGAACATCCCTCGTTTGGTCGAAGAAGGCAAGCTTGACATTGAGATTGTCGACAGAGCCGTGAGCCGCCAGCTTCGAGCGAAGTTTACAATGGGTCTTTTCGAAAACCCATACCAAGGATTGTCCACAAACGAGACGGAGTCCATCATCCACCCTGAGGAACATGTCCAGCTTGCGAGGACGCTCGAGGCTGACTCAATCGTCTTGCTTGAGAACAAGAACAGCACTCTGCCTCTCTCCAAGTCTGCCAACATCGCCGTCATCGGCCCCATGGCGAACATTACGAACCTGGGCGATTACGTGGTCTACCGCTCTCAGTACAACCCCACGAACGTTACTCCATTGCAAGGTATTCAGAGCGCATCTAGCGGTACAGTAACATACGCCCTAGGTTGTGAGCGCTGGTCGAACGACCAATCCGGCTTCCCCGATGCAGTTGCAGCGGCTGAAGCTGCTGATATCGCAGTAGTCGTCGTCGGTACCTGGTCACGAGATCAACAGGAGCTCTGGCAAGGTCTGAACGCCACTACTGGTGAGCACGTAGATGTCGCATCGCTCAACCTCGTCGGCGCTATGGGCGAGCTCGTCCAAGCCATCATCGAGACTGGTAAACCAACCATCGTGGTCTACTCCTCTGGAAAGCCCGTCACAGAGCCTTGGATCTCCGATAATGCAGCCGCTCTCCTTCAGCAGTTCTATCCCGGAGAACAGGGTGGCAACGGATTGGCTGACGTCCTCTTCGGCGATGTCACGCCCTCTGGCAAGCTTTCTGTCTCCTTCCCTTACGATGTGGGTACCCTCCCAATCTATTACGACTACTTGAATTCCGGCCGAGCCACCGATGCTGGTGCTATCTTGCCAAACGGTACACTCCAGTTCGGTCACCAATACGTTCTCAATAACCCTCAGCCACTCTATGAGTTCGGCTATGGCCTCTCCTACGCAAACTTCACTTACTCCAACGTCACTCTCTCAAAGACCGAAGTCAGCGCAACTGATAAGATCACGGCAACCGTAAGTGTGACCAATGAATCAGATGTCGACGGCAAGGAAGTAGTTCAGGTATATGTGCAAGATGTCTTTGCTAGCGTTGTGGTGCCGAACAAAGAGCTCAAGGGCTTCAAGAAGGTTATGATTAAGGCTGGTGAGACGGTAGATGTCAGTGTGGAGTTGGATGTGAGCAAGTGGGGGCTGTGGGATAGGAAGATGCAGTATGTGGTTGAAAAGGGAGATTTTATTGTGCATGTAGGAGCAAGTTCCATGGATCTGAGGGGAAACGGGACGGTGACTGTGGCTTGAAATTTTGCTTGTCGTCGTAGCTGGGGTCGGGAAACGACAGGTCGAATTCATGCAGCGTTGGCGCGATTGGGCGTGTCGCTGTGTAACGGGGAGACACGCTAAAAAAAAAAGGTCCGTGCCGCAGCAAACGGGCAGTACTCAAGCATCTCCCTCCCTCATCTTGATTTCTCCTACTCACTCACTGTGTTGTTTTCCATCTCACCTTTTCTACTTTCAGTCGTCTTACTTGATTCACAAACCGGCTTGTGCATTGGGCGTTGTCAGTAACCTAACAGCGAACAGAATTGCCGTGCTCCTGCCCAAGCCTACCATCGCAAGCTGTCAGCGACGATGTCACTTTCTCAGGTCTTAGAAGTGACACCTCATACTGTCCTTCAGTTTTCAGAGACCATCTTTTAGCTTTTATTGCTGTATATCCGGTGGGTGTGAAGCCTATTGATGAAGACGTCGTTGACGTACGAACCTCTAGACCATATTAGGAGTCTCACAGGAGTAAGTCAAGTCATTTCACTGACACGATATCCAAAGAATTACTTACTGACATGGGGGCTCTTACAGAGACTGGTTCAAAGAGAGCCACATGGTGTGTGTTTCCCCAACGGTTCGTTTGCCTCGGTGTCGACCTCATTGACGACTCTACGGAAGATGACGACTCCCTCTATAGAGATCCCAATAAACGTCCGCCGCCATCGGTTCCAGCGGCTCGACTCTCTCCGTCAGTGCCGCTGAGCTCAAAGCCCCAACCGACGCGCAGCAAGTCGATACAGACGGACTTGTCGACACAGTCTAAGGAAGATTCTTATGGTAAGCACATCTTAGAATGGGAAAAACTCTCTCTCGAAACTAACTTCCTGCAAGTTATCGGCACTAAGATTGAGCACACGTCGCTCGACTGGGGTGGTGGTTTTCCTGGAAGCCATGACTTTTACCGCACTCGCGACCAATCAGATCAGGAAATATTCACCCTGAAGCCGAACGTCAGCGCTGGAAAGTCACGCAACAAGAGAAAGTATTCGGTGCTGAAGATCGTGTTATGGCGAGGAAATCCTGCTAGGGCTCGTCAGGTTAAGGTGACGTGCTTACACGATCAGAGCCTAAGGCGTCTTACTGCAGGGCCCTTGAACTACGCGATCAGCTCTAGTCTGCTGGCACTGCGTCGATTCTACACTCGCCTATGCGTCTAGTGCGTCAACAAGCTTCTCTTCGATGCTCTAGCGGATGTACCGGAGGGCCCTGTTCTCGCTGTGGGTGGCTTGCACGTCTCCGATACGTTGGAACCCCCCTGTTACGGGCTTGAGTACCCACAGCTCCTGGGGCTCTACGATCAGTTCGTGTAAATCACTGGCCATATGTCCAGCGGCTGGGAGTGTACCTTGCATGTAGGCCAAAGCCTCCCGCAGTTCGCGTGAGATTGATAGTGTTGATGGCACCATATGGACGTCGACAACATATAGCGCTAGCATACCTAGGTAGCCCTTGTTGTTACCCCAAGTCTACAAGCTACTCGAACCGTTTCTCAGTGATATCAGAATAGTATGACCGTGATCTTGGGCCTTTGATAGAAAGCACTAGCTTGTAGAGCGTCTTTTGCGCTCAATGCAGCGTCGCAAACATACTACATTCGCACTTCGAGTTCACTCGTGTAGGTTGCTACAACATTGACTTCTCAATCGCCATGTCCGCAACTATTGCACATTGTTGCATAACTTGATGTGATGTCAATCCACTCTCAAGTTCACGCATCGCGCCGCATGGCCGAATCAGGTTAGCAGACCACAGCCGGTAGCTCGCTTAGAAGCGGCGACAGTTGAGGCGGTCGCGATAGTCGGAACCGTCGGTGACGAGTGCGCGACGCTTCAGACGTCGATATCAGCAGATAGGCAGTCGATAAATCACTTGTCATGTCCAATTGGAGCCATGGCAGCCGGCGGAGAAGGTATCGGAAAGGCGAGCGAGCTTGCCCGTCGCAAAGTCTTGCTCGATAAGGAAACAACCTCCACGAATGCCCCGCGCCTAGTCTACAGCGACCACAACGAAGTGGCCGAGAACGGCCCACTATTTCCCTTAGCCATTTAGCGATGCAAGTGATAGGTGTAGTCAACGTGATGGTATAAATACGCAGTGCGATGGTCATGACCATTTATCGCTGCATCAAAACTCTCTCAACTTCATGCTCTGCGACGATAAACCCGTTATCCTGAACAACATGGCAGCGAGCAAACCTTCATACCTCGTCGTTGGCGCCGGCGTCTTCGGAATTTCAACTGCGTATCACCTTATCAAGAAGTACCCGGACCGACAAGTCACAGTCGTTGACCAAGATGCCTGGGACGCCGATAACCGCGTAGCAGCTTCATGGGACTGGAATAAGGTTGTGCGCGCCGACTACGACGATGTCATCTACTGCAGACTCGCTCTTGAGGCTCAAGATGTCTTCAAGGAGGACCCGTTATGGCAACCTTACTTCCACGAGACTGGTATCTTCTGGGTCTGCCGTTCAGATTACGCACAAGATGTCATCGACAACTACAAGAAGCTTGGACGCGAGGCAGACTTACAATCAGTTACCATTGAGGAAGCGAAGAAGTTGTTCGGTGGCCTTTTCGAGGATGCGAACTACGACGGAGCGAAGAGTGTCCTAGTCAACAAGACAAGTGGTTGGGCACAGGCCGGTGATGCACTAAGAGCAGTTACCAAGTGGTCGATCGCAAAGGGCGTCAAGTACGTCACCGAGAAGGTCGAAAGCCTGGACTTTGACAACGCCGGCCGCTGCACAGGTGTCAAGACTGAGCAAGGTAGCACTATCAAGGCTTCGCACACTATCTTGTCAACCGGCGCCTACACTGCCAAGCTTCTCGAGCAGGCTGCTAAGACAAGTGGGAATTCAGACCTCCGTGCTGGATCAAGAATTGTTGCTGGTGGTATCACGACAGGTATGACGACTCTTGACGAGAAGTCGTACGAGAGGTTCAAGGACATGCCCGTTGGTGTTCAGGGCTACACCGCTGCATACGGGCCCTTCATTGGCAGCTTACCGCCTACCAAGGACCGTGAGCTCAAGTGGTGGGGAGAGAAGATCTTCAAGAACACACACGAAGTGCTTCCTGGCCGTTTCGTCTCTGCGCCACCATCTGGAAAGGATTACAACCAGTGGGATGTTCCTGGTCCATTGAAGTTGGACATTTCTCACGCCAATGACGTGTTTTACGGCAAGAAGGGTGCAAACTGGAAGATGGACAAGCACCGTATCTGCTGGTAAGTTTCATATTCATGCACTGATACTTGATCAATACTAATGAAACCCAGGGATGCATTCACCACTTCATCTGACTTCATCATCTCGCCTCACGCCGCCGCCAAGGGTCTCTTCGTCGCAACATGTGGCTCTTTCCACGGCTACAAGTTCTTCCCCGTCCTTGGCAAGTACGTCGTACAGATGCTGGAAGACGAGCTAGAACCAGAGCTCAAGGAGAAGTGGGCATGGGATCGCGAGAGGCCGGCGCCTAGCCTCAACCCTGACTGGCCGCGCTTCGAGATGGTGGATCTGCTGGACCAGTGGCCAAAGGCCAAGTTGTAAGATGTGATATGAAATTATATGACGAGACTAATGAGTGCTTGTTGCATATTTGCAAGGCGTCTGGGTGGGAGTTTCTTGTCCTTTAGATAGTGAATACTATGAACGATGACTGTTCCCTGTTAAGTTGCTTCACCTCCATTATCCTTAGTATCAACCTTTAGTTTCTTCTCAATATGTTCCATTCACTCTTGCATGTGCTCTAAGTAGTATTCGACATCCTTTCTACAAGCTATGTAGTAACATCTTTGCTGCTCGTCAAGTGTCCTGTGCATCTCTGTATTGCAAGCTGAATCTGAGGTTATCCCTAGAAATTCATGCTTCAGATCCCTCAATGCGCCTATCACATTCATAGTAAGCCCGTTCATCGCTTCGGTCGCTGTAGGGAAGTTGAAGGGTTGGATCTTAGGGGGCATATATGCACACGAAGGATGTGGGAGCAAGGGAAAGATGTCGGTAGAATGGTAGAGACGGAAACGAGGATATAAGCAAGAAAAGGCTTGCACGTCCTAACATATGATTGCTTATTTGTTTTACGACTTCTTCCCGGATTGTTGTATTGCATGAGCCTAAGCGCAAGCAAGTTCGTATGTTTTTGGACAGCGAGCTGTTAGCAAGCGCATATGGCAATTTATCTCGACCTGATATAAAATCCACCACCCGTCTTACATTTCACCTATCTTACCCCCATTATTCCGTGCAAAAGGTCGCTGCGCACAGCCTTCAAATGACGACCACATTCGATGACAACAAGTTAATGAAAGTCTTCTACCATACTGTCACAAACTTCAGAGATATCTACCTGGCTGATGATGACAAACGCTATTACATCACAGAATCCAAGCAGGAGAGATATCGAAGGCTAAGTCCGTACGACAGACAGTACTACCGATTGAATGCGGCGAGAATGATGTCGGTGTTGGAACAAGTGTTACACTGGACGAGTGATATCGATAAGAACCTGGGCACCGGGGACATCAACGGAGAGACACTGCCTGATATAGACCTGTGAATGCTAGACACCACATAGCAATCCGAGAAGTGAGGCGAAGCAAGCGATTTAGAACTTTAAGGCATATACATGTTCATTTGATTCATATTTACATCGAAGAATGGCACCTGCGATAGGTGCCGGCCAGCTTTTGATTTCCACTGTTCGTGCCAAAGATGCACTTAAGCAGTGACCTTGCTCTTGATGAAGGTGAGAGCCTGGTTGCCGTAGATGTTGACGTACTGCTGGTGGTGGTTGGCGTCGTTTCCATTGCAGCAGTATGGGTCCTGAGAGTCGCAGTAGCTCTGGATGATGCTGCTGCTGGCAGGTGCGCAGGTGAATCCAGCAGGGCGGGCGGCGAACTAAAGTACTCGTTAGTAAGAATACCAAGAGTTGGAGAAATAGTGGACTTACGCCTTGGGCCTTGCAAGTACCGACGTTGTAGGGAAGACCGTTGCGGTTGTGTGGGTCACCCATGAAGATCGCCGCCTTGACGGCCTTGAGGGCGTTGCCTGTCAAAGTGGAACCAGCACCGCCGCAGATGGCGTTGTCCATGATTTGACCTCCCTACAAACTGTTAGCATTCGGCGTTCTTGGGGTTCATGACACCATCCATACCTGAGAGTATCCAATAAGGACGATCTGAGTGCTAGGGCACTTCTGGTTGTAGGCAGTAACGGCCTTGACAACCGCTGCGGTTCCTTGGGAAGCAGAGTTGTCGTAGGATACGCCTCCGCAGGAAGAGCCTCCACCGCAAGCTGGGTACACGATGGCTTCGGAGCCCGCACCAGGGTAGGCGGACTTGACCGAGTTTACAAGCCCGGCAGCGGTACCGTAGCCATTGCTTTGGGGTTGTGTGGTCTCACGAGCTCCGAAGATGTAGACCTTGGGGCAGCTCTGACGCTCAGCGATCTCAACAGGGCCGGCGGCGGCGAGACCAACAAAGAGAGCTGCTGCTGCGGAAAACTTCATGTTGACTTTGAAGGAAGTGGATACTGTGCTTCGGATTGAGTTGAGATGTCAAGGAGTTGTGATGATCAAGTCTGGGCAGCGGGCGATGTGTTTATAAAGAAAGTTTCATGTATCCACTGCAGCTGTCCTTTAGGCAGAATCAATTGCCTCGTCTATACATTATGTCCTATCAGTGGGGTACAAAGTAATGTTTTGCTTTGTCTTGGTGCACAGATGGTCCTTTCATCCGTCGTCGCAATTTATCTGAACAGTCCTGTGATGAAGATCGGACAGGGATTATTGCCGTAGCCCACGTCTGTTTCATGCAGAACCAAGCCTCGGCCGTCTGGGGTACATATGGATCCTAGTGTCTTCGGGAGAAAAGCGACCAAGCGAGCAAATAGAAGGCTGCAACGTATAGGACTCTCGGTACGTCGCGCGATGGGTAGATGGATGGCGTCGTGGCCGCGTGGTCAGATGATGTACCGGTGTGGAGCCGAACCGTCCTGGCTAAATGGGAATTCTCGAAAAGCTTGGGTTTGAAGTTTAACAATCCGGGGTAAAATGCTTGTTTTTGTGAGCCTCAGCGCTAAAACACTGTACCTGATGACGGATCAAGCATAGCTTCCGGATGTGCGTGAAGAACGCGTATATCGAGTATAGGGTCAAGAGAACTGATAGTGCCTGGAGGCTAAGTAGCCCTCACCGCCCCTTCAGCGCCCTCTCAGTCTCGGTGCTCATACGTTGACTCGGCGGTGTCGGAAGCAGACAATGTCGTTCTAGTGCGACTCAAGGGCGGTCTGGTCGTACGAAGCGATAGAGAGCTCTCCTAATAATGAAACAATTATAGGGCGGGTCTGTCCGACCGCCATGTTTCAAACACCGGCCGGTCCACCACCAATTAATGCAAGAGCAGCTCGAAGAGAAGCGAACGCGTCCAACAGATGCATGAGAGAACTTTCAAAAAAAAGAGAACTTGTGATGTGATTAGACATAAGCTTCCTGAGGCGGAGAGATAGGTATTCCAGGGTGACGTCATCGCCTCATATCACGATTGGCTCCGGTATCGCGCCACCTCTGATCTTGCACTTGACTTTTAACGAACCCCCAATCAAAAGCACCTCTGAGCCTTGTCGCTTTAAAGAGAACGCTAGTGATTAAGTTAGCATTTTGCAAATATGGAGGATGATATGGATGAAAGCATACACATCTAGGCAGGTACTTGCAGCTTGCTTCTACGAACGAAGAGCAGGCTCAGGTAGAACTCGTTACGGAGCCTCATAGATGGAGTGACGTTTGGGAAGACGCAAGCGCGCTGTCTATAATAGGAGGCAGACATATAATTCCTCAACGACGGGAGGCTGTAGAATGAGCGCAGGATAGGCAAGGTAGTGGCGCAGTCAAGCGAGCAAGGCTCAGCCTTCTTGCTCATGAGACATGATTCCTTCGATCCCCTCGTCCTCTTCCACCTTAAACCACGGTAGATCAGACTCTGCAGTATGTCCCTGCTGTGGAAAAGCGCAAGCGACAATCACTTGGATCGGACTGCCGACAGACATGGCACATCGGGCGACGAAAGCGGCATTGCGAGCCTAACGGTACGCGCAACGGACACGCGGCTTGATATGATGAAGAGCTGGATCAAAGAATGCGATGAGCATCACGGCTCACAGTGCTGTACACCAAAATCTGGCGCTAGTATATGGCCTATGTGGGTCGTCGACGTCGTGGATGATTGCATAGTCGAAGGCGATATTGCCGACCGTTATCTCACACTAAGCTACGTGTGGGGTGGAGTACAAACGTTGCAGGCAACCATTGCAAACATCGAGCAACTCAGAAAGCCTGGAAGTCTCAACAGAGACAAAGTGGTCCTGCCCAAGACAATACGACAGGCTATAGACGTCACCCGGTTACTTGGAGAGCGATACATCTGGATAGATCAGCTATCGATCCTACAAGATGATGAAGAACATAAGCATGGTCAGATTAAGCATATGGCGGAAATATACGCAAATTCTTACCTGACGCTTGTTGCTGTTACGGGCAAAGTAGCGAACTCCGGTCTGGCAGACGACATCGATCAAATGATGAACGAAACTCCCCTCAACGAAAAAGATGATAAGTTTTATACAGCTGAGTTCGTGGAACTCGCTAGCACATGGAACCTTCGGGGGTGGTAAGTGGCACACAGTATAAGCAATGGTTCGAGGTGCATGAACTAATGGTTTACCTGTTGTGTCTCAGGACTTTCCAAGAACGAGTATTTGCGCAGCGTACTTTATTCTTCCTTGAGCTCGTTTCAGATTTTGACCAATTCGGCAAGGGATGTCCCAGATCTCTCTATTGGGTATGCCAACGATCATGGTGTTATGATTGGCATCCTAGTATAGCAACAGAAGCACACACATCGCTTTGCAAGGGTGTGACCGATATGCGGTCTTACAAGGGCGTGACCGACGTGTGGCTTAACCAAGGTTACCGTTGGCCCAACTTCGATCGTTACCTAAAGCTTTGCCAGTCATATTCACCAAGAGAATTCACCTATAATTCCGACGTTGTTATAGCATTTGCAGGTGCTGCCACTTTACTTGCAAAGTCCTTTCCTGGTGGCATACTATATGGACTTCCCGTACTGTTCTTCGATATTGCACTCTTATGGGACTTTGGGTGGAGTTCTTCAGAAAGACAGTGGGGTGCGGCCCGTGATGAGAGCAATCGACCACCGAGTTGGTCATGGATGAGCCGGCAGGGAGATCTCATAGACCTCGAACAGTTGGTTGTCTTCAAAGGAATAGCATACATTGATACACCCTCAACGCTTGTGATTACTCCACTTGTCCAATGGTACTTCACCGGCGTGGGAGGCGCACAGGTTGCGGTCGCGAACGACTATCACAAGTACAAGCGTTTCGCACAAGACGGCAAAAGTACCCCACCTCCCGGATGGAGCCGCATTGAATCCTCCTCTGGCAATTCTGGTACCTACGGAGAGAAGTTTTACGTCACACCAAATGCTCCAAGGTTCAAGTTTCGTTTCCCAATACCACTCATGGATCCGTCTTGCTCAGAGATAACGATACCAATGCCTATTTCGAATCGTATCAGATGTCGGACTGAGCACGCCTACTTGTACGTGACAATCCCGAAGTTCGAGCTGCGTTTACACATCCTTGACACCAAAGGGAGATTTTCGGGTATCATGAGCCTATCAGACCCCGACTGGATTGCACCACTTCGAGAAACCGAGACGAGAGCCGAACTCATTGCGATTTCGACCAGCAGTATGACAAAAGAGGACTCACGGTATATATTTGGTAATGTAGATGTGTATTTTGAGTCTGAGGACATATACGAATTCTACAACGTCCTTTGGATCGAGTGGACAGACGGTGTCGCCTACAGAAAAGCCGTTGGTCGAATCACGAAAGCAGTATGGGAAGCAGCTGATCGAGAGCCCATCGATGTGGTACTTGGATGAAACAGAATAGTCTCGATATAATAGTTCCCGCGATAACATTCTTGGTTCAACTTGCACCAGAGCATACCCTTGCTTTCAATAAAACGTTACTCATTTCAGAATGCTCTCCCCACTCATCCCCGTACTTCATGAGGCCCGGAAAGGTGCAGAACAGAAATTTGCGATCAACCTCCATGTCGGTATCATCTTCCATGGCAGGATCAACGTCGTTCACAGTTTCCATGGTACGGTCATCGAACTGCATATTGTCGTCTTGGCGGCGAAAGAAGAGTAGCTTGTAACGCGCTTTTTGCAGGGCGAGTGTTCGTTGCAGGTACACTGCGTCTTTCAACATGCCGGCCAACGTTGACTGTGCGTTGGGCGCAAGGCTCACAGAAGTCAGCGTGAAGAGTATATGGCTAATCTCTCCAGCAAGTCGATGTATCGAGGCTTCGCTCTCTTTTTGGATTTCCTCATTCGCTTCGCTGCGCTCAAGGACTTGTACCGTAGCACGCACCCATTCTCGATGTGCGGTACCAAGGTGTTGTGTGCGCTCAGCAAACTGTCGCAGCGCCCCCAATGGACCTGTGCTAGGCAACCCAAACACGATCGAATTGTCAAAGATTTGCATAAGTGATGTCGAGACTACGGCTTGGTACAAGGCAAGCTTATCCGTACTCTGTATACTAGCCCTGTATTGCGGATTTAATGCGCGAAGCACATCTTCAGTCTCTTTTGGGAGGTTATCGAGGTTCAATCTTGATCGCCTGAAGTTCGAGACAGTCCATTCTCGCACGCGATTTGCAAGTTGGGAGAACGATTCTGCGAGCTCGCTGTCCGTGATCTGCGAATCCGTACGCGTGAGCGAAGATATGCTTGACTTCAGCGCCAGAAGCTGCTGGAGCCTCTCTTGCGACTCTTTTTCGGCGGCATGGAGGCGTAGTCGCAAGTCGTCTGCCTCCCCTCTTGACTGCGGTCGGTCAAGGCTGCGTGGATACAATCCGTCATGCGATGCGAGTTGTTCTTCGAGCTGTTCTTCGAGTTGCGCGACTCGGTAGCGCAAATCTGAGTTCTGGCGCAAAGCATCTTCCCTCCCATTCCCTAAGTGTCCCGGCACTCCAGTGTCTCTTTGGAGGCCACTCGACCCGCCAACCGGGGCTCCACCCGTATTCGAGCTCTTCTCAGCAAGTTGCTGCCTGAGTTCCTCGATTGTGTCCTGATCCGCTTGTCTAGAATGTCTCAGTCTCGACAAGTCTTCTCTGGCCATCTCCTGCTCTTCTCTCGCGATCGCCAGAGCTCTTTCGAGGTCCGCGACTCTATGTGATATCCGCGTAGCATCATCGCCTGGTGGCAGCATCTCTGGTCTGTTGATGAACTCATTGCTGGGCCCTGAAGGTGCGGTATCGCTCGGGAGATCTACCACACCTCCACTTTTGCGCTTCAGCATATCATTGAAGGGGTATTTGCGTCGGTGTACTTCGTCTTTTCTCGCATTTGGAGCAGCGATGGCGGCTTTCGGTGGAGTGACGACGGTATTCGCGGAGGTCTTGGTCGATTTCGATATTAGTCTCGTGCCGCGCTTCAAGCGGTGAGCAGATTCTGCAGACGTTAATACATACTAAAGTCGTTGGCTTGAAGTGCTGAAACTGACCAGAACTCTTTCGTTCGGTCATAGTTGAGCCCGGGGCGCGTTCCGATTTAGGGTCGCATCGGAACGAACTTCAGAGACGTGCTTCACCAGGACAAACCTTCAACACCCCGTTCGAGGAATATCACCGTCGCATGGCTCCATGTGGGACGGCAAGATTATGCCTGGCAGGACAGAATCCTGCAGCCTTGGGCGAGCTGATGATCACCAACTAGGGCCTGCAGCTGAGCATCTTCTCCAGCAATGGGTAGCGCGCCACTCCAGGCTTCGACATGACACTGACTGCGCATTTCGCCGGTGCCTGAATCATTCAATGTTTTTCAGGCATACACATTCATGACCTCGACGTCTTTCCCGCGCCAACCTACACGTCCATGATACCCCGGTGCATTTTGGTAGGATTCAGCCCCGCGGTCTGACCCACGCGACATCTACGCGATCTACCAGAGCCATCAACACAAGCACCGCGTTCAACGCCACGAAGAACGACAATGAGCCATACGTTTCCGAACCGAGGGAGTAGTATCCCGTACACATTCAACCCCGGAAGCAATGCGACTGTCGACATAACCAGCGTGCCCGAAATAGGTGGCCCTACGAAGGACAGGTTGGTCGTCGGCGTTGACTTTGGAACCACCTACAGCGGTTGGTAGCGACTATTGCACAATATGCGACCGACACGATTGGACGCTGAAGCTCAATAGGTGTGGCTGCTGTATATAGTGCAACCCCTGACGACATCGACATCATCAAGACATGGCCCGGAGGGAACGGTAAGTTCTGTTTGAGATATACCGATGTCATGCCTCTCCAGACTAACATACACGCGCAGGCATCACTTCCGACAAAGTACCCACAGAAATTGGTTACAGCGAATCACCCCCCGCCAACGGCTCGACCTCCTCGCTCGATGCGTCCGCGAAACCCGCGCAAAACATAAAATGGGGCTTTCAATTCAAGCCAGAGGAGACGCGTCTCCGGTGTATAAAGCTATTTCTCGATAGGAACCAGAAACTGCCGCATTTTGTATCACCGCTCGAAACTGCTGCGCAATTACGCAAGTTTGAGAAGACGGTTATGGAAGCAGTTTCCGACTACCTATCGCAGATATACAAGCATACGATGGAAACATTGACACGGAGATACGGGGAGACGTTTATCAGTTTGACCAAGGTTGAATTCGTCTTGACAGTACCTGCTGTTTGGTCGGACTCAGCCAAAGATGCGACGCTCAAGGCTGCGGAGAAAGCTGGCATGGGCAACAGGCATGAGCTGAAGCTCATATCGGAGCCCGAGGCCGCAGCGGTTTATACCCTCAAGGCGATACAACCAAACCATCTCAAGATCGGAGACAATTTCATTGTTTGTGATGCTGGAGGTGGCACTGTCGACTTGATAGCCTACAAGATTACCCAACTCCATCCTCTGCGTGTCGAAGAATCGGCAGTCGGTACTGGCGGCCTCTGCGGCTCGACATTTATCAACTACCGATTCGAAGACCACATCAAGCAGCGCATTGGCACCGAACGTTACAATTGGATGCGCGAAAAGAAGGTCAAGACTTGGAATATGGGCTTGAAGTACTTTGAGGAATTTGTGAAGCGCAACTTCAACGAGGAGGAACACAATGAGGTCAACATACCTTTTCCGGGGCTGCCGGACGATGAGGAAGCAGGATTAGACTCTGGGTTCCTTGTCATGAGCGCAGAGCAGGTCAAAGAATTATTCGATCCAGTAGTCCAAGAGGTCATTGATCTAGTAGAAGGTCAGGTTCACAGTATAAGAGCGAAAGGAGGTTTGGTGTGTGGCATTGTCTTGGTTGGAGGCTTCGGACAGAGCAATTACCTCTACGGTCGAATGAAGTCTCACTTCAACAGCGCGCCCCCGCCTCCGTACACAGAAAGACCCACGCACGCTGTCGCATTGAACGCCTCGCAGGCCGTCGAGATATACCACCCCATACACGCATGGACGGCGGTAGTACGAGGCGCAGTACTGCGCGGGTTGGAAGGCAATATGGTCATTAGCAGAAGAAGTCGATGGCATTACGGAACCAGCTACGCGACAGTATTCGACGAGGCAAAGCACCCCATTTCCGATCGATATTGGAGTCCGCTTTGGGAGCGATGGATGGTGTCCGATCGCATGCAGTGGCACATCGCAAAGGTACGTAAATCCCGCACCTACCATGACCATGACTGTCGCACGGTGTACTAACACTCCTGTCAGGGCGCACAAGTGTCGGAAAACCGACCCATATCCTTCCACTACACGCGCAACTTTCGCCCTGGCCAATCTCTCATCGTAGAAGACGACCTCATAGCCTGCGACTCTGACACGGCTCCTGACTCCTTCAAGAAGGGTCTCATCAACGTTTGTACACTTACTACCGACCTGAACACGGTGCCAAAGAGCTTGTTCACGCGGTTGACGACGACAAAGGGGGTGGAGTTTGATAATCTAGATTTCACACTGGATATGCGGTGTGAGAGTGCGGGATTGGTGTTTGAATTGAAGGTTGATGGAGTGAGATATGGAGGGGTCAGTGCGAAATTCCATTAAGGGGGGAATACGATAAAAGAAAGAGATAGGGTGAGGGTATGTATGCAGAATAGACGTCAATAGCAATAGAAATGAACATGAGCTATCCGATCGTGCAAGACACTTGTTGCTTCCGGGACAGGATCGTGAAGAGCATCGCTCGTTCAGCAAATTGCCGGTGCTTCTGTATAGATGATGCAAGCATCTGTAATTAGTCCAGCGGTCGTCGTGGTCCCGTTGCTTACAGGCAGTGTGAAGGATACCAATATGCGCTATCCGCAGGGAGGATCGAGAAGCTCGCATGATTTGACATAAAGCCTGTTGGTAGCGAAAAGAGTGGTGGTGGGTTGCCTTCACCGGCTATACGAATTACCTTGACGTGGCGCCAGCCACAGAAGAGCTGCTGAAGCTACGAGAGCAGATCGATGATCATTGCATTGTCGGCATCATCGGTGATGTCGGCATAGTTGCTATTGCAATTGAAAGCAAGGGCTTTGGGTTGCGTATGCCAGAAAATTTCAAGGTGTGCAGAGGTCATGTTTAGGTTTGAGTTAGGGTTGCGTGCACTACTCTATCTGAAGGCAGTAGTGGAGTTGGGCAGCGTATGTAGTGTTGCAATCCATCTGGGTTCCCACGTATGGGTGTAACGGATGTAAGGCCCGTTATGGATACAAGACCGATGCTATTCTCAGAGAATAAGTTCAACGCACGAGCAGGGTGTCAACTTTAGCCCAACATGCTTCGGATGATGGAATACCCATGTGGTGCTCGTGGGGCAAGCGCGATATACATCCAGGGGGTGGGGAAGACCGGAAACCTAGTTTTGTACGAAAAGATTGTAGTCGTAAGAGACTGTTTAGTCACAGATTAGAAAAGTGCAAGTCAGTCAGCATACCAAGATAGTCATGTACCCTGGTCAGATGCGCGTTTACACTCCAAGCCCAAGACACGTAGACGATTTTAGGTTGATACACCTTCACCTAGGCTATCGTGACTGCGCTATGTTTCCTTTTTGTGACCACAGTACACCGGGCGAACAGCTTCCCGGGGACGTGTACACTTGCACACTTGGCAGTAATCGGAGATTGTAGTGCGGAACTAAAGACCCGACGATATGTGGTGTTGGCGATCCGTCTAGTTTTCCAAGGGGTGCGTCTGCTAGTGGAACCCCGCATTTGGGTTCCATATGCGAAGATCGTTGGTAGCGATTCTGTATTCACGATCGCTCGGGAAATATCCTCCCGCCTGTAAGATCTCGAGCGTGCAAGGTGGAGATTGCCGTGAGGGTGGAGTGAGATTGGTGGCGTGATAAACTTACAAGTATTGCCAGGTTTACATGGCGTTTGGAAATAAGACAAAGGCGTACCGTACCCATGCGAAGCAAGTAGTCTCTAGTGGGGCCTTTTCAGGCGCACACACAGTGAAGGGGTTTCGTTACTAGATCTGTTCTTACGTAGTGGAGCGACACGATACTGAATGCGGTAATTTGGGCGAATCATGTTTCGCGGAAGCTCGCCCGTCCACAACTGCCGCAAATCGGATCGGACGCTCTACCGGTGGCACGGGCAAATCTCCCGAACAAAGCCGATGGGAAAATGGTTCTTTTGATTCCCTCGAATCATTTCGTACAGGCACAACGATGCTACAACGGTGTGTCTCTCTCATGGCGTTGCTAGAAGATGCAAGCAATCAATGATTCAGGGTCTGTAAAGATCCTGCCGAGTCAAGTGCTGTGCATAGCTAGTCAACGGGACTTGCCTTTTCGCACATCCACTGCCACAATCCGCTAGAGATGTAGAGTTGTGAAACCAACGTATCATGACGACGGACCGATACCAAGATCGGCTCTTCGATTCGAGATGCACAAGCTGCAAGTTCTGCGTAGAGTACCATACTACGTATAACCTAGAGAAAATAGTGTCGTCGTTGGCGACCAAGTAGAACTATAGTTTTCCTGAACTGTTGTTCGGATATCTCCGTTCCAACTATACCCGGAGACTTATGACGTAGTCGGCAGAATGATTAGTCTGGGAAAGAGCCGTATATCGTACACATACCAGCTACACTTGTCAGCAAGTGAGGCTGTTTGCTCGTTAGAGCAAACGCTTTGGTATACCGGCTTTCTACCTAAATACAGAAAGGCGTCTCCGAAGGGGTTGAAGTTAAATCATAAGGCGATTCGACGGAAACCTCGCCAAGACATGATCAGCTATGACAGCTCGACGGAGCTTTCTCCGTAGCGTTCTGGTTGATTGTCGCAGGAAGGTTTGATGGTTCGGCTGTTGATAGCGTACGCTGGAGGCTATTGCCAACGTCGAACCGCGTCTAGAAATGCGCGATCGGCGTTATTCTCGCGATTCTCAGGCGAGCAATTGCGCGGCTGTCAACGTGTCGCGCCGACTCTCCTGAAGATCTTCGACTGAGTTTACCAAAGCGGACACTAGTCAACGTGATGTTGATCTCCAGCGTTCTGGTATAGGGATCCGCCATGTCGGGCAGGCAGTGTGGCAACAAGACTGGACATAGTCAGATGCGCTAGAAAACTTCGTGATTGCCAAGCTAAGATGGACTTGGTGTTGAGTGTGGTGTGAGGGCCTCAGCAAAACCGAAACAGCGAACAATGTCCATACGAAAGACATGCTAATTCGATCCAAAGGGGTGTGCTTAGTAGCGATATCTCCGGCCGAACCACTCTTGATGCTCTTCGGGCAGCTGTGCGCAATTTCATGAACACCCTAAGCTTCCGTACATTACCCAAAGTTTGATCGGAATGCCTTTACTCTAGGCAACGCTTCTATTCTCAACGCTCAGGACTCGTAGGTGTGGTTGTATGACTAGCGTATCCCCGAGTATCTGCCCGTGACTAACTCTTGAGGGTGCGGATTCGAGAACCAGAGAGCCGGGAATTATTGGTAATTGCTTTCAAAGCAATAAACTCGCCGGTGTATGATGTGGTCGCATAAGAAGGGCGATATTGAAGGTATGCAAGGGTGCATGACTCTAACATGCAGACGAACTGCCGTGGTGTTGGAAAGTGCCTTGATGTATAGTTGCTAGCGTCAAGTCGATTGTACTACCATGTTCCAATAGCACGGAATGCAGCAGGCACTGCGGGGGTTGTGATGCAGCCACAGTCATACACGCTTCTTGTCGACGTCCGAGGATACCGCAGTATAGCAGCAGTCGATGTTTGTGAGATGCGTGGGGTTGTGAAAGTAACATTCATAACACAACGCGGACGTGGGGGTAACTGCTGCATACTCGCACTGGCATGGCAAGGTAGCACCAAGGCTACGTAACGTTAGCTCGGAGATGTTGGTGGTCCTCACAGATAGCGAGCTTGATAATGTCGCCCATGTCCGCTGCCACCTGCTTCGAGAGGTTAGCAGTCGTGTTGCGAGTGAAGAAGGTGTATCAGTATCGCAGTTGGAATCCAGGTGGAGATGTATCTTGCGCCGGCGGCGGATTGCACCGCGGCCAATCAGTGCATATGCAGAAGGCGACGAGGGTCGAGGTGAAGGCTGTTACGCGGGATCCTTCGCATTCGCTATCTTGCAAAATTCCTACGCTACAATTGGCAGGCACACGCTGCGATGTCCCAGGGTGGAAGTTGCATCTAAGCGAGCCAAGACTGACGAGGGGGGAAAGCACGATGCAAGCCTCGCACGAGCGTTCGTGAACGGATGAAGCGCCGTTCGCCTGTCCTGCGGCGCAAACACCAACTACTGACCACCATGTTATCCCCGACTCCACGAGTCCAGGACAGCCGGCGCTCCGCAGTATCGATCGGTTGATGTCCGGTATGTTTCAGATACACTGCCGTCAACAATTTAGCCAAAATGCGTGACTGAGCCCGATGCACGACCATTGTAACTACGCGCACTCAAGCCTAGGGACTGGAAATCGGACTGCATGATTACCGATAACCTGGTCAAAAGGCGTCAAGTTGACATTACCCTCCAATGACGCGCGACGCTGACATAGGCTGTCGGCACCGGCAGCACGCGGTGCTGACCACGAACACGATGAGCATGCGGACACATGGAAGAAAGAAAAATGGAGAACGTGGGATACCTTTTCCCTGCTTCTGGAACAAAGGGAGGCTCACTGGGAAAAAGAAATACCCTCAACGCCTCACCATCCATGCGCCACTGCGGACCGGTGGGGGGAGACGCTGCGCAGGTGCCGTCGGGAAATAGCAAGCCTGCTGGAAACCGTCTGACCACAGAAAATTCGAGACGTATTAATAGGCCCGAAGCACTTTTGTATCAGATCGCTTCTCCACGTGCAGTCGCCCGTCTTGGACAGCGCCCGCACTATTGGAGTGCAAGTCATGCAACGACCATAGCCATAGCGCTGGGTCAGGCCTCATGCGCATTAACCGACCACCGGCGGCCATCACGTACTACAATCAACCTTGGCCAGTGACATACTCGCTTGACCACGCTTGTGCAACGCAACTGTGGAATCGCTGATTGTCCTCAATCACGATGACGCGAGTGGAGATTAGTCGAGCCTTTTCCAGGGCCCTGCTAGCGAAATGAACTGTGTGGAGAAGGACGCGCTTTCACAGCCAATTTGTCGCAGGATAGCCATACCATGACAGCGCCAGCAGTTCACGTCGGCGTTATCCCTGTACCACACTTCGAGACCTCTCCAACGACCGTGAGCATCGGGGGATCATCGCAGCGGGCATTCGCTACCGGGCATGTCACGTCACGACCTTTGCGTATTGGGCCCTCATCTGCGCAAACCAAACCCTACCAGTCTCCAGTCTGCGTCAGCTCTCCTGCTCAGGCAGTTCGGCCCTGTCTCCATCGAGGCCTTTATCGCCGTCTTCGTCATCTTAGATCCGGACACTGTTGAATCCTACCCTGGCTCAACCACGCTTCCCCGGCGACGTTCGTACGCACAGAGCCATGCTAGATTAACCTTACAGCTTGCATACTCCTGCAGTATACTGCCTTGTATAGGCCCCTTACATACGGAACCAGAAATCGGGATAATCAGGCATACATTACACCCGTCTTGACCAATCGCGAGCTATCAATACAGTGGCTTGACTAGACTTTCAACCAAGAGCGATACAAGTGGATCGCGCCGCCGCTGACGCTAGGCGGCTACCGCTGGCTGTCATCGCATCACACCGTCGAGACGTGACAGGCAAAGAATCCCAAACAGCGACTGTGCGAAGGGTCCGAGAGCCATCAAGTCATGACGCTCGGACTTGCTGGCCTGCACACCCATCCATCCCGCACATCACTTGGTCCAAGCGGGCCCACCAACAGCAACCTGGTCGCTTGGCCTCTAGAAGATGATCTTGTGCTTGTGAGGAAGGAGCATTGATGAACCCTGTGAAATCCTTAGGTGCAAGAGGCGCTCCAACGCAGCAATCCTGTTGCGTAGTAGCGCGGATATACTTCGCCACTTTTAATCATCCACTCATTCAACCAAACAGCGTCGTGTAAATTTCTATATCCAGTCCCTACTTCTTTTCGTATGTATGCAGGCTTTTGCTTTTGGCGCCTGTTGTTCTCAAGATTGCAATGCGCCCCCGCTAAACTAACAGCCGTGGTAACGACTAGCTGACATTAGCTGTCACTGTCGGTGCGCAACTGCTTCACCATCGCTTCTGCTACTTGGTTATTTACCTGGGTCTTGACTATCATTACCTGTTAACCCCTGCTGTCTTGTCAGTGCGCCTTTGAAGCATTGATTAGATCGAGAATCCCATGGTACGGTAGATCAGCAAGTGTCCCGTCGTCTCCTCCCGCGGCAAGATCTTGTAGTGCCGACTCCAGCGTTTGAGAAGTCGCCCTGTTTGACCTCCCAGGTATGTACACTGTTTAGCTTCCTGTCCATCATGGATCTTTGTGGGGCCTTGTTGAACTTTAAACATTAAATGCTTATACCCTCAGGTCCTTCAATGCGCTACCGCATTACCGTGTGTTGATATTCGGGTCTTGCGACAATCAGTGCGCCTCACATGGCTGTGGGTACAGAACGCCGCGCGAAGAAGACGGCATCTAGGCTAGAGCAATCGTTGCTTTTACAGCCCGTTCAAGACACCATGTCTTTCAATCCCCCGAACCATAGCTCTGGGTTTGGTCGTTCCCATGCCGCCGACACAGCTTCCACACCAAGCCCCACAGACCAATCCGAGTCTGTTGCCGATTCTTCCACTGGTCAAGAACCTGCTGGTCAACCTCACCATCACTCGAATAAGAAAAGACGCTCCTCGAAGAGCAGCAAAGCGGGAGAACTCCGCAAGTCCTCATCAACTCCACACATGCGCCATTTAGCACTTGGGAACCCTGGCGACCTGTCGCCAACAAGTAACAAGCCGCGGAATAAGTTGGGCTATCATAGAACTTCGGTCGCATGTGGTAAGCTGAGAAATAAAATCCCATGGTGGTGCATTACTTGATCACTGACTGGTGAGGGTAGGTCATTGCAGACGTAGAAAGATACGATGTCTCTTAGCTCCAGACGATCCTGCAGGCCGTTGCTCCAACTGCATTCGGCTGAAAAAAGAATGCAACTTCTACCCAGTTGAGCATAACCCCGATCTGCCGCATGTCCCAACTATCTCGTCGAAATCTGGTAGCGCAGTACAACCAGCTACACCAGTCGCTACTTCACCTCGGCATAGCGATGCCATGGGCGAATTCCGCACACCATTCTCTGGACCTGCGTCAAACGGTCAACCTCCAAGCTTTGGGTATCACGGCGATCATGAAAGCGACCGTCACCAAGTGCCTGTCGATGGCCGTATGTATTCTGCCATCTCGGTTTTGCAAACGCTAACCAACAAAGTCCCAGTACAGCATCCCTCTTATCCATACCCTCCTCCTATAGAAACCCAGTGGCCATCAGCGAACGGTTTCTTACCTTCATCTACCGTAGCCGAGAGCCCCTCATGGCGTAACTCACCTTCGACAGCAAACTCAGCATATGGCAGTGAGTCAAACGTTTCAGGTGGTCATACACCAGCCGCAATGAGTACGAGCTCGACTATGTCCTATGGTCACCAGGACTCTCATTGGGGTCAGCAACCACCATTCCAACCGCCAACGCGCTCGATGTCATACGGCAACATAGAAGGACTTCCCCAACAATATTCTGGTCAAGGCCTTGGCATTCAGCACGAAAACTACCGACGTACTTCTCCGTATCCATACCCGACTACCATAGACACAAATCCTTCCACAATGCACGCGACCACGGTAGGCGGATCTACGTCGGCACCCCTATCCGCGCCCGTCGTTCCCAATCACTCTTATTACCCAGCTCCCTGGTCATCATACGACGGAATGCCAAACCACGGTCCACCAATGCCTTCATCTGGACGATCAATGAGTGCGCAGTGGTATGCAGAACCGGGACATCTAGATCGGGTACAAGAGGAGGTCACTCCACCAATGGCATACCACCATCAGGGCTTGCCACAGTTCTACTCTGGAGCATAGGCAGATCAGACCAGCAACTGTGCCTAAGTCACGACACTGCCTCTTGCAACAATACAACTTCGGCGGCACTATCAGAAGCTATACACTCAGATTCACATATTCACCATGGTGGCACATGGAATGAATTACTGGCTGCTTAGAAAGCCTTCTGGAGTGAACGCCTCATCATCAAAAATTATCATTCTTGGAGTTATTCGGCGCGGCACGACTGGTTTCACGATACAGGGTTTGGAGATCATGTTTTTTTTTCATGGACCAATACGTGATCTTGGGCGCTATCGGCATCGCGATTGTTTCTACTTTTACAAACACTCTGTAAGAGGTGGCCCTCTTCATGTTCATTTCAGTTTCGCTTGAGAAGCCTTGATCTTCCATTGCGGCGGTTTCGTCTTCCACTCTCAATCGGCATTTAATCCCGTCTATCACATGTACAAACAGCACCGATTGGACCGCATCTAGAGGAACGCGACATGTAGCTTCTGATTACGCCTCAAGCACATGCGCTGAATTCGATACCCATATTTCAACTCATCGCTACTTGATCATGTGAACACCTCGGTACGTCTGTGACATCAGTTTCCTGTCGTTCACGGTGTGGTGGCGTCCTCGCAAGGATGCGTTACCCGCAAGGTTTCACGGAGAACGCGGAGTGACTAACGCGAAACCTTCTCGTCTAGATTTACACTGGGCACTCTGCAAGGTACAATTGGCGACTGAGCAAGGTACTTCCTTACCATGCTGGCATTCCTGCTTTAGATGCTTTAGATTGTCATTTTAGCCTTGGATATCAGGCATGCTCCCAACGCTGAGTAAACGTAGTCACATTTGAATCACGTCACGGTTAGAACACTGGCATACGCTCTACAAGTCTAAATCCATTCACTCATCACGGAATCCTGATGCTCCGTGATTTCCAGTACGGTCTATCTCATCAACACTCTTCACGCCAATACCAGCAATGCAAAGATGGAGTTTTTTGTGTCAATTGTATCATGCATGGAGATTACGGACCGGCTATTAGCGAATGGCAGTGCACTGTAGCCGTAGGGCACACGCGATCATTAAGCAATATAATTGGAGGCATCGTCGTATCCTCGTACCTGCGTCAACGACCTATAAAACCGGATGTTATTACCTCGGCCCTCTATTCTGGCGACACCATGTATAATTTCAGAAGTTACCAGCTGTCAACAAAGTTTCCCATGACGTTTGAGCTATTTTGCAAGCGACGCAGGTATCCCAGGACTAGGAACGACTTTCTCTTCCCAGCCCGAACCTGCGGACATTGCGCAAGCGCCCAGACCTCCTGTCCAGACTTCTTGAGACTGTCGTATGCGACTCCAGTATCCGAGCCTCGGTCATTCAAGGTTACTGTTGATCCACTTTTTCTAGTCGCTTCTCCAGGACATAAGGAAGCTTGGGCTTACAGTAATCCTCCTTCAATTCCGGGCCTTGAGACATGGCTGCGGAATGAACGGAAATTGCTTTTGCCCTTCTTCCAGTTTTCCTATACGACTTTTTCCCCGCTACCACACAGCCGGGAAGGAGGCCCGTCGACGTTTGCTCCGGAATGGCCCTTGATCCTTTCCGACCATTTTTTCGCTGATCCTTCCAGGCTGACTCATGGGCTCCAAAGCCTCGGTTGCGAGTCCTCTCGGCGTTCTTACCACAAAAGTGGAGGTGTGCCTGTACGAACTAAATCGGATCAGAGAAAATGAGGTGGGCACTGGACTCAACGCATGGATGCGAAGAGGTGCATTTACTGCTGCTTATTCCCAGCAGCGACTACTGCAGCTGTCGTCAGGGGTCTTCGTGGAGAAATGTGCGTAAAAATCGCTAGTTCGCAGTGAACACGTTAGTCGTATCAAGCGTGGTTACGTACTCGAGCTGGTGCTCAACATGTTCGCAAGTTTCAGCGAGACTGACGAACCACTCAGCAGCTGCGAACCTCATGCGCCCAGGTTCTCGACGTTACACAAACGTACACGCACTTCGCTGCAGCCCTATGCGTGAACGACTTACTCGCTGCGCAACGTTACATCATTTCCTGGTGACACAACATCAGGATTTCCTGTAGGATTTGGGGGCGTATCTAGGCATCCAATCGCGCATTTCTCACATGCACAACACTGGAGCACGATTGGTTTGTCCTGTCATGGTTAGGCGTGCTGGCGGGTTGTCTTCCGTCACTAGTACTGTATCCACCCTGATCCTCACCTTCGCTCTGTCCGCACGCGCACACCACTATGCTGTCATCACATTCCACCACGAATACCACCTTGTTAGCGTCGTAAAAGCCGGCCGTTGCCGTGTGACAGTTATCGGCATCTGACCCCTGCAACGGAAGGTCACAACGAGTGTTGCAATCGCAGTCGCGTTCACGCGCTTCTGCAGGGCAAAGAACATCCATGGATGCATGCCAAGTTGGGAACACTACCTTCTACATCGCTCAACTTACGCATATCCAACAGTCAGAGTCTCTGGACTGTTACTCATGGAAAATTCACGCGTCTAAAGCCGCGGAGACAGACCCATGCCAGATCCGCCTATCCGTGCTTTCTGTCAGTCATTGAGTGCGCACCGTACCTCCCGTTCCGCTTGATCTTGACGCCGTTTCAACGATCCAGGCTCACGTTGCGAGTATTAAGCATCAGCGCATACAGCCATCTTTCTCATGCATGCTAAAAAAGCTACAGAGACATATACAACGACTCGGAGAGCATGCAACCACTACACTTTCCGTCTCTGACCAATAGCCTCTCCCTTGCATCGCTGACCCAACCTTCACGATTGTCAAACAATCTAATCTGCATACTCACAAAGCGGCGTGACTTGCACGTAATGCGCCTATCCTGCACTGCGCCGCAAGGCCGCATCTGCAGCATTAGCCGTCCATCGTCCATGTCGACTGCTACATCCTTCCATCCGATCCGGGCAGGATTCCCGAGCTACGCCCCAATCCCACATGAAGTAGAACAACAGCCCATACAACATGCATTAGGCACAGGTACTGGACACTGCTGCTTTGGATCCGCTACAGACGCATCATGCGCGTTCGGACCTTTTCGTCCTGCTGCTCGTGTTACCACGTACATGTGCGTGGCATGCACTCCGGAATCTTGGCTTCACGCATGGCGTATTACGCAAACTTACTTCCGCGCGCCATGCGATCCAGGCGTTGGGCTGTTGGAGAGCTAGACGGTTTACGGTTGCTCACGTACTTACACGAGGCGATGATGCGCATGCGCCGTTTATTGTAATAACACGGCTGAACCATAGGGTGGGTAAGATGGATGGTGTGCAAATCGTTCCAAGAATGATTACCATCTTGATATCAGTGAGTGCTGTGGATGTGGAAAGTCGTATGCGAAGATCTTCTCTTCTGCATAACACAGCGTCATCACAACATAAGAGAAAGGCTGTGAAGGTCTTCCAGCTCTCCACTCATGCACAATTTCGCCCAACCTTTTCTCCCATTTTCCCTTCGAATCCCTTGCATTTCAAATATCGGTAATGATCAAGTCTAGCGCATATGATTCCAAAGACTCGACGTCAAAAAGAAGGCCCGAATAGCACCAGACACTAGCAGACGTCTGCCAGCGCTTGATGTGGATTGGAGACTGCATACTCTTCCACCGGCTGCAATTGTAGCCGGTGCCTACGTTTGACCTAGCAGCCGCCGCTTGCTGGTCTCTAGCGATTGGTAAAGGCTTGTTTGAATGTTGAAACGGAGCCATGGAAAGAGCCGGTACCTCATTTGCATATCTACCAATAAGTCTTCGTGACTAGGACCTTCCAAGCACTTGGTGATGCGTGCTGTCGAGTTGATTTGGATGTCCTCAAAAACGAGGCTAGAAATCACGCATGTATCCATTCGTGCAAGCGAGCAATAGCCTTCACAGAACCCACTATATCGAAGTGGTGTGGTGGAATCCTTAGACCTGGGCGCAAGTGAAACACGTCCGTAGTCACGATTCTGCCGCACACTGGAATACATTTCTAGCATGAAATCTACTCTACTTCGCAGAAGCTTCTATGATAGTCTAGGTTGTGCGCTGGTATTGCATCAGAGCTTGAGGGATTTTGTGAATCAGTACTTTGGTCAGCACACTGCCTTCATATACCAGTGTGTTAGATCATTTCGAAACGAACATGAATAGAGTAGAACAAAAGAGAAATCACAATGAAAGCCATCGACTTATAGAAGAGAAATCTTATTCATGCTCTAATTTAGACATTTGCTGGTGTGAAGAAAGGTCTTCCTCACCTAGGCCTGCAGCAGGTCTGACGTTTCAGTCATGAAGAGCAGCGTATGTTGTTGCTATACATGCACTCGCGCTCATTGCAAAGAATTTGCAGGATATATTTGTAGCATTCCTCACTATAGCATCTCCCTGCAGTGCCCATTGAGTTTTCGTGCGAGGGAGGTACTGCAAGATAATTAGCTCGAGAATGAAGAAGCATCAAATAGTGGTTTATCAATATCTAGCGTAGAGATTCAAGGGTTTCAATGCTCTTCTGACAATCAGATAGGAGTACAAGAAGAAAAGCGAAGCATACACGTGGTCGAGTTCAAAATGGAGGATTACAACAAGGCAGGAGGAGCAGGAAAAAAGAGCTCTTGGCGAAGTAACGCATCACAAGCTAAGGCAAGAGTGTCGTAAACGTGCCATGTGTCATTGTTGTGGGCGTTGTTGGCCATTCAGCGCGAAATGTCCAAAACTGTCAAAAATATGTCCTTCACCATCACCACCCCTATCAGCATAGGGGGACAAAAACATAATCACTCAAGCCCGAGGCTCCATTCGGGACTATAATTGCGAAGTTTCGGCAGCTAGATAGACCGTAGTGGGTTGTGGTAGCAAAAAAAAGAGGGATTGTAAAGGTATGGTAGGACCTTCACCCTCAACACCAGAGCTACACCTCTACAACCATCCAGCAAAAATGAACGACTATACAAGCCCGACGTGGGGGTCGAACCCACAACCTTGAGATAACCAATCGAGTCTTTAGGACGTGAAAGCTAAGAGTCTCACGCTCTACCGATTGAGCTAGCCGGGCGATTTGAAGTAATCAGACGATTGATGGAAGTCTGGCTGGTTACAACATTTATATCATCATATCAATCGTGATGAACGGCGATCTTGAGTTCTCAAACTCCTTGTCGGAGCGTTTGGATGGTACAGATTGGCAACGAAGTGGGGTGAAAGGAAAATTCTGCGGTGAGCCCGAACCGAGAGAACCCCGCCCCAGACCCAACCAAATAAAACTACACCACACCAAAACAACGACCCTCGCCGAGAAACTCGTCACGAGGCCTAGGTGCGGGCACTAGTGTTCTAGGTCAATTCATAGTACACGTGTGAATACATTCTGCTACACCATTCATAATTGTTGGACGTTTGTATTACAACCGTAAAGGTCTTCTTCACGCGGCCTGATTACAAGTCTGCTTGCTGTTGCCTGCTATATTTACTAACCATAAATTGTCTATTGATAATAACCCGACCGCATTTCGTTCCCGTAAGAAAGATTCAGATCTCCTCATCGAACCTCCAAGTATAGGCGGGACCCAATTGTCTCCACAAAGGACGCCAAATTCGACTGCATGTATGGTCTAACCTAACAGTGTATTGTCGTCGAGCTGTCTGATATTACGTTGTTCGCACCGATACTTATCGGTCATTAAGCTATCTTTAGCTGACATAACGCCGTGATCTCCAGAGGGGGTTGGTCGCATCGTAATGTACAGTCTACGCATACGATCATATTCCAAGGGTATACAATCTCGATGCCCAATCAAAGACGCAAACTCCTTCTATGGTGCCTAACTCTTTCGCTGCGACTCCGCAACATCATCACAAAGTATCCAGAAACTGTCAAGAACAAGTCTCAAAAGTTCATTCCGTCCCAATTGCTTTGCGCCGGCGCTTCATATCTCTCTCGCCGTAACCTATCGTTCTCTTCAATCAACGCATCCCTCTCTTTCTCAATACTCTGAATATACTCAATCGCCGATGACAAAATCATCGCTTTGCTCGGTTTCGGCTGCCCTATCGCACCAGCCTCGTCGCTCTGCCTCAATATCGGTACGGACCTTCTCAGCCTCTCCAACTCCGAGTTGAGCCCTTCTCGATACTTGCGCTCAACCTGGTTATGCGGTAGACGTTTCGAACGCTGATATTTTGTAGTAGTTGGAGAGGTCATGATTTCGTTGTCGGTGCTACTACGGTCCATCTTCGGTCGACCCCGCTTCCTCGTGGGGCGTTTGGGAGTGGACGATTCGGATGCAGAGGTTGGCGATGATGGGGATTCGCGCTTCAGCATGTGGGGTGAAAGGGAAGGCGATATGAGCGGTTGCGGCGCGTCTCCACTGAGCGACGAGGGTTGCGACGTTGTGCTTGTAGGGGAAAAGCTGTCTGGTTCGTTCGGTTGGAGTTGTCTCGTATTTATCGCGAAGCTGAATGGATATTGGCCGAGTTGACTAGGGTGTGAATTGAATGCTTGCGTCATAGGTTGTTCGTTGCTTCTTGATGGGATGTTTGTCGCAGAATATGTCGAGCCGAATGTTTCTTGCGCTTTCGATGTGTCGGTGACACCCTCTACGGACGTCAAGGCCTGGTCGAAGAAAGAGTCAGAGTCGAAAAAGGTGTTGAGCGAGTAGTCCGGAGCCGGCTCATTGAGGTAGGGGTTGTCGAAATAGTTCGTGTACGGCATAGTGTTTTGTGGTGGAGAGTGGTCGGTAGGCTCGATCTTGTTTCCCTGCGCATTACTCGGGGCGTTCATCAAGACTTTGTTGACTCGTGTATCGAGGGAGGTACTCGTCAGTGTATGATGGCTGGTGTATCGGTGTCGCTCGGAAAGACCAAGGCATTAATATTATAAGGATACGGGGACGTAATTGTATCGACGATTCGAGAACTGCACAGCCAACAGAGTAGGTAATAGGTCCTTGTGACTTGCTGAGAATCCACCACTAGGATTGACCAGGTTCCGGTGTAGTGGCTCGTCAAGTCAAGATGCTTCCAGTAGCTGTACGGTAAACCCAAAATCGCAAGTGATATGTGGATCCATGTACTCCTCAACCATTATTGGCACGGCTAGCTAACCCTTCCGCATCCGCGAGCTTCACTGAAACATCTGACGCTCAGCCAGGAGATTGAAATTTTAACAAAACTGCGAACGTCGAACGATAAGCACCTCATCGGCGCAGTCCGGTAGGAGCAGCATGTCGTGTAGTCTCGGGACAAGCTCCACTGCGCCGAAAACCGCTTCCCGCGTATGCTCCGACACCGAGATGCCGACGTGACTCTGAATACGCATCGCAAGGACAGCAATCCTCGTTTTCGTGCGTATAGCCGAGTGTTACTGTGTTGATCCTAGTCCAAGGCCCAAATTGCGGTATAAGACCGCACAGTAGTTCATAGGCAATGATGCAGGATCTTGCTTGCTTCGCTTTTGCGCGGCAAGCTCGGGACGGGTCGCATAAACCAGCTTTGATTCCGGATGGATTTTTTCGAGAGACGATCACTGGGTTGCGTGGTTAGCAGGTACCATTGCAGTATCGAAATCCGTGGGTAGTCGTCAGCGAAGGATTTCCGGATGATGCCCTCTTTGTTATTGATGTACATGAGATGTGTTCTGATGTAAGACATTGCTTTCTCGAGAGCATAAGCCTGTTTTGTCAAGTACTGCATTACATCGTTGTGCGTCAACCGAAAACGGTAGAGGTTCTACCAGAACGCCTGTTATGGTACCACGTTTGGATGCTAGGGTATGCCAACGGGCGTTCCCGCTATTCCTGGAAGCGCAAGGGAATAGTCCGGGCTTAACAAGATGAGTCGAGAAGTTCTTTCGCTGCACATGTGGCTGAGTTAAAATTGGCGTGAGGCGCCTCGTAAGAATGGCGTGATACTGGTCCGACACGATCAAAAGGGGTAAGTTTAAGAGAGTGAGGCAAGGATACCCACAACCCATGCCCGTCGCGTTTCTCTGTAATCAACCTCGGTGCACACAACAAGAACAATCATGATTCTGCACGCGACTTCTTCGTCGACGCCGCAAATGGTGTGAGAACATTGAAAGAGAGCGATAGCGTGACTGCGCAGTCGGAATAGTACGTAAGATTGATCTGCATCAAACAGCATGTCGCGATTTCACACAGGGACAAGACAATGGCGACCTTTCTTCAGCAGCGAAGGTAGTGTTCTCGTTGGTGTACATACATGGTGAAGCTGCTGGTCGCAGCACTGGCGATTTATTAAGGTTACCACTTCCCGACCCCACTACCCCTCATGGAGCGCCAACTGCTCAAGCTTAGAGCTCTAAGTACCCATCATGTCAACCACGACCACATCAACAAAGCCAGGCCACGTCAGGACGCGATTTCTCGTCATCTCGGATACTCACTCTATTGCCCCTGCTGACAATATCGGAAACAATGATGCGTCCTTCCGCCCACCACTGCCCAAGGCAGATGTGCTCCTACATTGCGGCGACCTGACCATGATCGGTCTTTTGGAAGAGTATGAAAAGACTCTTGATATGCTGGAGAGTATCAACGCGGATCTGAAACTCGTGATAGCTGGTAACCATGACATCACTCTGGATGAAGAATATTATGCCAGAAAGGGCGAGAACATGCACAGGGGCAGACACGACAAAGACCTACCTGCGAAGGCGAGAGATATGTGGACGGGCGAGAGAGCTAAGAGAGCTGGTGTGACCTACCTAGAAGAAGGAACGCATACTTTCCAGTTACCGAACGGTGCCAATCTCAGGGTAGGCGTATTGAAATACTTCAACTCTCTTGGAGACTTACAACTTTCAGGTCTACGCATCCCCTTACCAACCAGAGTTCTGCGACTTTGCCTTTCCATACTCCCGCAATGAAGACCGCTACAACCCCTCCCATCAGTGTACACCGAACGCCAAACCCATCGCCGAGAACCCTGTCCCAGACTTCCCCAGCATCGATGTTATGATGACCCACGGACCGCCTATGGGCGTCATGGACGCGACAACAACGGGAGAGCACGTCGGCTGCGAACACCTCCTACGAGCAGCTCGACGCTGTAAACCCAGACTCTACTGCTTTGGACATATACATGAGGGCTGGGGTGCGCAGAAAGTACGTTGGAACAACAACGATCAGCTGGATGTTAAGATTGAAGAGCATATCGAATTCGCCGATGCTGTACCTCTTGACTGGGAGGCAATCATGGATGAGAGGGCTGCGAGTATTGACGTTGGTCAAGGTAGCGACGACGCGGTTGAGTTTGGACGGGACACGCTGATGGTCAACGCCAGTATCATGAGCGTAACATACAAGCCATTTAACGCGCCATGGCTTGTGGACCTGGATCTTGAGCAGGCGTAATCAGCTTCTCCGTGCGAGATGTGAGTGTATGGATCTAGGATTTTTTACTCGTCAGAGACAACAAGTAGGCATTGATGAGATGACCTAGTTGGCCGACTCTTGATACGGTCGTCGCCGTTATCAGAGGATAACTGGTACATGGCAGCGAATTCATGTCCTTAGATGCATCATGCTACAACAAGATTTCCTGTTTCCTCTCATCGCTACCTGCGTCGAGAAACGGGTATCTAATCAGAATATATTCCACAGACCGGCACAACTGAGCACATACGACCACAGGACACTGAAAATTAGGCTTCCCGTCCGCTCAGCCATATACAAGCAGTGTACCGGCGGATTAGTAGTTAGGTGGGTGACCACTAGCGAATCCCCGCTGTTGTATGTTTTTGGTCACCATTTTTTTTGCTTTGGTTCTCCTTTTTCGCATACCTAGCAGCCGCCGTCCTTGACAATAGCTTTCAATACCTCAATCTCGATATTCCTATCTCTTCCGTCTGTTATGGTGAAAGTAATGTCTTGCTCGAGAAGCTGGCACGGAATGGACAGGCGTGCCAGTGTGTTATAGTGGTACAAGTATGAGAATTCTGCTGCTACTCATGCATATTGCCCGTTCGGCATAGCCCCCATGAGTACCTAGCAGCACTCCATTATACTTCAATTTAGTATCCTATAAATATACTAAGAAAAGAGATATACTCTCCAATCAACCACTAATATCCATCGTTGTACATGAAAAAACGCATTTCTAATATGCTATGCTGTCTTCTAATCCATAAGTATGTTAAAGGAAGTCGTAGCGGATACCTTCTGAGCACGATTTGATGGTGCGCAATTGGAAAGACGAGCTTTCTCGCACATGTAATGCATTAGATGATAGATTTTCACATAGTGGACGCGATGATCAAAACGTGACAGCGCGCGTGCGGGTCGATCTCCCGTACCAGTGATGCAATCATGACCACCACCGTTCGAGGCCCGTATCAACGCGTCGAAAACGGCGTTCTGTGTACCATTCCCCTCAATTTAGAGATTACTCTTATTTGATTCGATCCGCAGGATTTCCATTGACTCAAAATTTGGACACACAGTTAACGCCATGTCCCTAAGGATCCCACACGTCACATTGACGCGCTTTGCCCGTGACGTCAGACCGTTTGCCCGCTATATCACAACTTCTGCACCACGACCTTTCCCCTCTTCACTCTCTACACTCCCAAATCGCATGCAATCAATTGAACGCACGAAACAAATTACCAACCAACTTCAATCAGCTAATCAACAACGCAACTACGCAAACAACATGGCTCCTACCAACAACCCCGAGCTCACGATGGACAAGGTCTTTCCTGTCAAGGACAAGGTCGCCTTGGTCACCGGTGGTGGCTCAGGAATCGGTCTCATGATTACCCAGACTCTTGCTGTCAACGGTGCTAAGGTGTACATCGTTGGAAGGACAGAAGAGAAGCTCGAAAAGGTTGTCGAGGTGCATGGTCAGAACATTGCAGGTCAGGTGAGTTTTCGGCAAACTTTATACATGTGAGATATGTACTAACGGGTTGCAAATAGATTATCCCCATTGTGGGAGACGTCAGCACGAAGGAGGGCGTATCGAAGATTAAGAAAGAGATCGAGTCAAAGGAGAAGTGCGTGTGCATTCTTGTCAACAACGCTGGTATCGCACCAGGCAAGACCGAGGTGAAGGGAAGCTCTGAAGAGCTAGTCGACAAACTTTTCGATGGCACAACTGAGCAAGAGTGGTTGGACGTGTACCAAACCAACGTTGTCGGCCCCTTCCTCATGTCCACCGCCTTCCTCCCTCTTCTCGAAAAGTCCACCGAGTCGCACCCCGGTTACTCAGGCACCATCATCAACATCTCATCCATCTCGGGCCACATCCGCATCTCACAAGGTCACTTTGCCTACAACTCTAGCAAAGGTGCTGCGATACATTTGAACAAGATGCTCGCGTCTGAGATTGCCAAGAACGGTATCAAGGTGCGGGTGAACTCTATTGCGCCTGGTGTTTTCCCTTCAGAGATGACGACCCAGGAGAGCAGAGATGACAACCAGAAGAGTGAGATGCCTAAGGATCACAAGGAAGGTCTGCCTGCGCAGCGACCTGGAAAGGACCAGGATATGGCTGCAGCTATCCTGTTCGCTGTTGGCTGCCAGTACCTTAACGGTCAAACTGTCACTGTCGATGGTGGCTACGCGATCCAGGTTGGCAACTAAGTATATTGTAATTCCTTTTCTACAGTTTCTTCTACCTCGCTCGGATATGAGCTTTACGATGTATGATAAATGGTATGCCGATGCCACACAAGGCAGGCACAGGCTTGCTCAGCCGTAATTCGGACACTGCTATAACTGTTCGAGAATGAAAGAATGAACAAAACGTCCTGATGGTCTAAACATGTTTCCCTGGCAATTGTGTTTGGTGATTGCTAGTGACTAGCTTATGGAGAAGCTCATCTAGTTCTATAGCTGAGGTGTAACCTCGAATTAGTCTCAATTCTGCCAAAGTCAAATGGCAGGCAATCCTACCATATTGTATCGTTCGGTTAGACTAAGCCTCATTGTATTCTGTCATCTCAACTGATCACTAGTGACGATCGAAAGGATCTGGGTATGTAACGTGTTTTGCTAGATACGAGGAATATACATAAGAGGAATAGTATACATGTAAGGGAAATTCCTGGTCTGCCACCCCCTGAGTCTCACCGTATTAAATCTGAAATATACAATGCGCCAATAAAACCGAAAGGTCCCACATCTCCTTCACTCAGACGCTGATTCTTCCTCATCTGACACCTCCACTTCCGCATCACTCACAACATCACTCAACACCTCGCTCTCCGCGTCGCTCAAACCACTACTCACCGCATCACTTTCAATATCCTCCACAACCTTCTTCCTACCCTTAGCCTTCTTTGCGCTACCGCCCTTGACAGGACTATCTCCAGCTCCCTTCCTCCCCCCAGTCCTCTGAACCAGATGATCAATTGGACATCCCTCATCCCATCCCTCGCTGCTTTCACCTGTTATAGCACGACACCTAGGACAGCTCTTCCCGTGCTTAATAAGCAGTTGATGAAGCGGGTACTTGAGGTGATCCGGAACCCTAACTTCGCAATGTGCATACGTGGAGTTGCGTGTTGGGCCAGCGAAGGTGCCTTTTTTGCCGGGCGGAAGGCCTCTGTCATCGCCTGGGGGCGGTACCCAGCCTAGCCATGAACACAGGCGGAAGACGTGGGTGTCGACTGCGAAGGAGGGTCGTTGGAGGCAAAAGAGAAGCACGCAGGACGCGGTTTTTGGACCAATACCAGGGTATTTGGTCAGCGCGTTGAAAGCGTCGTCGTTGGAAAGTTGGTGAAGATGGTCTAGCGAGACAATGTTCTGGTCCGCCTTCTCAACCTCGTCACGCTTTTCTGCTTCCGCTTCGTTGGTTTCACCCGGTGCCTTGTCTGATGAAGCCAGGAGCTCGTCACGTCGTGCTTGGTTCTCTTCCCAGACCATTTGTAGAATCTTCTTGATGTCCTTGCTTTTTACATCTGCGAGACCACCGCTCTTAATTGCTTCGAAGATTTCCTTTTGGTCTGCTTGTCGCACTTTGTTCCAGTCTACGCTTCCTTTACCAATGCCTTCTTTCAGGACGCCGAACTTGGCGACAAGGCCGGCGAATGCGCGGGACGAGTTCGTGCCGGATGTTGCGGCCGAAAGCCGTGTTCGGATGAGGGCATCAAGGACTGATGGTACTTCTCCACAACCTGAAACCTCGAGAGATGGCGCGGGAATGGTCTTGGGTGCTTCGACCTTACCGTGAACTTTGGAGAGTAAACGGGTCACCTCTTCGCATTCTTCGGCCGTAGGGTGGGGGTAGTTCGGGTATGGCGTATGACCAGGAGTAAGGCCATAACCACCTGTCTTGGCTTTACTCTTCTTGGATGACGCGTCCGTGGTGGTGGTCGCTTTGGCAACGAGGTCGTCGACTTCCTCCTTCTTTGGCTTGGTGGCTTTTGCAGACTTCTTAGGCGTTGCGGACTTCCTCGGCTTCTTTGCTGAAGCTTTACTCTCGGCTTCCTCGTCTTTAACGGGAAGATCCGGAATAGCACCGAGGTTGTGTGGGAGTTCGTTGATGTCTTCTTGTTTTACTGCTGACTTCTTGGCACGTTTTGTGCTCTTAGGTGTAACGGGAGCTTTCTTGGTTGTCGCATCTGGCGACTCTTCGATCTTGACTGCTTTCCTCTTTCGCGTGTTACTCGTTTCGGGGGTAGTTGGGGGGCTGGACAGTTGTACTGGCTCAGGCACGGCGTCGGCCCTGGCAGAGCTCCTTGTAGCTCGTGCCATGCTTGGTACAGTGGATATGCCGAGTCGATTCGATTCGATCGTCAAGAGGCTTGGGCGCAGTGCCAGCAGTCGCTTATGGGCAAGTCTGAATGCAATGGTGGGGGGTTGACGCCAGACAAACGAATTGGAGACGAGTGATAGAAGGAGGTCTTCTGAAGTGTCCTGTGAGCGGCAAACGTCAAGCTACAGGTTAAAGGAAATGGAAAAGGGGAGACTGATGGTGAGGGTGAATGGCAGGTATCATGACGTCGATGATGATGATTGGAGCTTTGACCCTTGTCCCTGCCTTAGCGCGTATCTAAAGCACGCGCCGAGGTCCCACTCTGGCGCGAGTCCGTCACCTCTGAGCAGAGCTACCCCACGCACCTCTATCGATACCACCGACATACGACTCCAGACGACTTCATCATGTCCCACAAGGCACCTTTGGTCGTTCCCGCGCTCAAGCGACACACAGCCACTGTCATCGTGGCGCATGGGTTGGGCGACAGTGGGGCTGGCTGGTAGGCTCCGGAGCACTCAACACCATGGAGGTCTAGACACTGAAGGACATAGGATATTCCTCGCGGAGAACTGGCGCAGGCGAAGCAAGTTCGAGGAGGTCTCGTTCATCTTCCCCAATGCTCCGAGCATCCCAATCACGCTGGTTCGTCAACCACCCACCGCCGCCAACACACGGCATGGGCGCTGATATGCGACTCTACAGAACATGGGCATGCGCATGCCAGGATGGTACGACATCAAGTCACTGAGCACTCTCGATGACCGAGAGGAAGACGAAAAGGGCATCGTCGACTCCCAGAAGTACTTCCACTCCCTCATCGACCAAGAGGTCGCAAAGGGCATACCCGCCAACCGCATCGTCGTCGGCGGCTTTTCCCAAGGCGGCGCCATGTCACTGCTGTCCGGTGTGACTTACAAAGACCAGCTCGGAGGCATCTTCGGCCTGAGCTGCTACCTCCTGCTGCAGAAGAAGATCAAAGACATGATTCCGACCGAGAACCCCAACCAGAAGACGCCCATTTTCATGGGCCACGGCGACGCCGATCAAGTCGTTGCGCACAAGTGGGGAAAGCTGAGTGCTGACGAGCTCGAAAAGCACGGGTTCAAGGTCGACTTCAGGACTTACAAGTACGTCATGTGTGTAGCAAGAGAGACATGCCCCTGACAGAGTATAGGAACCTGGTGCACTCCGCCGATCCTGATGAGATCGATCACCTCGAGTCCTACCTCAACCAACAAATCCCCGCCCTCGGCGACAAGTCGGAACTCTGACTGTCGAGTTCCTCCACACTCGTATCGACCGAAGCCACGACAGCCCTGGTGCTCATCATCACATTGGCCATTGCTTGGTTTGCATGGTACAAGCGTGATGCTGTACTCAAGCCGCACGACGATACAGAGTGGCGCAATCTCGAATAACAACAGGAGGCGCATACTACAATGACTTGGACAAGATGTATGCATCACTTGGAATACGGTCGCAGTAGCCTTGCCTCGTAGGTGCTTCTTTCAACTTCTTAGTGAGCCAAATTCAAGTTGTGTACCTGCATCTGTCGGCTCGCTATCCCCACCCAACTAGAGTCTGTATTATCTAGATACAACTAAGAATCCCTGCCCCACCTTCATTTTTCTAGTTCAGTCACATCTTGTCTGTCCGCTAGTTTGATGTTCGTTGGTGAGGTTTGCAAAATTTCTTCCTCTGCCCCACTCACCACCACGTCAAGTATCGCAACGACTACCTTTATATTGCTACCATTCCTTCAGTGTTCCATCAAAGTCCGATATGGTCTAGTGGCTAGGATTTGCCGCTCTCATCTCGCAGAGTCAGTTCATTGTACAGTGCCGGCAAGGCCCGGGTTCGGTAAGTTCACTCAACTCAATTCGAGTTCGACTCATCATTCTAACAATTCGACAGATTCCCGGTGTCGGAAACAACCATCATTTTTTGATGTTGGTAAGGAATGGGAGGTGGTTGAGGCATGGCAGCGCAGGCCAAGAGAGATATGCTTGGTAGATTTTTGGTTGAGTCTCGGCGGCAGAAGTACCCGAGAATCTCAAAAGCAGAAAGACTGTGTATACTCGCGGCGACATCTTTTTAATTCGCGGTGTGTGTTGCCGCAAGTCTTGATATCATTTGCATGCTGTGCATCGAAAGCTTTGTTGGTACAGAGACTCACCTTCAGCGTGTATATATGCGCCAATTGGTGCTTACTGTCATCGTGCATCAAACGCAGTCCTAAAATGTCGGCTACATTGATTACGTCCTCTGTTATTACAACGACTTTGGTCGTGACAGTGCGTACCGTAATGCTCCTGCCACGGATATCGCGCATCCGATGCACCTGCCTCGAACTTCATCATCAGGAGAGGACCAAGCACTGCATGACCTGACCGAGTTTGCGGTGGCTGCTTTTTCTCTACACCGAGTTCCCCCGCTCAGTACCTCCCACGTGCCTCGTCCATGCAGCGCATCCTCTATCAATGCCTATATTTGGTGCTCGCTACACTCGGCCAGCGTTAATCAGGCCTCCAACAACGTCACACACTACCAACGCCTTTGCACGGGCAGCGAGCTTGCCAGCAATCATACAGACTACCAGGCTTCCAGCGGGGTCTCGCCTGTCTGCTAAGCTCACGCCTCAAAGCTTTGTACCACGGCAAAAGAGAAGAGTCAGGGGTCGCATCGTGTCCGTCCACCAGCTAGTCAGCTTTTAGCGAGTGCTTAATTTCTTAGGGCTGACCCCCCTCCTGGGTTCCCAACCTTTCGCGAATCCATACCCACATTCTGGCTCCTCACAAAAGGTAACTCTCAAGCGCTCAACGGTTATGCAATGTCGTTTCCTATGACGCTGTAGTTCCCGACGATCTAGTAGATCACAAAATATGCGATCAACAAGCACTGCAGCGGAATCTCCACAATCACGACGCAAAGTCAGCCCTCGACCTCGTGAGATAATGCCGACCTTCCGGATCAGTCTGGCCGAAACATGTCATTGGTAAATTTCCGAGCGCTCACCCTTTGGGAAAGCACCTCATCCGTGCGTTCAGGCACGAGCGCCGTATTTGACATGCGCTTCAGCGCTGGCGCACATGTAGCGCCGGCCTAACGCTGGCCTTCAGCGTCAGTCCATGTGGAGTATGTACGAGCGCCGTAAGGCGACGAGCTTTATTGGATGCGTGCGCCATGGGTCAATACGAGAGGGGGGCTATTATTAAAGAGCTGAGCTGCTGCCCGTGAAACTATTCTTCATCGCAAGGTCTTGTTTCTCAACTTACATCACTTTCGTCGTCGTCTCTCTCGTTTCGACAGTCACTCGCTTCGACCAATTACTCGAATAGCTTAATCATAGTCATAATGCGCTTCTCCGCTTTCGCCCTCTTGTCCCTTGTGTCGGTTGCCTTTGCTGGTAACTGCGGACCCCAGAATGGAAACGCCAAGTGCGCTGCCAACGAGTGCTGTAAGTTGTATCCAGACGACATATTTTCGAAACCCTACTAACATGCATTACAGGCTCCCAGTATGGCTGGTGCGGAACCACCGTCGACCACTGCGACGCAAAGACCTGCCTTCACCCCTTCTCTGGCGCCTCTTCATCATGCAAGCCCACCCAGACAACAATGAAGACCAGCGCAACTAAGCAAGCTACCTCGCCCGCCACCACCTTCCCTACCGCGGTCCCCGAGATCGACGTCTGTGGACACGCCCAAGGCGGTGTAACCTGCCCTGGCGCCGGTGCCAACGGCTACTTCTACCGCTGCTGCTCCTCCGCCGGCCACTGCGGCCCCAAGAACGACATCCAGGACCAGGCTCTCTACTGCGGTGACGGCTGCCAAGCCGGTTACGGAAAGTGCGACAACCAGAAGGCGCCTGCTGAGCCTACCGCCCCCAAGGGTACCTCCGGTGCTGGAGAGACTTGCGGTCCTATTGTCAACAAGAAGTGCGCTGCTGGTCTTTGCTGCTCTGGATCCAACTTCTGTGGCACTGGTGAGGACTTCTGTGGAAAGGCCAACTGGTGCCAGAGCAAGTGGGGAAAGTGCAACTAAGACGTTGTACTGAAAGAAGATTTCAAGATGCAAGGGACATATATATTAGAGTAACGAAAACACTAATTTTTGGGGAGGAATGTAAATACTTGAGAACTATAGATCATATGCACCTGCGTTACTTGATTGAAATCTTTTTCCTTCAGCACTGCCTCATTCGATGCCATTCGACGGGTAGACTTCTCCTTCACTAAACCATTCACAGGACAAACACAAGCATGTGCAACAATACATGCCATTACATCACATACGCACGTAGTTGCCACGCTCAAAACAAAACCTCTCCTCCAGAATACCTACTCATGGCAAAGGCAGTCCATTTCGAACCCCATACCCCAGCCCCAGACTCTGAATACCTCTTCCACGGCAGCGGCACCGTCTTGAAACCTTGCCACATAACTCGCTACATCTACCCCTCCCTCTGCGACTACCCGCCAGGCTGTCTGCGTCTCCAACTGCCATCCAACTCCTCTTCGCGCTCCCGGCCCCAAGGTTCCGGGTCCTGGGGCACCGACGACCACACTTTTCTTAGCATAACGAACACGCAGAAGCTACTAGCTCCGCATTCAGCTTCCTTTGCAGAATGGTCAACGCGGGAGTTGGAACGGAATAGGAAGAGTAAGAATGCATTGGCGAGGAGCATGGCGAGGATGAGCTTGTATGTGGGTAATACGGTGTTGGAGGCGGGCAAGTTTCAACTAAGGAGAGGCGAGGGTATGTGTTTTGTTGTTGTGAGGAGGAGTGTTGTTGTGCTTGAGGGGGGAGGAGGAGGATATGGGGACAAGAAGGGTTTTGGGAGGGAAGAGGAGAGGTATGTTATCCCGTGTACGGAGTGGAGAGGGATGATGCCACCGATGGTTGAAGGGAAGGAGTACGATTGTTGGTGGGTACGTTTACATGTAAGTGTTGTACTTTGCACTCGTGCGTCTTGATAGAAAGAAGACGAAGAAGAAGAAGAGGTGGGTAGAGAGGGTAAGGATGAACAACCACGTACAAAAGCTGATCAAGCGCTATGTAGAACCTCTTTCATGCAAGCTACGATCGAGCGTTTTTTCATGCTCGGGACCAGATGGATAATGTCCTTCAGATGGCGCCGCCGCTAATCAACTGGTACCCCAGACCCGACATCGAAGCACTCGTCACCGTACACCGCGATATTCCACCACCACCCGCACAGGCAAAATACCTAGGCGACGCATGCCCAGCCTGTAGCCGCACCTGGTTCACCGAGAGCGAATATGCGTGCCGCCTCCATTGCGGCCACTTCCTCTGTCTCGAATGCCTAACCCAGCACGTCGATTCAAGTGCCGGTCGGGGCAAATTGCTTCCGGGCGAAACCGACCCGCTGACTAAATTCTTCCGCTGCATAGAATGTAAAAGCATAACAGCTCTCCTCGTCGACCGCACCGCCGTGACACGCCCCGACGAACTGCCCTGGTGGCGTTGGAAGATCTGCATGCGGCGTCTAGAAAAAGAAGCTTCAGAGTTTTGGCTTGTGAGACTCCAGACACTACCGCATAGTGGGTGGTTCCGCGATATACCACAAGACTGGGATACTGATCGGCAGGTCAAGGAGATTAGAGTCCATGTCCGCTATGATGATGCGGTAGCGTTTATGCACGTGCCGAAGAAAGTTTGGGCAATGTTGCCGTATGGATTTAGTTTGGACAATCCTGTGGAGAGTTGCGAAGCGTTGGCGTTGGAGAAGTGTTTGAAAGGCGAGTTGAAGCGCCTTTCTGTTGAGCGCAAGTTGTTCAACACCAAGGAGATTCTGGATCATATGGCGAATGTGGGAAGGGGTGCGTTGAAGCCTGTTGTTGTGGAGGATGTGAGTGCGAGATTGGGTAATCCGGTAACGCCGCCGGGGTATGAGGCGTATCGCGATTTCTTGTGTGAGTGGACTGCGAGAGGGGTGCTCATGTGTCCAATGGGACGGATGCCGATTCTGGAGTTTTTGAGAGATATGGACAAGGAAGGGAACAAGAAGAAGGCTTGGTGGAAGGACGTGCGGGATGTCTTCTTTGATCCGTAGACTGTAGGAATCAGAATTAAGGTTCACCCTTAACGGTATACGTAGATTTTCCTGTTGTAACTTTGACAGAGAGACAATAGTGTAAACATTCAGGGTAGGTGTTAACAATTGAAGTATGACTTGGCAGAAACAAGCTCCTTTATACGAATGACACATTGCTGGATGAATCTCTATATATGCAAACACAGCACAAGTACTCGCTAGACCTATGTATCAGACATCAAATAACGTCAGACACCCCATTTCCTCCCAACCCCCCAGTCAAACTCTTCATTCTCCTGCCCAACAAGTCATCCTCGCTCGCCAGACTAACCAAGCTCTTGCGTCTCCCTCTATAATTCTTCGTCCTCCCCCTTGTACTTCCCCGCACACCAGACCCGTTCTGCTGTGGCGGACTCTTCTTTCCCTTATTTAAAACCGTCATCTCCAACGGCCTGTCTTCCTCTGCCGAAGACGCGGTGTTGGTACGCTGATGATGTCTCTTCCGTTGATGTTGCGGAGAAGTCAAGCCATCAATAGCATCTTGTAAACCCACCGTACCGAAATAATCGCTTCCTTTTTCTCGTGGTCTCCTCGGCGTAGCAGTAACAGCAGGTGTGTACATGGGCGTCTCATCACCCCTCCTCCTATCAGTCGCATCTTCAAACGCCTCAGCAATCCATTTGCCACACCTGAAGATGTACTTCCACCCTTCTGGGAAAACCCCTACAAACTGCAAAAATCCATGACTGATTCCCGGCACCAAGTCAACATTGACCCATTCCCCTTCTCTAAACTCACCTCTCGCCCAGTCTAGTCCCAACTCCTTCGCCGCAACCCACTCCGCACGCTTCGCTTGCCGTAGCCTGCCTGCGAAGATAACCGTATCATCTACGAGCGGATCGCGCTCACCCGTCAACATCCATGTGCGTGGAAACCTTGCTAGTAGGGACTCCGGGGCGAGTAAAGGAGAGAGGAGGTAGTCGGTTGAGAAATCTGGGCGGTGGTGCGGGCCAATGTAGAGGATTATCATTGCGCGCATCATTTCGGGGGTGAGGATGCGGTCGTTGAAGTAGGATATCATGGAAGACATTGCGAGGCGAGTTTTAATGGCTGTGGCTGGGGGTGCTGGGACTGTTGGACCAGGTGTAGAGGGCTGTGTCGCGGCCGGTGTGGGCGGTAAACTTGAATTGGCAGGAGTTGTTTGGCCGGGAGTTTGGTTGAGGGTGCTGGTGTTAGTGTCGAGGCGGGGGAGAGAGGTGCTGTCTTGGTTGGTGTGTGCGGCGGAGAGGTTGATCATTGTCTGGGGAGACGTCCTGAGACCATTGGTCTTTGGCATAGATGCATTGGTCGTGCTGACTCTATTGCGCTCATCTTCGTCGTCACCATCCGAATCATCAGAGCCATATGGTGTGTTGGGCGCAAGTTGTCTGTAATCATCGCTCTTATGCCGTAAGATGGGTCGGTTCGTCTTCCTCACTCGTCGGTCGCGGATAAGCGCCATTTGCTCGTCCGTCATCCAGTTGCCAATGTTCATGTCCAGCGCAGGGTAGATCAAGACTACGCCGATTGGAGGCGGGATCGCATATTCACCCTGCCACCTTCGCGTCTCAGTCGAGCCACTTTGCAGGATCATGAGCACCATAGCAGTAACCAAGTTACCCCCAGCCGAATCGCCCGAGACAACGATCTTGGGCTCTACTTCTCCCGATAGACCCATGCACGTTCCTCTCGATGCGATGATCATGTGGTAGACGTCGTAACATTCGTTGAGCGCATACGGATACGGGTGCTCAGGAGCCTTCTTGTAATCCAGACTAAGGACAGGCAGGCCCGTCTTGCCAGCCCAGCCCATGAGCTTATCATCATGATTCCTCGGGTTCATGGCCACGAAACCACCTCCAGGTATGTCCAAGACGACCTTGTCCTGCTTCTTCAATGCGCTCCGCGGCCCATTGAAGTACAGCCAGCCGGTCACGGGTTCCTTGTACGAACTAGCCTTGGGTCGCGGTATGCGAATCTGGCGCGGCGGATAGACCATCAGCCTGGGTCGCATCATGCTCGTCAGCGCACCCAGATACGGCGTGGTGCCTTTATTCCAAGCGACGCGCAAATGATCGACGGTAAGCGTCGCTCTAATCTTGCGGACTTTCTCGTCGGCTTGCTCGGCACATATCAGGTAGTATATGCTGAAGACGACAGACAACAGATCCCTGACGCCCTTGCGCTTAATCCGCATAGCAGACCAGAAGCCTGCGTCCAGCGCAGTCGTGACCCATGTAGCGCGGAAGTAGGAGCGCGAGTAGAGGCTCGCGAGGGGCTCTGGGCACTCGAGGCCCACGAGCTTGCCGAAGTTACGGGCAACGTAGAGGTAGAGGAGAGTTATGAGGACGGATTGCCAGACGGTGAGTTTCTTGGAGAGGAGGGCGGATATGCGGCGGAGGATTGGTGGGCCATGGCGGTCGCCTCTACGGGATTGTTAGTGTGTGTGTGTGAGAGAGAGTGTGTGTAGAACTTGCCTGTAGAGGTAAAAGGACCAAAAGGATACCACTGCCAACACCTGTATCTTCCTGAACTGCACCGATGGCCGTCCCAATACATGGTCTATCATGGCCGTAGCTCTTTCCTAGCATAAAGCGCTGTGTTGGACCAAGTAGATGCAGTCGCAGGCCTATTGTGCGTCATGAAAGGCGTCAAGTCGGGTCTACACGTACGTCGCAAGCCTGTCGGCGTAAGCATGTGAATGCCAGCTGAGGTCAAGTCGTAACGCAAACCCGGGGTGGATCTCGTCTGGGGTATGGGGAAAGCCATGGAACAGCGGCGCAATGCGCATTATGGTCATCAACCCCCAGTTTGTCCACGACTACAGCAATAGCCGTTCAAGCCGTCGACAAGCGCGGCGAATTAGCTGTATTGAGGCTCTGTGGTTGGGTGAGGGTCCGGCATGTGACAGGTTGCGGAGGACGTGTGCGTGCCATGTGAAAGCCGCGCTATGACATCTTCTCGGCTTTGTTGCGTTCTTTCCGAGGAGCTAACCAGGCCAACGTCAGCCGCCCTCGCCGCAGCCAGGTCACGTCTTCTTTGTTTAGCACCACCCAAAGTAGCAGTTTGTATGTGACACAAGTATTCATCTCCAAGTTCATCTCTTCATGAACCTATATATTCTACCATGTCAACACCTCGACAAGCCATAACCTCAACAGTCAAAGCCTTGTACAAAGACCTTGATAGCATCATGCCCCCAAAAGAAGAGAATAGACAGAAAAATGGAGAAGAAGAAGAAAAAAACCACTCCATCGCCTGAAACCACGTGGGCCATTCGAGCCACGTCAACGACATCCATCAACCCTTCATCCACTCCCCAACCTCGAACCCCACCCTCCTCAGATCCGCCTCCGCAAACTTCGCCCCAGCCTCCCTACTCTTCCACACAGTTAAACACCGAACCCCATCATCCATCTCAGGTTTAGCTCCCACCTGCCCCTCCTTCGGATCGTACCCTCTCACATAAAGCGTTAAATCCGGTCCTACCGTTCCCCGCCAAAGCGTCGCCATCCACTGCCAGTGGTCTGTCGGGCTGTAAGCGTCTTGAATGGGAATGCGGGATGCGTATGCGACCGAGGCTTGGAGTTGAAAGGTAGGGAGGATGATGACGGGTTTTATGCTTGTTGACATTAGGGGAGAGTCGGGTGGTGTGGTCGAGTCCTTCCGGGATGGAGTAGATGATGTGACAGCAACGGTGGATGGGTTTGAGGACGCGATGGTGTCCTTTGGGGAAGAGAGTGTGGATGAAATGGGCGTAATGATGTACTTGATCATCTCCTTGCTCTTGCCATGCCACTCCTTAATTAGGTTGAGATAGTTCTCAAACGTGACTTCTTTGTTATCGTCATTGGGAGCTTGAGGTGGCTCGGCTATCTGCGGTTTGTACTCTTTCTGCTTAATGAGGTACTCGTTCAACCATTCTGAGAGTTCCTTGACTGCAGCTATCTCGTCACCTTCGACGGCGATGATGGCGCCGCGATTGGTCCGGCACGATGGGCTTGCGGAGCCCGGTTCTTTGTACGGAGGCGTTATGCGTCCAAGCAGTTTAATCTTGTTGGAATATGGGAATGCACTGAGCACTTCTTCTACGCTTCTTGGGCTACCTTCATGTTGTAGAGGACCCAACTCAACCATTGAATTCCGTTGCAACTCACGAGGAGTTCGTGGAGGAGGCATGGTCGCACTGTGAGGCGGCACATGAATAGGCGGTAAAGACTCACGTCGGTGAGCATACTGAGTTGGGGCATAGTACGGTCCTTCCGCTCTGCGACCGTTACTCGTTGGCGGAGGCGGTCCATAGTCGAAACGACGCTTCTTGTTCGGTGTTAAAGGGCTGTACGTTATCGAGTCCGTATGCATCGCTGAAGTTACTTGAAGGTTGCTGGGGCGGCGCATAACTGGTGATTGTATGCTGAGGTTACCCACCACAGGTAAATAGCGGGTTGTTGGTGTGAGACCTTCCGATATATTGGGAGGCGGCAGAGTTGGTGTGCCAGAGGCATCGAGAAAAGGACTGGCGGGTGTTCTGAGACTGCGACCACCACATTTGTGGCAGCGATACTTGTCGACTATAGTATGCTGACCAGTAGGGTTCAACGGAGATGATCCCGGCTTGCCAACACGACGCGGTTGGTAGCGGTAGTCAGGGTACTGCTCCTGATGCCTAGCTTTCTCTTCCTTGAGTCTCATGTTAATAAAATGAACACAAAGAGATGTGCAGATGACCACTAACCTGCGCAAGATCTTGCCAAACCTTCTTCTGCTCTTCACCTTCAGCTTTCCATTGTTCACCGATGATCTTGGAAATGTCGGGATTGTTGAGATCAGGATTGCGAGCGGTAATGGCCTGCTGGTGATGCTGTCGATAGAGGATGAATGCTATGAAAGTAGTTAGTGGGCTGAGCAACAATGACTACAGACAAAGACTCGTGTTTCGGTTTTGATCCACAACCCAAGTCGTATACCCCGATTAAGGAGGATATGTCCTTGGAAGACAAAGGAATGCCATGGACTCACCATTTCGTGGCCGTGGTATTTTTGGCTCCGGTTGGCAAAGACATACGTGACCCGAAAAGTCTGGAGACCCTACTGCAGTTGCAGAAGTAGCGCTTGGAGGAGGCATATCGTCGATCGGACTGTTGCAGTCTTCTTTCTCATGAACCTCAATAAGTGTGGCGATTCTTTTTCTCGTAGTCCGAGGCGAAGACGAAGCAGGGGATATCGGCTGCTCTTCTTTGTTGCTTCCCTCAGCAGTAGGGTTAGAAGTAGGAGCAGACCGCGTCTCATGAATTCGACTGCTCTTACGCAGACTTCTCAAAGGCTTTGCATCGTCCATTGGAGACACTGGAGAACCGTCACTGACCTGCATATTTGACTTGACGTACCGCCGAGGCACGTGGAAGAAGATAGCGACAGGAGGCTGGGAAGAGAGTGGTGAAGTCCGAACAATCGGTGGCAACACTCGACTTGCTAGCATTTTTGAGATTCAGCGACGAAGCAGTTGATCTAATGAGTTTTGTCGGAAGAAGGCGTGGTTCATTGTCCCTGGCCGAACAGGAAGGGAGGAGCCGCGTTGGACGAGCCATACAACATTCTGTGCTTCTCTTTGAATGCATTATCCCGTGTGTGGAGTTGGAATCGATGTGCTTTGACGAATCAGCTGTTGCGATCCAGTAAAATGATTGTTCCAGTCAGATGTAACCGATCTTCTTAGGGACTTTCTTTGTTCTCATCCCGCCAAGACACGCTCTACCGACCCGCGAGACATGACAGCATTCCTGTACCCGCTACGCAAGGGGCTCCAACAATGCAACACGTCTTTCACGATGACAGAAGTGACTCAGTCTCGGGATCTACACAGTTATACTGCGCATTGCATCCATACGCCGTCCTTCGAAGCGAGGCGCAATCTATGCCACATTGCTGAGAACCATGAAGCCCAACGAAGCCTTGGCCAAGTTCTAGACAGTGTCTCTATCGCGGCGTACTAGAAACCTGGAGGGAATTTTAGGTTGAAGTTCTGTCCCTCTTGTTCCTTAGGTTTTTCGTTGTTGTCGGAGCTTTGCATCTCACGCTCATTGACAGTTTGGTTTCCCCGTACGAGGCTAGCGGCTTGCTTTCCGATTAGCTCATGGGCAGGACCGCTGAGTTGGACGGTATCCCTATTACCTAGTCAGGTTGAGACAATGCGTTTGTGTAGCCGTTAACTTACCAGAATAAGTGTGCGGCTGGAACGGAGCACTTCTGCACGTCGGATGTTTGTAGATCCATTGCACCACTTCGTTGCGGCACGAGACATGGTTGTTCAATCTGTTCGAAAAGAGGGGCTTGTTTACCGACACCAGCTGCATCTGAGATCTGTTTCGAGTATAGCTGTTTGGCGCGAACTTCCTCCATGATCAAATCATGCGGCCCAGGCATGTAGATAGCACCTTTGTTCCACTGGGATGCAGTCCGAACCAAAACAGTATCCCAATATGCCCACAAAAACACCATTCGGTGCTGAGTCACCGCAAAGTCGGCTTCCCGCATCGCTTTCTTCTGCAGCTGGAACTGAGGTAGGAAGCTAGCGTCGATCATCTTCGGCATGACGACTTTCGGCGGATTTGCAGTATGTTCGGCGAGTACATCAAGATTCAGAAACAGCGATGCAATGCTCTTGTCCACAGCAGACATGGCGGCAGCCTTTTCCAGTGTAGAGTACTCCAAAAGATCCCACAAGCCGAAGAAAACGGTGAAGAAAGTCCACTCGTCCCCTTTTCGCAGACTTTGCGGGATAACTCGACGTCCTTTGTCGTAGGTGATGTACTGTTCCACCTGTGTCTTGAAGTCGAACGGAGTTACGGTGGTCTCGTTGCTCCCGGCGCCTTTCGCTTCCGAGTGAACATCTGCGTCAACCAACGATCCGATATGTGCAGCGGCAGCCGGCTTGGAGTGCGCGAAGTTGTCAATGGTATCACACGCGAGCTGAAGTCTGTCAGGTCATGTCTTCACGTTGTTTGTGACTCCCACTAACCTCTTTGCATAAAGTCTCTACCCATAAATCGCCTCGGTCAGCATCGCGGGCAACGACCGCAGACAATACAGGCGACGAGACGCGGTAGCTTCCAGTGTCGGACCAATCATTACCAAATACTACAATGCGATGCGCGCTACCGCGCCAGACGGTGTGGACGGTGTCTTCGAAGTCGGCAGAGTGAACCCAGGTGAAGTACAAGATCATAAGAATAGCTAGAGCCGCACATACATGCAGCCTTGAGAAGAACCTCATCGCGCTACAGCACTAGCTAGTTGACGGTTTAAAAAGCGTGTAAGAGTGAAGTGTTAGCAACGCGATCAGCTCGAGCAAATGAAAGCAAATGGCGAGCAGCCTTTGTGAAAGTATAGGCTCGTAACTGCGGGAACTCCCAGCGTCAACATGGCTGGGCATTAAGGAACATGACGACGCCTGTGCAGTGCGAGCCTTGCTGTGGGTGTCATCCCCGGGATGACATGGGTCAGAAACGTCTACTACGCCCGAAAGCGGATACATGTCGCGTGCGCGTTGCAGACGACGCTATCAACCTATGGTTATCTGTCAGTGGAAGAATATTTAACCCACACATTGCATGGTGGCGTCTCCTAAAGATGCCATCCCCTTCTTTTACCGCTGTCATGCCGCCGAATTTGCACTGCGCCGCGTACACAAATGCGTGGGCGTGAGGTTTGGCCGCGCGGAACGAACGGCCGCGTCGGCATCGAGCGACCCACATCAGTGGCGTAATCTGTGGAGCGAATTTCAAGGCCTTACGTGTATAATTTTAGTTGAGGAGTATCAGTGGAGGACATGCGATGCCCAGGTGTGAAGCCACAAATGCAACAATGCGCTATGCCTATAACGTGCGAAGTGCTTATCCTGCCCGTTGGATACGATCTGGGTCGGGGCGCCTCAAGCCGCTTACTGTGCCGGTTACTCTCCAAACTCCAGCCTTGCGAACCGACTCATCAAGTTATTCCTTGTCGCACCGCCATCATCAATACACTGTGCTACAAGGAACGCCTGATCTGCCCATTTTCTTGTCGCATCGTCATTCTCCTGCAAATAATAGTCCACGGCACGATTGAAGAGGGTGCATGCAAGCCATTCGAGCTCTGTCTTGGGGTAGCGCTCGAGTTCCTTGATGTAATCATCAGCCGGGTCTGCAGCGTCTGCGTTCTTCGCAGGGTCAGATGATAGCGATGGTGTGTGCAGTCCAACTTTTGCAGTGATAGAATGGACGGTCTGAACGGACTTTTTAAAATGAATCAATAGGTAAGAAGGTAAATGGGACTTACGTTTTGCTGCTTCGCTGCCATGTGCGTTACTTGCTCAATGCACTTGAGACTGGCTTTCTCGTCATGCTCAAGTGAAATATTGAACAGGCACCGGAGCCAACGAGCCAGCTTCGTTATGTCCCGGTTTGGTTGTCGGCACGTCAGATTGATGATCTTCTCAAGAACAGACAGTACTTCTACGAATCTTGTCAGTTCGGTTCTCACGCAACTCAGCTTCAGGTCTTACTTGTCTGGTACTTCTTATCTACGCCCGCTTTCAGAATGCACCCATGTATAACCAGGACAAGATCTGCCAACGTTTCGTAGTGGTCTGGACTCTTGTACTTCCAACATTGGTCGAAAAGCTTGTCGAGTTCATCCCATCTTTGAAGCTTGAGCACAGCTTCAAGCTCCAGCTTGACAACTTGGAGGTGTTTGGAAATAATGTCGGCTTGAGACGGTCCACTGAGTTTGTCTATACCTTCTGCTGCAGCTTGTCGAAATTCTTGACTGTGTTTGCGGGTCTCCAGGTAGTAATGAATCTAAACTAGTCAGCTATTGGTCAATGCAACAACAAACGCGACTGACGCTCTGCTCAGTGTTATCCTCTGCGCGTGCCAGAGTAGTGTAGGTGCATGCAGCGAGGAATTCGCAGAACACTAGTCGGAGGCAGAGGTCACCGTCTGCCTCTGGCTGGGTCTTCCCCTTGAGCAGTTTGATGAACTCGATACAGCAGCTCAGCAACCTGACCAGAGACCCTGGTGGCATCTCCGCACAGTACTTGAGCGATATGTTATAAGCATTCTTGGAGAACCATTCAAATTCCACGGCTGTAAACAGTTCTTTAGCCGGTGTGCTCGGCCTCGTACGGGACGCTTTAGCTTGAAGGCATGCTGGCGAGTGTTATGAAAAAGTCTTCAACCAGAAAGAGTGCTGCCACTCACCTCCTTCGAAGACATTGCAAATCTGTCTCAAAACACCGGTGTCAATCTTGCCGTCCTTGATAAGTTCAGACTCTAGCATACGAGTGGCAGACCTGGTCACCTGTCAGCAACGTAAAGCAACTCCAGCGAACGACTTACCGCAATAGCGCAGGAAGATTGATCTCTGCTAGCGCATTATGCTCGTACTTTTCAAGCACCTTCTCCAGAGCACGAATGGCCTGCCTCTTGTTCCCCGCACTTTGAGCCTCCATAACACAAGCATAAAGCAGAGTAGCATCTTTCGCAGAACTCCGACAAACATGATCGAGACATTCAGCCGCAAAGTCTTCATCCCCGCCTCGGAGACCAGCCTTATACATCAAATATCTCGTCACAGGTTCATCCTTGCCACTCTCTGGCATCTTGTTATGCACTTCCCTCGCGCCCTCATAGTCATGCGTCGCCAGTGCACACTGTATAATTTTTCTCGCAACTTTCGCTTTATTTTGGACCCCAGCTCTCTCGAAGATAGCATGGAGGCACATCCGACACCACGCCTCAGCCACATGATATTGCTCCTGGCTAATTGCGGCCCCTACTTTCTTCCACAACAAAGTCTGCGCAGCATGTGTGGCAGGAGCAGAAAGGCGAATCTTCGAGTTCTGATCGACGGTATCGAAGAGCTCCTGGAGCTGCTCGAGCGTATTGTCAGCGAGATTATTGTTTGTTCCAATCCAGATACGTGTGATGACAGCTTTTTCGATCCAGGACTGGTTTTCTTCTCGAAAGAGCCGAACGTCGATTAAATCCTCGAGCGCTTTGCAGGCGGTGGTGTTGCTGTGATCTTTCAGCTTGTGTATGTAATGCATGATGGTCTTGAAATTTGTGTCATTCAGCACAACGGTGCGTATCATGCGCAAAAGGACGTTGTAGAACTCGGTTGTGTCGAAAGTTTGAGCTTCGGATAAGAGTTCGATCTTCAGCAAGGACACCATCATTTTGTCTCCAAAGTCGGTTTCCATCAACCTCATCATTTGCCATGCCTTCTCTTGTGTTTCCATGGTCTTGGTCTTCATATATGCGTTGACTGATGGTATCATTAGCTGTCGTCTTCCGGTTGTGTATGATGTGTCTTCTTACCAAGACTCTGCATGATGCTAAGTCTCAGCTCACCAATCTCGGGGCTGAGCATGTCCAGATCTTGCTCTCCAAGGACATCAAAGGCGCGTTCTAACCACCTCGCGGCAATCTCGTAATCGCGCTTCGCAAGGGCGGCTTTTCCAATCTCATACAGTAGATCAGCAAGCTGCTCAGTCGTGGTAGCGTTGAAGCTTTTCCCAAACTCTTTACACTTCCTAAACATGTGCTCTGCCATGTCCATACGACCACTACGCCATGCCTATACGTACGTCAATTCGATGGCGCATCTCAGGGGCGTCGCATCTGATAGTTCACTTACCAGAGTTGTACGCACAGCAAAATACTGCGCCCTGAACCCATCTGCAAGCTCCCCGTCTCTCTCGTCCCCACCTTCGTCCCGCTTACCCAAAACATCTTCGTAATCGGCGGCGCGTTCAAGAACTTTTGTTGCAATGCCCAGTTCAGTTCCCTCAATGCATACTCTGGCCGTCTTCAGGGCAACCTTGATCAGTCGAATACAGTTCTTCCTTTGCCGCCCCTTCGGACCCCGGCCGCCAGCTGAATCGAGCAGCATGAACGCGTAAGCACGCAGAAAAGGCAGAATGTGAAACTTGTGCGCTGTCGCATCTTCCGATTTTGCATCGATGTCAGATTCGTCTTTGCGGCGTAAGCGTGTAGCTTGGTTCCAGAGCTCAGTTCCTAGTTTATCGAGTTCATCTTGCTTCGCGGTGAGGGTAGATGAGGCTTGGAGAGGGAGGCCGCGCATCTGCGTTTGGAGTTCACTGATGAGCGTCGCGTCATTGTTACCAGTTTCGATGCGTTCGCTGAGAGTTAACGCGAATGCTAGAAAGAAAGTGAGCGTCATGCGCAGGGTAAGTATAAAGGATAGCACTCACTCAGAACCGCCTTCAACTTCTTTTCGCGCTCTAACCTTGCTGCTGATTGCGCGTGAGACATCTTGCATGAAAGAGGTGGAGAAAAGACAGGTGGAGGGTGACGTGTGGAAAGTGAAGTCGCGACCTGCCATTCTCGAAGGTAACTTCACCTACACGTGAAAAGATTGGGAAGGAGCAACACGCGAGTGCATCTGAATTAGAGACGGAAGAACAAATACAATCAGATAAAAATGCAAGCAATAGGATATACATGTTGAAGTAAGCCTCTTGCCGCAGTCCTAATTACCTTCACAACAGATTGTGTACATACTTTTTCTGGTGGATGCATCTAGACATCCAAGTCCAATGTTGCTACATCCTCAACTCATTACAAACTACAGTTCAATGCCGCCGGTGAGCAGTGAACTTGCCATAAAGGTTCTACGAAGCTGGTAGCGACCCCGACGTAGCCTCAGTGATAGGAAGGAAGTTACCCACAATCAACGCCGGTCTAGTCACAGTCAGTCTAAGCTCCCATGCAAACACCGACCACCACTTACATATTCCAAGCATCTCGCTTCACCGTAAATGAAAAGCAACACCGTATCTCTGGATCCTTGGAATGCGGATCTGGATTCTTCAGGGAGCAACTCGTCAGAATAGCTTTCTGCGTATGATCGAATGCGATGGCGCCAAACTTCTCCCAATACGATACCAAGGATGGTTCGGCAATGATCTCGTGCAGAGCGATGTTACCCTTTGTTCTGGTTAGCTTGCTCTATATTCAAGCGATAGTTGTTCTAGCTTACGTCTCGCAACTTCGACATCGGTACGTGGATGAGCCGCGCCATTTCCTTGTTGCCGCGATATATCTCGCCTGTTCTTCTCCAGCAGCACGCAGGTATCGCCATGCTAGCGAAGACGCGGTCGTACTCCATTAAGCTCTTGTCGAACCACATCTCAATGCGTACTAGATCGACGTCCGTCAGGCTCTGCATTCGCTCGCGGAACTTGGGCCGGAAGCGATCTAGTTGGCGAAGTACGCGGATGCGAGATGCCTGCTGCAGGTTTTGTTCCATATACTGGTTTAATCTGGCATACCCCTTGACGTAGTTGAAAGGTTTTAGGAGCCCTGCGTCGACTTTCGCTTTGAGTAGTTTGTTCATGCGCTCTTCAGGACTGTCGTTTCCAGCAGGGTCGGCGGCTGTGACGAGGTATCTTTCTCTGGCCTTGTCGATGGGGACCCCAGCTGCTTGTCGTGATGTAGCATTCCCAGCGGCATTCTGCGCGGGAGGTGGAAGTAATTGGGGCGGTCTTGATGTGCTTGCACTGTAGGCAGAATTGCTATTCAGAGAGTCCATCTGGTTCATGAGTGAGGCATCGGTGAAGAGACTGTGGAAGTCATTGCCTCCATAGAATGCACCGTCATCCATGAGACTGTTGTTGAGGAAATCGTTGAGCAGGTTATACTCATTGCTAACTTCTGAGGTATTGAACATATATGAAGGGTGGAATTGCATGTCCTGAAGGTTGTTCTGAGATGAGAGCAAACCATCGTAACCCAAAACTCCCAGGAGTGTCAGTGACGATTACGATGTGGAGCTGAGGGGAAGTGTAACTTACAAGGCTGACTACCAGCCGTCAAAGCAGGCAATTGTGGCGCGGATACGGGGTCGTTTCGGGTACCTGATGTTGTGCTGGCATCCCTATTAGGAGGTACTGGATGCGTGGCCAGGTTAAGCCCTGCATCCGGAACTGGTGGAGCGGCCGTTGATGCTGCATCGGAGGGAGTTGACTCGACCTGAGTGGGCTGACTCTGTCCATCACCATTCTCTGGCTCAGACTTGGACTTCTTAACACCTTCACGCGGCTCGTCGTGACAGAGGTGTCCAATATTTCGTTTTACACAGCGTGTGCATGGTCGCTCCTGCATTGGGCGAAGGCACAATCAGCTTGCGAATAGATGATGCCTCATTTGGTGCACTTACGAGATCACAGGTCATGTGCTGATTGGTTTGAGTCAGCAAGCAGGAAAAATTGTCTTACATGCGAACACATGGTATGTATCGAATGCTGGGGATGTGGGTGGAGCTCACCGAACGTCTGCAGTAGATGCATGCTACATGGAAGCATATAGGTTAGCAAGGTTGCGGACGCCTTCGCGGCTACACAGCGTCGATGGCTTACCATGGTTTACTTTTCTACGCTTTTTTGGTGGCTTTGCAGGCGCCTCAGAATTGGTCGCATTGGGTTTGCTCTTCGCAGGAGAATGGGCTTTGGACACGTCATTATCTGGGGCAACTTTGTCCTTGTCTGTTTCTTTGGATTCGGCCATGTTGTCTGGCGAAGCTCCATTTGATCGTCGTGCAGCTTCCGTCATCAAGTGTGGATAGTGGGTCGGTGTCAGAGCCGGGTGCTTTTCTTGGAGACGCGCAGGTTCATGTGTGTTACGACAGGGGTCTCGCCAGGCACTGAAGCATCGGAAAGAGCAAAGAAGGTCGCGGTGCGCCAGGGACACGTTCTTTGGTGGCACAGCAGAGCCTGTAGTCGCGGTAGACGAGTGGCGGAGAGGTGTGGGTTTAGAGGCACAAGGGACAGGTGAATGTCTGCGGTCGCGTGCTTTGCCGAACCGAACCTTGGAAGGAAGATCCCGGAGGCTGCCAGGACATCCAATAGCGGAGAAGTGCACCGCGAGAATTTCTTAGCGGCAATTTTGACAGCTTCCCGCTGCGAGACGCTGACGATCTCGGGTGATTTTCAGGTTATGCGAAGAGCGACGTGCTTGACGTGTTGTAGTTCGCACAAGTTTCGCATAGAAGGGCTGTAGCTGCAGAAGTGGCTCCGCTCTGCCGAGAGGCCATCCCAAGGTGGTGGAGCCAATCACTTTCTAGTGTTGCTACACTACATAAATGGACTCGGCCGCAAATGCACATTTTCCGATGACCATACTGTCGGAATCGCAGTTCTGAAACTGGGAGTAAATTGATAGAGATGCCCTCCAACGCCATACACCTGCCCTGGTATTCATCCCACCCCCGTGTGCAGTACGCCTGCACAGAAGCCAACCCATACGCCGAGTCATGCATAACTATGGAAAGAACAAAAACCGCTGCGGGACCTGCATGTCGACGCTTCAAAGAGCAGCGTACTGCACTGCGCTGGCGTGCTTAAACAGGACATGGTCTAGTGCAGCCTGCGCGTCCCTCATGGCCGTATCGAGACCCTCTACTTGTGTATGGTTGCCCTGCATACTCTCCAGGCTGCGTCGCAATTGTCCGAGCACCGGTGCAAGGTCGTCGTTAGGCGTATCGAGGAGGGACAAGTCTACTGGTTGTGATGGCCTCAACTGTATATCGTCTGGACCGTCTCTGTTCGTCGTCGCATCGCCTTGGCCTTGGAGTAAGGGGTGGAGCTACAGCAGGTAGGTTAGCGACACATTCAGCTTGTCTAGAATAGACCGACACGTACCCGTCCGTGCTTCTTCTGGTGTTTCCACTCGGTCCTCCAGCTCTTGACGTTCTTCTTCAGAGCGTCCAGATTGTCTTCGTCCTTGTTCAGCAAGTGCTGAGCAATCTTGGCTTGTTCACTGAGCAGCTGCTTCGCATGCCGGATTGTCGTGGCCTCTCGTGATACTTGGGCATTGCGCTCCGTGAGCTTATCGATGTTGAAGTGGATGTCTTTGGCCTGGGGAGGCATCCGCGACTCAGCTAATTGACGCGCCAGCTTCCGCACAAGGGGATTGAGTGTGTTGTGTGCGGCCATGATCCTGCGCTCGTCTCGCTGTGTCTCGGCGATATCCTTCTTCGCATTGCGTACCACGGCCGTCATCTGCTCCAAGACCTGAGGCGGCAGTTGCGGCCATGTGTCCATCAGCTCTTGCGGTATCCTCTTCGTCTTAGTCTCCAACTGCGCGTACTGGTTGCGCGACTCGTCTTCGGCTTCGGCGATGTCGTCGGATTTGCGCTTGCGGGGTTTCGATGGTTGTGTTTGTGCGCCCACAGCTATCGAGAGCTCGTCCTCGACTTCTTCTTGCGCCTGTTTCTTCCTAGGTTTGCCCTTCTTCGCCGCAGCCGCCCTTGGTGCGGGCTTCGTCTTTGACTTCACAACACCACTAGAATTGCGGCTGCCTGGAGGCCGGCCTCGCCTTTTCTTCCCATTCGCATCACTGAGACGCGCCTGTCATAGTCAGTATGCGCATAGAATAGCGGCATATTGATGCTTATGCTTACCATGACGTTGGGGTCGAGTTGGGACGCGTCTGGTTGGTGTTGACACTCGCGTCTGGTGGGGAAGGAGCCGAGTAGCGCGGGCGCCTCTTCACGTGCGGACAGTCACTCTGGCCCCTCACCCTTCACTCTCCACATTCATCAACCTCTCATCTCAAGACGCGTGATACGTTCAATTGTACTTTCTCATCATCTCAATACTGACATTTATATACACCTCTAGCTATACTGAGCCGTCTTCCTCACTTCATCAAGTCACCCACCATCAATTCAACACACTAGATTCTCGCTCCTCAGAACTGAGAGAAGAACTTCCAGACCTCACCAGGTGTAAAACTTTGTGGTCCAACATCGTTACCCGCGTCTCCGGGCAGCGCAACATGATCTCCATCGAAAGCAGTCCACTGTGTCGGGTACTTGCACCCATCGTATACCGTCTTGATTCGCTGCCTGCTGTTTTTCGCCGGCTCTGGTGCGTTCTTAGCCTGGCATCCGTTCAGTCTCACGAAGCGATCTCTAATCTCCCTTCCTGAAGCGATGGGCAGGACGCTGTCTTTCACTCCATGCTGCTGGTACAAAGCAATTGGATCGTTTCCGCCGGCGCAGCCTGAAAGGGTTGCACCAGATAGCACAGCGATGGCGCGGTACTCCTTCGCACGACTGCATGCTAGACTGAAACTCATAGCACCGCCATAGGAGAACCCGAGGGAGAAACGTTGTGTCTCGTCTACGCAAAGATCATCCTCGACTTGCTTGCGAATGGTATCGAGGAAGGTGATGTCTTCGCCGTTCTGGTTTCCCCAGCCTTTGTTTATGCCGTCAGGTGCGATGAAGATGGCCGTCTCGTTTGCGAGAGCCGCAAGGCCATAGTACGGTGCGCTGCCGCCAGAGACAGATGTCATGTCGCCATTCAGCCAGTGGAGACCGAAGATGAATTTGTAGGGATGAGAGTTGTCATAGTTCTTCGGGATTCGGAGGGTCCACTGGCGTTGCTTGCCGTTCACCGTCGTCCTTTGGACACCGTTGGTCAACCTTGGTGACTTGCCGCAGCCCGCTGTGACAGCGGAGGCGTGATCAAGTATTGCGAGGAACAGAAGTGCGCCAAGTGCGAAGAAAGAGGTTGGACGAAACATGGTCGCTGATCGCTGGACTCGATTGTTGCGTTGGCAGCCAGTTGGTCCCGCAACGGACGCTTAAGTATGTTTTCATCTTCTGCGCTCCATTCAATGATAACCTCCATACTGTCAATCCCATCAGTCGATCTCCTTGGTATTCTAGGGGTTGACTGTCGTGAGTTCTGCTTTAGGCATCAACTCCAGACTTTCATCTCGAATACTAGGGGTTGACTGCCGTTATTATCTGCCGTACGAGAAGACCAAGACCTCTATACAATTCAAAGGAGGTCATTCTCCATACCTTTAGCTTCATGCCCAATGGACATTGTACAAGTCGCATTTTCGCCAGTCCACAGGTATTTCAGGTAAATGATGCCAAGCGAAAAAAACTCGCGGCACTTCGTCCAGGACGAGACAGGTGATACACTTGTGGACCAGTGTTGCATCATGCACGGTGATTTGCTTTCCCCATGGGGTAGTACGCCTAGTATCCTGCAATGCGCCGAATTACGGCATTCTTTCACTCGGATGCCAACCGACTATTCGACTAGTGCAAGTAACACAAGAAAATCGTTGCCGGACGAGGGCTCGTACATATGCTATTCTCCATGCGGAAACTCTCTCCACTTTCTGACTTGGCTTCTGGCTCAGGGTAGAAAGGCATAAAGACCCGCGGCTGTTTACATATGCAGCATCCGTCATCACGACTTTACACTTTAGCCCCTAGAACCCAATACAACGTTCCTTCCAGTATAACATACCATGTCGGCCAACTTTTCCGAGGCCATCACATGTTCGACCCTTCTTGGCTCGTCGACATGACGTCCAAAGAAGAGCCATCAGTTCTATTAATAGCAATTCACAGAAACACAAACGCAGTTATGGTCACTGAAAACACCCAATATTCTGAGCCAAGTCTTTGAAGACTACCCGCACGGTTCTGTTGAGTTCGCTTCGCAACATTTTAATGTCGATCTACCATTATAGGCACCCAAAGCATGTACAAGATCTCAACACCCGGCTTACCCGCCGTCAGGATACAGCCAATCCCGGAAGAAGACTGTTTTCCCCTCACCAATATCATGAATACAGCAAAACTCAGCGCATGTTGGCGATTTGCGCGAAAACATATGAGCTACATCCACCGGCAAAAATGCCCCATGGGGTACTGACACCACGTTATACAGCCCGCCGGGTATATAGTCAATACAAGCGATGAACTACACATTGCTTCTTGAGGCTAAGCTTTGGAGATGATCCGAACCGCTGAAAACCAATGACCTTGTGGCGTTCAAGACGGAATGGAGGTACTTAAGCTGAGGTTACGATCGATCTACACGACCCCAGTATCAATCAAACACCCCTTCCAATACTAGAAGAAGGTTGCAGCGATGTTGTTCAAGCTCCTGGCAGCGACAGCTGCATTGACCAGCAATGCCATTGCACACCCTCTTTCCTGCAACAGCTCTGCCCCCCAACCCTGGGGCTTTTTTACAAACAACACCATCTATCAAACCTCGGGCGACGAGGGAATAACTTACCCACGCTATACTGAGCTCCAAGACGGAACAATCATCGCTACAGCATCCCTCTCCGGTCACAACCCAAACTACTTCCCGGTCTTTGAGTCCAAAGATGGCGGTGCATCCTGGGAGCACGTTTCCGATCTTCACGACACAGTCAACGGTTGGGGATTTAGTGCCCAGCCCGCGCTGACGGAATTGACAGAACCAATGGGTGGCTACCCAGCCGGTACTATCCTGGGGGGCGGAAATAGTTGGAGTAACAACGGGACAAGGATCGATCTCTATGCTAGCAGAGACGGTGCGCGGACGTGGGAGTTCGTAAGCCATGTTGCTGAAGGCGGGAGGCCGAATACTACAAATGGCGCGACGCCAATCTGGGAGCCGTACTTCTTGTAAGTACCCCAATTCATACCTACCCAACACCACTGGTGCTAATACGTAACGCAGACAGTACCAAGGCCAGTTGGTAGCCTACTACTCGGACCAACGCGACCCCCTGCACGGCCAAAAACTCGCCCATCAAACCTCCACCGACCTAAAAACCTGGGGCCCAGTTGTAAATGACGTCGCCTACGAAGAATACCTTGCTCGCCCAGGCATGACGGTAGTAGCCTTTATTCCCCCGCTCAACCAATGGATTCTCGTCCACGAATTGCCCATCGGAAATTCGTCTTCGTACGGCTCGAACTACCCAGTTTACTACGTCATGGCCGATAGCCCGCTAAACTTCCGCAACAGCGTTGGCAGACCCATCGTTATTAACAACAGTACGGTGCCGAATGCAAGTCCGTATGTGGTCTGGAGCCCGCTTGGTGGACCAAACGGTACGATTATAGTAAGTGATGCGGATCGAAGGCAGGTGTATACGAACTCTGCAGGTGGCGCGTTGGATAAGTGGGAGGAACATGCTACGCCGGCCGGTGCGGTGTACAGTCGGGCTATTCAGATCTTCAAGAAGAGGCCGAATCATTTGATGATTTACGGAGGTGAGACCTACGACGATAGGGGTACGGGCATTCACACACCGTTTTCGGCGACGGTCGTGAGGCTGGATGAGGTGCTTAAGGCGCCGGCAACGGAGTAAGAATTAGCATCTGGCTGGCGGTTGATTTCAGGCCGGTGGATTGTGTTATCCTATCGTAGGTTATAAGTAGCATAAGCCTATGTATCGCTATTGTAGCTCAATGGCGGTTCGTCCTCGTCTTGTGTGGGATACTATACTCGACCTCCTGCTCCATTGTGTATCTCGTGTCATTTCGACCTATAATATTTGATAGTCAGGGTGTTTCCAATCTCCATGAGTACATGGACCAGAGGCCTTGGCGGCTTGTTGAAAGTACTGTCTTGTCTGAAATGTATGAGCTGTAGAGTGACGGACACTAGACTTCCATGTTATGTCGGCATAGCTTACACCATAACTATAGATGGGACTGAAATGTTCAGGATAAGAGAGATTGCAGGTAGGGGTAGAGCAATGAAAGTGACAGAAAGAATCCGGGCATCGAAACCTTCCTCTGTCGGTGCAGCAACCTTTAGTATTTCCAGGCGTCTGGAACCGTGGGTCTTGTGGAGAAAGATGCCGTAGATGGCGACCGCATGCTACGATCCATGCGAATTTGCCTGAACCGTGCAGTAAGGAATGAAGGGACGGAGTCAAGACGGATCTGGACAACAGGCTGGATGACACCGTGGAACTATACCATGTAAAGCTCAAATCTGTTGTTCTGGATGGGACGTTGTCCAATTTCGATGATGACGGTGACGAAGTGAGTACTTAGAGTTGACAGCCACGAATCATACTAATGCAAGAGAGAAATACAAGTACATCATTCTAGGAAGGATGAAAGAAGTGTGACAGGTTTTTGTGCTATGCACACCAAGCCATAGCATGGGATTCTTCTTGCTCGAGTCAGGGCATGATCCACTGAAGCTTCTCGACCAGTCACACCGCTTGCGCATATACACGGTAGAGTTCGTGAGGCTCCGTGTGGAGTCGTGATATGGAGTCATTTAGCTAATGGCTTGGCTTGTGTTTTGTAGTAGTGTATTGGATCGGAGCTCTAGAATGTCGGAGGCAGGCGAGTGGTCCGATGTAGGCGCTATGATGTTGTAGGATTCAGCGATGTGGTCCACCTCCGATCCCAAGATCAGTGCGCACTGATATGATGTCTGGCTGGGTAGTCATAAGCCCCAAGCGTAATTCACAATGGAGACGAGGGACGACAGTATCACACAAGATTGAACACCAACAAAAGGCCGCTCGGCACAACAAGACCTGCTAAGCATATTCTCCCGCAAGTGCTTGATGGTGTTGGAAGTCGCCGCCGGTTCTGCCCGAGGCGGCCCCCAACCCGCGTGTGAGCACCCCGGGTCTCCTCCAAGATCCACCCAACAGCAAGGCCTGGAGAGCCTGGAGAACGGGGGAGCACGAGGCTGGAGCGGAACATGTCGGACGGCGTACTTTAGTAAGGTATGCTCCCTCTGCACTATCGTACCGGGTCGTCCGAAAACGGTATGGGCGCCGAATCAAGCGTTTACCCCCGATGGCGATGGGAATTGGCTTTTCACACCATACCAACCCTTGCCTCCGGTTCCGATGGGACGCATGGACTTTCGGGTCTTGGACTCTTGCAATTCGCGCCGTTTCTTGACACATCACGAGGGCTCTCGACGTCATGGCGCGCAGAGTTTGGTATTGGTTGGGCGTTCGAGAAGCTGGTAGCGGGAGACAACAGAACTGGTCGCGAACGTTGAGCCATGCGCCTCTTCCGCGCCTTCCGTAATGCTTGTCTTCATGTCAAACTTGGCGCTCTTGAAACCAGCATCTGCGGTATCTTGTTGTGGTATGGAAAGACTTCCTCGAGACGAATACACGCGCAACCTTCCACACCTGGCCGGAGAGTATCTCGGCAGGAATATTGGGTCCAACCGCAGAGCCGCATGTGGGCCGCTAGAAGCTTCTTTGCAGCCAAGCTCCACCAAGACGGTCGGTCCTTTGCTTGTTTATCTCCACCCGCCTTACTCTTCCTGGGCAGCCCATGATAAGTCTGCAACAACCGGCCATGCACTGGTGCTTACTACCCCGGCATTGCGATCCGCGAGAGACAAATTTTTTGCCGCGTTGGTGCCATGGAGACTCCACGCGTACGTCACGTCACGTTGATGGCGGGATGGGGAGCGCTATGGGGAGGTTCTCCATGGGCATGGGTCGTCTCCACTGGGGTTTATAAAGGGCGGAGACTCGTCCGCTTATGAGGGGTTGTGAGATACCAGCCTTTTGCTGCAGACCTTCTCCCTCTACCTTTCTCTATCCTTTCTGCTGGTCCCTTGCTGATCACTGCCCACCATGGACGAGAAGGACACCAAGGTTGTTGAGATGCACGACACGTCGTCGCCGCAACAGCCAATGCAAAACGAAAAGGTCGATAACATTGCGGTCGCTCCTACACCAGATTACTCCGCACCCAAGGCCAAGACCGAACAGCTCGAAGATGCGAGGGGATGGGAATCTGAGAACCTGATTCAGGATCTCGAGAAGGAGTTGGAGCAGGTCAACTACAAGAAGGGCTTCTTGGATATCGAATTCAAGAATCCCAAGCACTTCACATGGATGATTGTCGCTTTCGCATCTATGGGTGGTCTGCTTTCTGGCTTGGACCAGTCGCTCATCTCTGGTGCTAACCTCACACTTCCCGATGATCTCCACCTTACTGCTCAGCAAAACTCCCTTGTCAACTCTGGTATGCCGCTAGGAGCTATTGCAGGTGCCTTCCTCATTTCGCCATGCAACGAATACTTCGGTCGCCGCTGGGCTATCCTCATCTCCTGTATCCTCTACACTATCGGTGGCGCGCTCGAGGCCGGATCCATGAACTACGGCATGATTGTTGCTGCTCGTGTCATCCTCGGTGCTGGTGTCGGTCTCGAAGGTGGTACTGTCCCCGTCTACGTCGCTGAGACTGTCGAAAGCAGACTCCGTGGTAACCTCGTTTCCCTCTACCAGTTCAACATTGCCCTCGGAGAAGTTCTTGGCTATGCCGTTGCAGCCATGTTCATCACTGTACCGGGCAACTGGCGCTATATCCTTGGTTCATCGCTCGTCTTCTCCACTATCATGGGCATTGGTATCCTCTTCATGCCTGAGTCTCCTAGGTACCTTATGCACAAGGGCAAGACTCTGGAGGCATTCAAGGTCTGGAAGCGCATTCGTGGTACTGCTACCCACGAAGCTCGTGAGGAGTTTTTCGTCATGAAGGTTAGCACTGAGATGGAAGAAGCCGAGGTGGCTGCTGGGCGCACAAACCGCTTCCCATGGATGGACTTCTTCACCAAGCCGCGTGCTCGCCGTGCTATCATCTACGCCAACATCATGATCTTCCTTGGACAATTTACGGGAATCAACGCCATTATGTACTACATGAGTGTACTCATGAACCAAGTCGGTTTCGACAAGGTTACATCCAACTACATGGCTCTTGTTGGAGGTGGTTCTCTCCTCATCGGTACCATCCCAGCCATTTTCCTTATGGAAACCTGTGGTCGTCGTTTCTGGGCCATTGCCATGTTGCCTGGTTTCCTCGTCGGCCTCGTCCTTGTTGGTGTCTCATACCAGATCGAATCTCTGCAAGGTACTCTCGGTACCTACTTCACCGGTCTTATCCTGTACGAACTGTTCTTTGGTTCTTACGCTGCATTGACCTGGGTCATTCCCTCTGAGGTCTACCCAACCTACCTCCGTTCCTACGGAATGACCACCTCCACCGGATGGCTCTTCCTGTCTTCTTTCATCGTCACCTACAACTTCACTGGCATGCAAAACACCTTCACCAAGACGGGTCTTTCGCTGGGTTTCTACGGTGGTATCGCTGTATTGGGCTGGTTCTATCAGATCTTCTTCATGCCTGAAACCAAGGATCTGACACTTGAGGAGATTGACCAGTTGTTCCAGCAGCCTACCCGACAGCTTGTTGCACAGAACGCCAAGAGCTCATGGCAGGTTACCAAGGACTTGTGCAACTTCAGGTTCAAGAAGGTGTTCATTGACAACAACAGGAGGGGTAGACGCGAGGAGTAGGGAAGACGGAGAGAAACTACGAAAGCTTTTTGAGATGCTGCCTGCATTCCGTATCGCACGCAGGTATTCATTACGATGAATTTTCGACTTACGAGCGCATGATGTACGGCGAAACATGGACGGAGGATATGATAATTACTATATACCCACAATGCACATTTTGAGTTTGAGATTGTTCTTGCTGTTCAACATATTCATATGAAACATGATCATCTGGAACAAGCAGATGCACACGACTTCCAAAACTTTCGCAGGACCTGTGTACGTCTATTCGTTTTATATAATTATATATCATGTAGCTATGTTGGATATATAGTGTGATTAGATAAAAGGATCTTTTTCTGTCTTTATCTAGGCACATTCGGGGTCAATGTCCGTATCAGCAACCAGAGAGCGTACCACCCAAACCCAAGTTGTGACAGAGAGTAACTATAACCTGGCTTAGGATGATTCAACAAAAAAAATACAACGTGCTTGTTCCATTTCCATAACTCTCTAACTCTAAAGTTCTAACAATCGAGCAATCCACACATCCGTTCGCCAAACCTATGCGCATGCCGTCACCCACAACAAACAACCTACCAGTCCCTCGCCTAGAAAGATTACCAATCGCTGGCACCGCACCCAAGACTTGTCTCAACCATTTTGTAAAGTTTGTACGTGATGGTAGGTTCCCTTTATCAGTCAGACATTCCTAAGACAGTCACAGCGTCTTCACCAGAGCTTGAGACGAAACATAACTCCACACACTCTTGTCGCTTTTTTTTTATCGATAACCACGACACAGTATTTACGCTGTCTCATATTGCCTCTCTCTTTTCATGTAAGAAAAAAGCAAAGATCCGTCGTCGTTCCTTGGTACTTATCATCGCAGTCCGCTTCGGTAACCGAAGCCCAGTCGCTACAAAACCAACACCAGATTTTACTTCACCCATTTATTCTCACTTCCATCACGCAATCAATCCGTACCCTTCGTTGCTCAGACTCACAATCAGATACATCTATTTTACCACCTACCCAAGCCGTCCAAACATGCACCATTCCATCGCTAACACCACAACAATGACACCAGGAACATTCGTTCCGATGGACGGGCCCTCAGTGGTTCAAGACAGCGTCTCTTCTATCAACAGTATTCCAGGCCGCTCCATCCTCCTTGGCGTGATACTTGTGGTGAATAGTGTATGGCTTTTGGGGAAAGTGATTATGATAGTGGGCTGGGGCAATGACAATGGAAGTGATGCTATTACCAGTACGTTTCCACACGCATGTTTAAGCGATCTTGGTATATGTCATAGTTCAACACTGAAGAGAAGAAGCTAACATCGCTTTTGTTTGTATCAGGTAAGATTCCCCAGAATTATCCACCTACGATCAAAGACAGAACAAGTGCTACGACTACTTCTATGGAGAGAAACAACACCTTTGATACATGTGGAGTCCCTGATCTGGTCGAAGTCGATGACCGTTAAGTCATCGGTGTTGCGTAGCTAGACGATTAAATTATAGCACGAATAAGGTTACCTGGCGATGAAGCGTGGGTGGGAGTTGTGGTGGCCACACTAACAAGAAGTACACAGGTACAGATATATCTGGACGGGCGTATGGAAAGAGACTTGCGCAGACCGAGAGAGATTGCTGTCAGAGAGAAGGAGGTAGACCTAATACATTGGGCATCCTCAGGATAGTGGGCTAGTTTGGAGGTGCTTACGACGAGAATATAGAATGATAGGAATAGCTATAGGTACTTAGACGTAGACGTCTGATAGACTGCAGTGCATCGCCTCTATTGTGTTATGTGGAGTACCAAAGTTTTGTTGAATACCTTGACCTGCTATCAAGTAACAGCGCATTAGGTATAGATATCTCTAGTCACTCAACTAGTCACCCGCTATGAATGCCACAACCTCATGTCATACAAAAAAGCCTAAACCTGCACCTTCTTGAACGTTAACGTCTTCCCTGGATGCGGTATACTCTGTCTTCCCATCTCAATGTTGGGGTACCTCTCTGTTTCACCATTCGGCATCCCAATGTCGTACTCTAAAATCAACCTTGCTAAAATCATCTTGATCTCATTGGCAGCGAAAAAGCGGCCAGGGCATGCATGGCGTCCGTAACCGAAACCTAAATTGGTCTCGTTGGTAGTGACGAATTGGTTGCGCGCAATATCCGCTGCCTTGCCGCTGGAACGTAGCTTGTAAGAGCGGAAGCCGTCGAATTCAGAAGAGGACGGGTAGTGTTCGCTGTCGAGGTAGATGGCCGCGGCGGGGACTTCGATGAGAACACCAGCAGGGATGTATTGGCCGTTACTGAGGGTTATGCCTTTGAGAACGCGGCGGCCGAAGGATGCTAGATAGCGGGTTAGTTGCCATATTTCATTTCATGAGTGCGTATGGGAGAGGATCGGCAGGTCTTCACTTACTGACGCCAGGAGGGTAAAAGCGCGTAACCTCTTTCATGTAGCTATCAAGCTTCTCCATTTGTTGCAGAGCACGGGAAGTGATGATTCCACCGTTGTCAGCCATGGCATTGCGGATCTCTTCGCGCATGGGTTCGATGTACTCTGGTGTGACGGCAAGTGTGTACAGAATGTTCGTGACGGTCATAGTCGTGGTATGGATGGCAGCGAAGATGAGTCCGAGTTGGAAATGAGCGATTTGGTCGACTGAGTCTTTACCATCAGAACGTGTGATCATCCACTGCAGCATATCGTCCGGGGCCTGCCAGTTGGGGTCTTTCGACTTGGCAGTCATCCTTTCTTCCACGATTGGATGCAGGAAGTCGGATAGTTGCTTCTCACGTTTGCGGAGCTGTTGAACTTCTGGGGTACGAGGAGCAAAGAAAGCCTTCGTGATTGGACGGAGTTTCTTGCAGGCGTTGACTGCAGCCATAAGATCGAGGGTATAGTTGACCGCAAGGTCGAGATACTCCGGGTGCTGGCATAGTTCTGGTCCAACAAAGACACGGCCAGAGACCTTTGCGACGACATCGACGAGTTTCTGGTTGATGTAGACTTCAGTGTAGTCGTCACAAGGGGGCATGCACTCTCGAATTGCGGCGTCGACCTCCGAGCAGATGACTGGGTTCAACCGAGCTGACATCATATTAGCTTCCCTAGCTCGCAAGCATCATAACTGTCAGAACTTACTTAGCGCGGGTGTGAGGTCAGACCTGACCGAATGGACGGCTGTGGATCCCTCGACCGCTAGTCTGGTGTATTTGACTTCCATGCTCTGTAAGCAATTAGCGTTGTTGAATGAGACATCGATAGCTATTATCCACTTGCATTCTTGACAGCTTCAGGGAAGCTGAGGACATCATCAGGAAGTTTCCGTAGTTCTGGAAGTAGGCTCAAAGGTACGACAACGTTGTCTTCGCCTATGGGGGAGTGAGTGATGGTCGATAGTTGCACTTCAGAAAGGTTGACATACCACTCTCTCCATTGATTCTGTAGATTGAGTCTTTGAACTGAAAGTGGCATAAGCAGATGTATCCCCATGTAGCTATAGGTAAATTACCTTGGTGTATCCATCTTCATACATCTTCTTCGCGGACGCGAGGTATGCTTGTCGCTGCTTCTCTCCGCCCTGGAGGCCGCCGAGGGTTGGGATACTCCCCAACTGGGCTTTGCGCTTGAGTTTGGGAACATATGCGCATATTGCGAAGATGAGTGCAGCTATCGCTGCAGTCTGCAGCGTGTGCGTCAACTGTGTGAGATTCAGGAGGTCCATGGTCGTAGGCTCTGATGTGGAAGGCGTAACAGAGGAATTGACGTTTTCAAGCTTGCTAGCCATCTTTGCGGCTGAGCGGTCAAGTAGACACTAGATCCAATTCTGACAGCTGACCTTGCTGATGCTTGGGTGTCTGGGACGGGTAGGTAGAGAGTGTCTGGCCCGCAGGACGGTGCAATGTGATTGTCCTCCTTTATCACTAACAGTCCCCAGTCTACCAGCATTAGGATCCGTGGTGCGATCTGCATCATACGGTTCATACGGTATATACGGTCACTGTCCAAGCCGACTACTTGAAGGTGCCGGCGACGGGGCTGCTAGCCAAAGAGCCGTCATTTGACTGCTAGTGCGTCTCAGGCAAGGTCCTTGCCGATCACTAAGCCAAGGGTCTCCCTTTGCGTTTCGGAGTGGCCTCTTGAGTGCAGCTCTTGAGATAAACTTGCCGCAAGTCATCCAATTATCGTTCTTGCAATACGACCGAAGCGCATACAAAACAGCCTCTAATGACGCGTATGTGGTCGCCTTAGGGGAGCTTTGTTTGTTAGGAAGCTCCGGCGGAAGCATGTCGGCAATCCTCCTCTAGCGACATGTCATCACGCGTCCGTGCCGGCGGCAAAAGTAGGCAACGTTGCGATGTGTCGTTGCAGTGCGCGCACGAAGAAGTGTTTGTGCAACAATCGCGTCGTCGCGAGGATAAACGAAAGGAGCTGAGACCCTGCTGCGATTGACGCCTCTGCCGCTCTCCGTCCATCTCGGTTAGATTCCTTTGCGGGGTTTGCTGTAACATCTCGCATGGGAAAACCTCCGAACGCACGACTTGTCATGTACTCCACAGGCAATTTTCCTTTTTGCGATCCACCCTCCAGGCCATTGGGAGTCGAGGCCTGACTGCTTGTGCTGTTAGCTATTGTTATCCTAGTCGAAGCTTGCAGCATTAAATCCACAAATAAGACACCATGCCTGTCGAGCTGGCGTTGCGATACTTAATGACCAAGATCACATAGCACAGCGTTGTTTCTCCAGTCAAAGCAAACTGCACGTATGCTATAAATTATAGAGTACCCGTGCAAGTATTAACATTCGACACGAAACGATCATGCTCACCACTAATCGTTCGCTCAATAAGCACATAGGCCGTTTCAGGGACATCTCCACGCGTCGAGCCAGACACATGGTCACACTCATCATGTAGTACTATAACGATATGTGCACCGCCATGGTGATGACGGCGTTGTGCCACGCAGCGACTCTTGGTCAATGCAGCCCTGTACAGTCTTCGCTTCACCGTATTCCGCGTATTCAGTAACCGAGATGAAATGCCATCACCCATAGCAGCATCAATACGACATCAAGACCATGCGATGCAACCACGACCTTGGTCCAGCAGCCTCTATCGACGTACTTTGTGAGATGTGTTGTTTTCTAAACGTTACCACCACCCATGTCATTGCACACTTCCAAGGTTTCAGCACGGTCCGTACATCCCCCGCAGACTCCAAGCTCTTTTATCACTCCCCCGCTTCGCCAATCGTCCCAAGTATCATCGTCGGTCCGAAACGCAAATTACGAGTTACTCGTTCGAGGCAAGCGGTGTCAATCTGCTGTTGACACAATGCCAGATAACAGTTTCATTGCATGTATCGTATGCTGTGGAACTTTGCAAGCCTGTACCGTTCAGCACTTGGAGCAAAGTGCGCAATATGAGCATGGGTTGGCTTTATCTCCATCAGACCTGAGCAAGTGACAGCCTTCCAAGGCAGCACCACACGAAAGGTCTGTATCTCGATACATGGTCTCTCGCTCGGCGCCGCAGTTCTCTCGCTTTAGTGTATATAGTGAATATATGGCTGCTTTTAACGCATCAACATAGATCGCATGTTTCCTGTCTTCGAGAGAACGAATGACAAACTATATCCTCTACTCACATTGTACCGAATTTTTTCCTGCCTCGTGGTAAGGCCGTGTCAATCAGAGCATAATACTCTGCCTTTTGGGTAGCTTCAGCGCACACGGTCAACCAGCACAATCTTCATCAAACTGTACTAACCCACACTACATGTATCCTCCCTCACAGTGCCTCAGCAACAATCATCGGCCCAGCAACGTCATCCCTCTTCTCCTTCCCACAGAGCTCCTCCACAATGGTAAGCGCGAAAAGTATTGCAGTCCCTGGTCCCCGACTCGTAATGATATCTTGATCAACCACGACTCTATCCTCAGAATACTGCCATCCAGCCTGCACCACCTTTCCGTCATTCTCAAGCGCGAATACGGGAGGACGACTGGAGAACGAATGAGGGCAAGGGATTGTAGGAACTTACTGTGCGTAACTCTTGTTCTTGAGGGATACACCAGCTGATTTTACTTCGAAACCGGCGCGGGTCAGGACTGCCATGAGCATCAGTATCAACTACCACGTGTTCGCTTCTTTTTGAAGATCATTGAAGATAACTCTACCATGCTCGCGCACGGCTGTGAGAGGCGCCAGAGACAGTGCAACAGCGAGGCAGCAGTGCAGTTTTGTCAAGCTAGAACTTGGAACTGGTAGGTCTTGAAGAGGACCTTATCAAATTATGCTCGCCTGATTGGAGAGATCTGTGCAGCCTCATGCTATAGGTTGGCGGACAACGTACCGTCGTAAGGCGTGACGAATTCAATCTCCTCAGATCCATCTGCAACCAGTATCAGAGCTCTCGGCATATCGTTCGTAGTTGCAAATACTAGAAGATTTACACGCTATTCGAAGTGCAATGGTAACAATCAGTTATGTGAAAGTATGTTGATGAGGGACAACGTCGAACATGTCTCCGCATTTTAGCCAAGTGTGACGTATGCTGAGGGGCTCGGAAACAGCATGTCGGGCATCCCTTCATAAATGTTTCCTGCGTGTTCCACTTATAAAGAAATGATAATGGACATCTCATTGCCTAATGTCCAAACCACTCACGTTTTATGTCACAAGACCAAAAGGCACCACATATACGCAGAAGAGTCATAAAAGATAGCATTGGCTCATCCCATCCTGTTCCCTCCAAGATTACGCCAGAACAATTCGGTCATCAAGGATATCACTAAAAAAGCACACCCATAGTCTCCGTATATACACGCCTCTTGCCTATGTGCTTTCCTTTGTGTATAATCGAAACGTTTGTGAGCGCCCACCTAGATTCGTTCCCGTACAGTAAAACTCGAGCGCCAAAAGCAGAGTCGAACTCAGCATCATGAAAGATGCGTAACCGCCTTATTCTATGCCTCTTCGCGGGTGTAACGGACAGACTAAAGAACCCCAGGATATCTCTCTTCTCTCATCTCTCGTCTCTTCTCATAAGCTCATGCAATAAGAGAAGCAGGGGACCGCTCCAAAGGGCGCCACTAGTACGAGTACCAAAGTATCTCCATTGACCAGGTATTAGAGAGCGGGTTGATGATGCTGAGTAGCTTTCGTCGATGGAGCGCCTGTCTCCTCCATCTCAATCTGCTGGCCGGTGTCGGCTGAAAAAAGCAAACAGGGTATGTCACAAAAAGAAAAAAGAACAGAACAGAGAAGGAAGCCAGACCGCGTCTATCGTTGCAAAGGGTAAATCTCGCATCGCGGAAAGGGTTTGAGGTATCAAAGGCGGGGTGTACAAAAAGGACAGCAGATTGGCCTAGCATGACCATGCTCGAGATAGAGATAGAGAACTCCAAACACCAGTTACATCATGAAAGCAAAACAGACGTAGTGGTCGTTAATAAGCCACAAAGGGCCCCAAATCGGTTGTTCGGAATTGGTGGTGGATGGTAGCGGTGAAGAATGTGTGCAGGTATGCCGAGATCACAAGCTCATGGTTAACCATTCCTGTAAAACATTTGTTAGCATGTTACTATTTTGCTTCAGCACGGAATTACTTACCCATTCAGCAGGGCCAGATGATTGCAGGCCTTGGCCCATAGCACCCATAGGAAGGGCACCTAGATTCTGACCTGGGAAAGGACTGGGACTCGCAATCGCAGTATCCTTCCTGCGCAACGTAGGCGCTCTTCCATTCGTGTCGTCCGCATCTGCCATCTCCAGCTCCTGTGACTCGGTTTTACTTGAACCGCGAACACGTTTCGGCGCAACAGGGACACCGCGAGTCTGAGACAAGTTCACAGAACTATTGGACTTGGGTGGACCGGGAGCTATTGGAACTACACCGCTCGGTTTCGTAGATGTCGGGGTGGTAGCATTGGACATGGTACCAGAAGCTCCGCCAGAGCCGGTGGATTTTGGAGACTCCGACTCCGCCGCTTTGTGGGACGTAGGCGTCGTCACCGGGGTATGCGCAATGGAGTTCTTTCGGGACGATTTCTTGGAAGATCGCGTGGATGTCGTGCCTACAGGTGCATTGCCGCTACCCCGATTGCGCTTTTTGATGACATCGGTTTTGAGCGACAAAGGCCGAACAACGCCGTGCAACTTCAAGAATAGACCGCATGCATTGCAAAGTGGGTGTCCCTCAGGGTTGCGCCGCCACAAAGGCGTCGTCTGGGTAAAGCAGTTAGTGCAGGTTGTGGGGGCACCGCCTTCGCCTTGCTTTGAGCCACCTGGACTTTGAGGTCGTGATGGGGCTGCAGAATTAAAGCCTGACTCTGGCGGCGAATTGGGCGACGAAACGAGGCCGTGCATGCCCTGGTGCAGCATTCCAGCAGCGTTAGGAGTTGAGCTAGTGCGGGGTATTTTCTGGCGTCGTGGATCGCTTCCTCGATTGCGTATGTCGCTTACAGAGGCAGCCGAGCCATGCGTCCGCCCAAGACTGCCACCAGGGCTCCAGTGATCTTGCGGTGAGTGCACCATTTCGGTGCCGCCAATTGTGACAGTCTTGCGTGGGGGCCCGGCCGGATACCGCGCCTGCATGGGGTTGAACTGATTCGAAAGATTGGTTTCCCATTGGTAGCCGTTGTTGAAATCAAGTGACCCGTCCTCCATGTGCGAGTAATCTTGTGATGGCATGGTGCGGTCTGCAAACGCGCTGCCTTCGTCATCTTCGGCGTCTGAGTCTGCGCCAAAGGTGAACATGTTCTCCTGACGTCCCATCTGCATCTCATGCTGCTGGCGCAACGGCAGGTGGTTGTGGAGCACTTGGGACGGATCTACGTGACTCGACTGGCCGAACGACGAGGCTGAGAATGGCAGTGAGGAGCTCGCGCTCGTCACAGGGCTGAAGACGGAGTCATTGCCACCGGGGTTGAAGATGAACTGGGGCTGCATGGAAGTCGACAGGTTGGAAGGTCGGTGAGGGCCGTATGAGGCGCTGCCGTGTGTGTTGCGAATGTCCATGCCACTCCTGTCAAAGTACATCTGGTTGTCTTCGGGTATGGGTTGCGGAGTGGAGACGGTGGAGGGAAAAGCGGAGCTGGGTGGAGAGTAGTAGTCGGTGGAGTTGAGGGAGGAAGCCATGGAGTGTTGGTTGAACATGTTGGAGTTGAAGGCGTTGTGGCTCATGAGTGGCGAGCCAACAGGAGAGAAGCCGGAGAAGCTCTGCTGGTAGGGCCCTGCTGAATGTATGACGGGGTCCTGGTCGTGCATAGAGAAGGTGTCTATGGAGAAGGGGACCTGTGCCTGTGAGGCTGGGAAGGTGGGGGGCTGCATGGAGTGGCTGTCGAGCGAGTACTGGTGCAGGTCTTGCTCGGCCTGGGCATCGGTGGGTATCATGATGCTGTTGACGGGAGGGACCAGAGGAGAGGCTTCAGCGCGCCGCTTGGGAGGCTGATAAGACGTTAGTTGTGCTCTGTTGGGATGTGATAGGCAGAGAGATAAGGAACTCACTCGTCGCTCGTCGATGCTGGTCTTGCGGACGTGTCGCGGAACGTAGCCAAATTCATCCTCTCTGTGGATAGCAGGAGGCACTGAAGGGGCGGAGGCGCGGGCGAGGGAGAGATTATGGTCGTTGGCTAGATGCGGCTTTCTTATCGGTATCGCTGGGGCAGATGGATTAAATGGAGCCGCATCCTCATTCGACAATTCGGGCGACAGGCCTGCAGGACTGCCGACGGACGAGGGAAATATAAAATCGTCCAGGTTCATGGCGTCGTGGGGTGAGTTGGCCTGTACCTGTACCTGTACCTGCGCCTGCTGGTCTTGCGACTTCCTCAACTGCTGGGCGATGCCGCTGGGTGCGGATCTTGGCGGCGGTCTTGCGCTCGAACTTGTTGGCGGCGGCGGCATCATTTCATTGTTTTGCGCATCCGGAGCGGGCCTATTCAGCAGAAATCACAGTTAGCTGAGTTGGTCGTTGACAAGACTCGCAGTGGTAGCGACGCAAAAGCAAATGGCGAAATGCGTACCCTTTATTGCGATCCATCTCGGCGCGCCGCATGTTCATGGCCATCATTCGCCATGTCAAGTTCTCCATGCGCTCTGCATTGGGCAGCTGCGTCTTTGCTCGCGAATACAGTTTCCAGATTTGCGTGCCCAGCGGATCGTTCTTCTGCAGTTCTTCTGGCGATTCAACGCTGGGCGTGCCCGCATCGTTGCCAAATGCTGGGAATATGGCATCCTGGAGCATGCCCCTCTTGGACGTGTCTTCGGCCGACTGTACCTCCATGGCGCCCGCTGCTGTTGCAAAGTCCATGGGTTTGCAGTCGGGGTGGTGCCCTCTTTGGTGGGCGGCAGTAATTGTGAGTGTGCCTCTCAAAGGAAGGCGATGATGTAGCTGGGTCGGCGCGTGCTCTGAATCGGATGGGCGCACCCCACGTTAGCTGCGGACCTCAGCTGCAACCACAGCCGAAGTAGGCCCTGAGCGCTGGACAGGCAGACTGCGCGGCCGACGAGTGCAGTGCTAGTAATATTTGGTAGTCGCTGTGGTAGGCTTCCAGAAGCCCGTGTAATGTTTGCGTGTGGTTGTTGTGCGAGTGCCAACACAACGGCCTGGTCACTGAATAGATATTGGAATGCCTCTGATGTCGCCCACGGGGAACAAGCCTCGAATTGTCGCGCTCCCGGGACCAGTGAGCGGCGCAATAATTGAATTGCAGCGATGCGGGCTCCAGCATACGACGGGCAGCCGGTGGCACTTGGTGGGTCGTGAGTCGTGACGCTGGGCCTTGGTGAGAAGAATGAGATGCAGTGTGTGGAGCGTTCGGCACCCACGCTGCCCCCACCACTCACTCTCGGACACCAATCACACGTGCAGCCAGAGGCCCATCCCTGGGCTATGCCTGGACGTGCAGCCTAGGGTCCTGTTTGGGGCGTTCCCTACCCTCCAAGTGCTCTCGCCCCCTCTCCACAGTGTCGTCAAATGCGCGACTCATAAAAGCAATACTCGCAAGCACACGACATGCCTACCTGACGCATTTGCTGCGACACGGGCCCGCTTAGGATACTACATGGAATGCGATTGACGGACGGCGGTTTGGCATCCTGGGCCGCACGGGAGAATGCTTGCCTTGCCGCTTAGCATGCACGCCCTTGTTCCTATCGAGACCGCCTGAACCGTGCTACCAGAATACTTGGGAACCCCGGACAGAGTCTCGGAGGCCAAAGTATGAGCGGGAAATTTATCGGACTGCTCTCATCCGGATGGGCACGAGTACACCACTCACAAGACACATGCCTGAGCTTGGAACACACACGACTACTCCTAGGCCCTCGGTGTTTTGATTCGAGAAGGACTAGAAGAACTACCTTACCAGCTGCACAGCGCTGATCCCAGGACGTCACTGTCCCTCGCCAATGTTCCCTCTTGACATGTTCTACTGCGCGACTACGACCCACCAACACCAGCCGGCAAAAGCTTACGCGAATAAATAGCCCGTCTCCATTGGCTCCTGTGCATTGCCTACCCGCTCCTTCTGACCGTCTACAGCGTCTAGCAACAAGCCGATTCTGTACGCCTACGCTACCTTGAGGCCAAGGAAGCACGCTACCTCGAGTGATTGATCCACGCTACCTGTAGACGATCGAGGCAGTGGCTGCGGCTGTAATTTACAACACAGGGAAAGTGTGCCTCGCCGCCCGTCAACGAGAAGCTTGTCAGCCGACTGCATGTAGCTTATACAGGAGCAGTAGTACCGTGTCTTGTGACCACCGCCGAAGAAAAAAAAGGGCTTTCACCGCGTCTACACTTCCTACAACATCTCCATCGTTTACCCGACTGTGGAGTATGTCATCCGAATGGTGCCGAGCTCTATCGCGCTCGGCACTTCCTTTCCTAGATTTCCCGATAGCCTCACAATTTCAGGGTCTTTGTTTACCAGGTCCACAGCTATCGATGGGCTTGTGCGACAACGGATCCACCGCCCATAGCGCCAAAGCACGTGGTGGAGAGCGAACTGCGCTTCTAGTGGCATCCGACAACGCCTGCCGGTACCAAAAGATAAATCCCAAGTTATGGCGCGCTCAACAACAGCAACAATGCGGCTGACGCCGTTGGTAGCGGGCGCTCCTTCCGACAGCGCATCCTTTAATGCTACCACAGTCCACTTGTTCACAACTTCACTCAAGTTAATGCCTGGGGGGCCTGAACAATAGCATCGTTCTGCGGTTCCGCAGTTGTATCCGTACGCCTGGTAGATACCAGGACACTGCAAGATCCAACGGTGACGCGGACGGTGGAGACGACCAAACTGTAAAGTCGAGAACAACATGCAGCTTGTAGGCCGCTGTCTTCGGCCTTACCTCTTCTTCTAGAACATATGCACATTGTGCTGCTCAAGATCTCGAACCATCTCTAGGGCCACACCGAGAGCAGGGAAGACTCGACGGGTTCATCTTCTAGACGGAGTCTTGAATACACGCTATTCGACTGACAACTGACTACGTTGCACGCTTCACTAGCAACGACAGGTCTCAACGATCTCGAGACGACTTATGCGGTACGTGTGGATCGGACGCGCCGTTGCTGTCTCCATCTCTCTCGCTCTCGGTCCCTTCAATTTCCCAAACGAACGTCAGGTTTAGCCGCGAACTGTCGTCCCTAATATCACCTTGCATGGTACTGGTAATTGGTGGACTCACTTCATGCAGCATATTGCTTTTCAGGTCGAACTGCTTGTACCCACCGGGCTACCCACCAAAGTAAAGGGTCCAGGGAGATGTTGATCTACCCACTCGCGACCGTGGCATCATGGCATTACTTCGGGCTGAGATTCATCTAGTACCAGCCGCAAACACCAATGTTTGGTGTTGCGCGTCCGCTAACCTGGAAACGATCGGCTAGATCCCTGTTGACCAAATCGGTGGAGTTTCACATGTCAAAAGCCGAAGGGCAAGAAGGTACGAACATACGTTTACAATTAATCCAGTGATTATGCATCTGCTGCAAAGGATCAAGATGCCACTAGGTATTTACTCATCAATGACAGAACCACCATGCATAGACAAGGTTCACCAGATATTGAGCAGCAGCACGACCCCACGCTCGTTGCCCCAGAGAGTTAAGCGGCCTAAGCTGTGATTCCCTGTCTCATGCAAGCCCCAAAAGCCACTTGCATCTGACTTGCATGCAGCGCAATACAGCAAGGATGTGGAGCCTAGACGCTTTGCTAAACCCGACTCAATCCGCTCTAACCTCGCTTGTCGCCGCATTGCCGACTTGGGCCACGCTACAGACGCAGATGTCGTTCAACACACTTGCAATTTTACCATGCTATTCTGCTTTCTGCGGTCTTTGGCTTTATCCTGATTTTTCAGCTCGCGACGAAGCGACGATGGTCCGATGTCGCTATGCGTTCCGCCCGTCTCTAGTGTTTCGTCTGTCTCCATGGAACCGCGGAAATGTCCGTTGCGAAAGCACGCAATATCCGATTGCATGCAGTAGGTATCCTCAAATACCAAATCCACAACAAACGCGGAACTACCCAACCGCCCGACCCGCTAGCAATGCAACAACACAGCCCCCCCTCCCCCCGTCGTCAAAAGCGACCAGGACGGATGCACATCTTTTTTGGTCGAGTTGAAACATTGGCTGCTGGTAGGGCAAGGTTGTGGTAGCATGTCCCTACTTGATACGAAAACGCGGGATGCCCGTGGGGGTCCGTGTACGTGATTCATTTAGACGTGATATATTCGATAAAATTCGGGGGAAATTTCCTGGACGGTGGACCTCGAGACCGCTCTTGGGAAAGAGCGACTGCGACGATCCACAGTTGGGCACACAACGGTTGGCCATCGAGGAAACGGGGCGATCTGGGTAAGACGTGGGAGATAACGGACGGGAAAGGGTCCTGCTCGTGTGCTTGCTTCCGTGATTTACTTGTCGCTGACGCGGAGGGCTCGCGTGCGCAGGTTCCGTTTCTGTGTATAGTACGTACCGGCTGGCGCTGGTTCCATGTTAGGTCAGCCTTGGTCAGCACAGCACAGCGACTGCAATGTCACTCCAAGGTATTGTAGCGATCAGGGCCTTTTCGGAGCCGATGTCAAATGGATGGAATGACGTCTGACGGCGGTACTCGCCGGTCTTAGGCCGTTGTGAAGTGCTCGGCGTACATGGATAGCGAAGTGTTGCGTGGCTCGGCGAACGGCGTGAATGTGTGAATAGCCTCATGCTTGAGGTCGGAGACCGTAACGAGGTCGAATGACTGAACAATCGAGGGCAATCCCAGGCTCCCGCTAATCCCTCATCAGCCTCCCATCGTCATCACAGCCATCCACCATCTATCCATCCATCCCAGGTAGGCAAGGTCTTATTCGAGGCATCCAGCCTTGGCGTTCCAAGTGTGAGAGGGAAGATGAGCGGAGCGGGATGGAGTCGACCGAGAATCCAGGCACAGAGAACCAACGTAAACTGTTTCCAACCTCACAACAAAGGAGGACCACGACCCCTACTTAAGCACACGCTCAGACAAAACGCATAGATAGGAGCAGCGGTACGCCGCGGTGAGACCATCCCTCGTTATCATTGCGCGATTGATAGCGCCACTCTTAGTGGTCATCACGCACACACCCCCCTTTGAGCCTCACAAACTTTACATAGGTCGAAACACACCGAGTAAGCCAACCAAGCCAATGGCATACGGGGAAGCGTAGCAACGTGATCTCTTTGGGTAGGCAAGTGTATGGCTGGCCTTCCTATCGTGGACGAAGGAGAGATAGTACTATCTCTCGGTAAGGACGCTTATCTGATGCAGGCACCGCACAGGAACAAGCATATACCTTTTTGCGGAGGGCAGATCATTCGCTCAGGCTGCGGATAACGGATAGACGGGGAGGCGCGGCGAATGGGAGCGCTTTCTGGAATGTCGCTTCAATCGTATGGTCCCCTTGGTCTGGGGATGTTGGGGTCGTGATGGGGACACCGGAGATATCTGTGCGTTTTTTTTTTTGATATGAGATGCCTCGCCGTCGGCCAACTGAGCCGTCTGGGTGATTAGAGTGGTTGCTTTGAACGATTGTCAGGCACGTTGATCCGCAAGGGCCCCCGCATTATGATGGAGAAGTGACGGGAGGCTGGCAAGTCTTATATCGAATTGCCGTATCTGAGTACATTGCTGGATATCTACACCGGCGCACAACCGTGCACCACGACGCGTCGCGTGTTTATGGCCAATGTACATGTCTTGTAGTGAGGCCTATCTCTGAGTATCATGGGTGCATCAGACGCGAGATTTGTTCCCATTACCTGTCCCATTCGATTGCTTGCCGACAAGGATGCTGTATCTTCCTCGCGGACATGTTCCCTTCCTATCTCTTCCGCCATTATCGTTTCGTGCAGATAGTTTCGATGCATCTCCGCGGCGCGTTGTTTGCAGGGTCGTATCGTGGTATCGCTCTCGAGGTGTTGGTGGGATATACTGCATAATCGCTCTGCAGCCTCACTTATCTCCCTCTCTCCCTTCCTTATCACTGCCTCCACCCTTGACCGTCTCTTCACCCAAGACTTTGCTCGCTGCCATGAACCTAGGGAGTTGTGTCAGTACTGAGGTTCCTGTCTACCATTTCAATCCATCTCTCGTTGATAGACACGGTGTCGCAACTCACATGGCACCAGCATAGCCACCTAACCCACGCATGTCCTGCGCCTGGCCAGCCGTCATACGCATCAGGCTCTCCAGATCCGACATATTCGCCGTCAACTGCGCGAGTTGCGCTTGTAGGTGTGAGAGCTGGCGTGGTTTCTGCGACGGAACAGTGCTGAGGCGCGAACCGCCCGCCGGGGTGTGGGAGCGCGGTATACCCGACATAGGGGTGATGCGATCGTTCCCTTGACGAGGGCCTTGGTTCGAGCTTGGAAGACGTCACCCGTTCCAGAGGGTGCTGTTTATTTGTGTCGTGTTGTTGTGCTCGAGTGCATGTGGGGGAAGCGCGCCGGACTGACTTTCTTGGTGGGACTCCCGCGGCGAAACGGCCTTGGCGGGTTGCGTTCGGAATCTCCACCAAAACTCGCCAACTTTTCCTGGGCCACCATCACCGTCATCGCAGCATGACGGCATCCCGCCATTGACACTTCGCCGTACCGAAACTACCCTTTTCTGGACTCTTGCGAGATATGGCGACCCTTCAGACTGTCCGTCGATGGATCATGACGGGTGCTGTCGCCGCTATTACAATCACTGGGACTATCTATGGTGCGGGATTGAAAGGACAGCAAGAAGTCAAGCAGGTATGTTTAGCAATCACTATCCTATCTTCACATACTGAAATTCATGCCTGTAGCAAAAACGACAAATCCTCCAAGCCACACCGGAAGAACGAATCGCACAGCTCGAAGTCGCGCGCGCCGAATTAGTGGTCAAGAAGAACGAGATGGAAAGGAAGATGGGTCAGATTGCTGCGCGGAGGAGGGCGAAAGAGGAGGCGCTGAAGAACGAGAAATGACATGGCAGACAAGAAAGGAGAGAATTGAGAGATAAGAGATGGAAATATAAGGGTATGCTAGCAAGAGCGTTGATCGCCCAACCGCACCAAAACAATGACTGGAGAATCAGGAGGTACCGCAAAGAGGATCACACCATCGAACACTGGCATACTACGCAGTATGTCTCTCGGCAAATCATGTCACCTCGCCCTCTGCTGCATGACTCAACATCAACCTAAAATCCTCTGCGCAACTCGAACCGAAGAGCCGATGTCCTAACACCCATCTCGATCACCGCATACGACTCTGCACAAGAGCGCCACCTATTCCCAATCTCGCTGTAACCGCTTTATAAAAAAGAAGTCGTCGCTCTGCTCCGAGTAAGGTATATTAAACAAAGGCTATGCCATCTCTTCCGTGGGAGTCATGGTCAATGTCGATCTGTGTGGAACCCTCCACTTCCTCCACAACGCTTCCGGGCCCCGGTTCCATCCCGTCTCCCGTCTTCGATTGAATGACCCTGTAGTTGCAGAAAAAGTTGCCTTGCGGTACTGTACACACCCGTCAAGGGTCTGGTCTAAGGTCGCGCGAGGAGGTTGTGATCGTAGGGCGTTTCTCGCTGGTCGCTTGTCACCGAGATGGTGAGCAATACATCCAAGACAACGTCGATCTGGAGAAAGGTGTACGTGGCTTTTTACTTGATCTGTACGGTGACGATGGACCTCTTGCACGGGAATAGTCGCTACTGGGGAGTCTGAACGTCACTCATGTCCGTCACTGGTGCATGAACGTTTCTCTGCAATGCGATCATCCCCATCATCATCATCGATCGACCTCCATGATGCGTTGTATTCTAATGCTATCGATCACATCGATGTCCCCGCGAGAAACCACGATTGGCCTCGTTCTCGAATGAACATCAACTTGTTGCATGGTACGAAACGGTTACATGCATGGTACTCTACTACATACAAATCTTGTAATAGATCTTTTCGTCCATAATACTGGTCAGTCACTATTGGGATGTACAGCAGTTATTACAGGTGTTGAGAAACCAAGCATCACAAGTCAGACAAAGAAAACGTGCGGTATACAGTCATTTGTTTTTCAAATCATAGGATTTTCCTCAACCATTCTACACACTGTATAGGAATCCACTCCCTCCACACACGCACACACACACACACACACACACACACACACACACACACCTTGATTTCTTTCTAGGACGTATCAATCAAGTACGTGACCTAAACACATCTCGAGGTTGAGGAGCCGTATCTTCTCCTCGACCGCATACTAAACCGCATGTCACCAAGTTATGCCCTCGTAGGCCGAGCCCCTTAGAATAGGGGTTTGGAGTCCTTTAGAATTCTTCTAGCTAGACTTCTTCTCATGGTTATTGGGAAGTTCGATGTTACAGATACGATGAAAATCCAACTACTCCTGCCACTTCGTCATGCACCTTGTCGACACCAAATCGCCCCTATGGTACTGCTTTAGAATGGGCGCCTAGCCTTGTAAAGAGGGGAGGAGGGAGGTGACGAATGGCCGGTGATTAAGAACACGGCGGGAGTTGATTTTTTCACGCTTTCAGCAGACAACAACTTGCTCCAGCAACTCGGAGTAAAAGACGAGAGAAAACATTAGAAAAAGAGAGAAAGCGAGAAAGAAACAGTTGGCAAGATATACATCTAACCGAACTCAACCCTGCCACGCGCAATCTGCATCGCCTATCTGGAAATAAGGCCACACGCGAGCTTCAGGTAAAGAGGACATATATTCAACGACTGCTGCCCTCGACCTTGTGAGCGAAACAGAAATCTGAGCATGATGACCTGTATCTCCGCGTATTGCTAGTCACTCTTGGTGAATGGTACAGATTCATCTCACGTCAAGACAGTAGAAGGAACAATGTACAACCGGCGCAATATGAACGCAGTAGTGGTGTGCCTAGAAGGAGCAGAGGATTCCCGCAATGGGTTGGGCAACCAAGGTAGCCAATTACCATGATTCCCACTGCCGCAATGAACTGTGAGAAAACACTATAGAGTACGGGATCTGAGTTCACACTTATTTGAAAAGAAGTGAATGTGGTATACCGTTTGCTTCAAGGATGGGTATATGTTACCGTCTAGGCTCCGTTGATTGACCCTGTGTCATGGAGCCGGAGATGGGCTTGTACTACTTTGTGCTGTTCGAGTATAGCGTCCAGAATGCAGGGCTTTACTAGGGAGTGGAAATCTTTCCACCAACGATGCAATACGTGACATTTACCACCAGCCACAGAAGAGCAATTGACGATACATCATTTACTGCTAGCTCATTTCACACAGGCATATACGCAAACACAAGGACACTAGCTTGTTGAATCTGCTTGAATTGCACTCGTTACATCCAACAACCGCAACATCAGGGGTGTGTATATCTCCTCCCCTCACTCTCTTCACCCACTTCGTCTGCGCACCAGCATCTACAATCTTGTCCTATGCACCGCACTGCTATACATTAACGCCCAGATATATCAATCGACAGAAAAAAAAAGGTATTCCTCATTCATCAGATATCGTCCCCAGTCCTTATTGCTCCTAAAGTATCCAACAGTATAGAACAATGCATTACAAAACAGGAAGAATAGGATTGAAAAGCCGCCCAGCAACTCCAATTCAGAAAGAAAAAAAGACACGGTCTTGAGATCTTGAACACCTTGACGAGGATGCTTTGTACAGGCGATGCGTAAAAGGGTAAACAAATGCCGTTGATATACAGAGGACGCGCCGTTTATGTGTGAGAAGGGTAAAGAGGTTTCTTGCCGACGCCACTACCACCGAAGGGGTATCGGGTATCGCTGAACGTAGGACGTGGTCGAAGCGAGCGACAAGCGGGCGTGTCTCGTTGTGGCGAAGGCGAAGACGTAAGATCCAAAATATAACGCCCCAGGCTCCATGCATATGCCTTGCGAAAAGGTCGAAAGAGATGCGAACAGTCTATAATTACGTGCTTTTGTGCGATCAATCAGAGAATCCAGTCTTGAGGGTCAGGGGGTATTTGTCGTCTGCCATGTGCCACATTAAGGTAGTCGACTCGACATAAATGGGTCTCGCTAAGAGAGTATAACAGATAACTGAAAGCCAGCAGTTTCTGTGCAGAAATCTGTACGTTCACTCCTTGCAGTCGTCCATGAAGGAGTTCTTTGGCCAGTCGTACTTGGTAGATTTCCTGATTTCAGTTAGTATGCTCTATGCCAGCGTGTTTGATGTGATGAAAACGTACCAGTCAGTGAGGTTGGGGTTCGCGTAAGGCTCAGGGTGAGTCCTGATGTACTCTGTGGTCTCGTAACCCTCAGGGTCGCAAGTCATCATTTGGGCATCCTCGGGCTGGTAGATGCGGATGTAGTCTATCCGCATGATAGCGGGAAGGTCATTGGCCTCAATATCCTCGATGTTGATGGCGGCGAAACTGTTTGACATGCCGAAATTGGCGATGATGGACATGGGCTCTTCAGGAATGGTTCGAGTACCGATGTTGCCGTTGGCACGTGTCGCTAGTGCGTTCATGGTCCAGGTCTTGTCCTCTCCAACATACCACGTAATGAAACCCTCGTCACCAGTCTTATATTCGAACGAATAAGTCTGGTACTGCTTGCCGTTGTACCAGTCATTGTTCAGGTTGGTCAAGCCAGAAATAGCCTGTTGGAAAGGTCCACCCTTGTAAGCGTTCATTGTGGTGATCGAGGTATCGTAGAGTTCCATTTGTTCTGGCTGAATGTTAGCTTGGCTGAGAGAAACAGGAGACTGAGAGCTCACCATAATCAGGCATGTACCAGGTGTCGAATGGAGCGGCTTGGAAAGACTGAGATACGACACCGATAGCGTTGCTCTCTCCAGGACCAAGGAAATGGACTGAACCTTCAAGGGCATCGATCTCGGGAGCGCTTCGTGATTTTCCAGGACTGGGGTGATCTTCGCCCTTGCAGGTGCAAGCGGGCAATTTCATACCAGGCAAGTAGCTGAGACCGTCGTAAGAACTCTGGTTGGGTGTAATACCAACATCGCACTCATCGTGGTAGCTGTATGGCCAGAGGCCTTCGGTAGAGGCCAAGTAACCGGGACGAGCCAGGTTGCCCATGGTCCAGAAACCAGGCCAGAAACCAGAAACATTACCACGACCGGGTAGTGAGATGGAAGCCTCCAAATGGCCACCCTTGTAACAGAGCTTGTTCCACGACTGGATCATACCAGAACGGTAATCGAGGCCGTGGCTAGGCTCCTTGGTAAACTTCAAGGCGAGATAACCATCTTGAGTGAAGGCTTGGTCGGGATCGTACCACTGCGAAATGTCAGCTCTGGCCACTCAGAGCGGGCGCATCAAAACTTACCTCCAAATCCATAGTAGCACCGTACCAGATGTCAACAGCTTGGAAAAATGGGTCGTCACCATCATAAAAGGTGCGACCGGGGGTGTTGAATTCGTCTGAAAAGACGAGAACTTGCTTCTCGCCATTGTAAGATGTTCGCGTCTTGACCTCGTCGGGGGTGTCCGGATCGATGAGACCTCTCCGGATGTTGGTCAGTAGCGGCTCGGTTTGCTTGCCTTCTATACAAAGAGGATTATCAGTGCAAGGGCCTCTTTCGGGCTTCGTGATGTCCTCGACGAAGGTGCTGGTATTTGTTAGTGCGATAGCAAACAATGGAGGCACGCAAAGACGTACAGAATTGGATAACCGATGAACAGCATGAGCAGACCAAGCGCGAGAATGGCCAAGCCACCAAGATTGACTATACCTCTCCTTGTAAAGATGTCGCAGTCTCTCTTGTCCTTCTCGTTGGGGTCGGGATTGTGCAGGTAGTCGTCCTTCTCCACATCTTCCGGGAATAGCAACAGACCGGCTGACGGGTGAATGTTGAACTTCTCAGACACGGTCTGGGTGTTCAAGTCTTCTTCGCTGCCGGCGCGCGACGGGGCTCGGGAGTCGTCAAAGGGCGAAGCAAATGGTCCTCCTGTCATGTCTGAACTCCAACTTGTCCGCCGCGAAGAGTAGCCAGAGGGCGACTGCATGGGCGATTCGTCGCGGTAGGAGCGCGTGCGCATCTTCTGAGGCGGCAGCAGCATCTCGGCCGACTCTGCAATGGCTGCATCGCTGTAGATATGGGGCGATCGGATGCCAGGACTTTGGCTTGGTGCAGTACCGGGACGAGTTGGCTGGGTCAAGGAGCGGGCTGAATTGGTTCGTGCGGTGCTCGGTCGCACGGCAGGCGGCGGCGAGTTATCGTCGGTGGTAGGCTCGTGAGAGCCCGAGTTGAGGCGGAGATGGGGAGGCCCACTTCCCCTAGGCGATTGCGGCATCATGGTGCGAGGGAGCGTATGCGGTAGGGTTGGCGATGTGTTGCGATATGTTGCGATGTGCTGCGACTTTAGATGGCCGGGCAACAGGAGGCGTGTTCGTCAAGGTCGTTATGCAGGTGAAAACGAGTGTTGTGGTAACCTGCAGGCAAGGGATGAAGCTAGTAGGAAAACCACGAATGCGAAGTACCCTAAACCCTATCGCTATCACTGCTGATTGTCGGGGAGCAGGAAAGAGGGCGGCGTGCAGAACGTGAGAAAAGTTGGGGAGGTCGAGGTTCAAGGGGAGGTGAATCGATGGCTCCTGGCCCAAACGGGGGGCGCCCGGGATAAGGGACTTGGCAGGGCAGGCGGTCTTCAACGGCAGCAGGCGCGAATGAGTGATGACGCACGACTCGACTCGACTCGACTGGCAAGGACGCAGATATTGGAATGCGATGGGCAGCGAGGGTGGGATAATAATGCAACAAAGAGCGAAGCCGCGTGGTGATGTGAGGGAACAACAAGCAGCAGGAATGGCGCAGTGTTCATAGGGTGGCAAGTTGTGTGGATGGTGGGCGAGCTTGGGGCTTTGTTCCTGACCGAGTCGGGCCCACACGGTTCAGGGAGGGCGAAGATCTCGAAGCACTACTAAGGAGCGGCCAATCGTCTCTGGCACGGCGCTTGCATGCGGCGACGAGAGAAAGGCCCGCTTACGCACACCAGCGGGAGCCTTGCTAAATTTACCACGACGTTTCAACACTTTTGCTCAAGCTCTCCTATGGTGGAGCCTGTCAAAAAGTACTCAAATTACCTGTCATGCGTCCTTCAACTGTCCAAATCTCGTGCTGTCGTCTGTCTGTTTGCTGTCACCCGCTCCCTATCGACAACTTCACCCAACATGTCAAGACCCGCTGCCACTGCACCCCGCCACGGTACATGCGATTGTTTCTAGGGAAACCTCCTGCACCCGACCTCTAGCTCTGCATATCCCCTCTCCTCAACATGGCATTCCAAGAAATCATACCGCTTTGCACGCGCAATCGATAGCCTAAGATCATCGCAGCTACCATTACGCGTCGGACCACATATAATAACCCGCAATCCCCAACCTCGCAAGCGCCTGACGGTACCGCACTTGATACATGTACGTGCGCTCGTGCTCAACGGCCGTTGAGAAGTACCTTCACCATCTTATTTCGTGTAGACCATCTCGCCCATCGTATCGTTGCCGAACATAGCGTGGCGATCTAACCCCGTCCTTTTTGATCCTTCCCAAATCCTTCTTCTCGGATCCCCGAGACGTCGATTGGCCTATGCTCTGTTTGCCCATCCCTCGCAGTCGCTACCATCAATCGTCGTCGGCTATGCATCCTACCCCCTCACTTTATCTCGTGCCAACCTAGACTACTGCCGTTGCCCGGCTTCTTGACATTTGCCAGCCGTTCAATGTGGTTGAGACGGATCCATCTCCTTGTCCGGCGCCAAGCGCTACCTAGGGTACACCCGAAATGAAGCTCGGAGGCGCAGCAACACAGCGCTGTTCTGGAACCTTGCATCGTCCGGCCGAGGCATAGCCGGATTGGGCGGACTAGTGAGCTTCAGCAGCCAATCAACATGTCTGTCGACACGGCATTGCAAGGCTGACATCTTGACGGATACGAGGCTGGCGGCCAACGAGCTGAGTTTAATAGATCAACCAAGTGTACTCGCTATCTTGCTGAAGGTTCTTGCTACTGACGGTTGGAATTGCGCTGCGCGACTCGCGCTTGTTGCGTGGATTCACCAATGCCTCGTGCTTCGAGCACAGGCATCATGCCGTCATGCATGTTTTCTTATCCAAACATGTCCAGTAATTCAAGGAGGAGGTTTGGAGAAAAGAAGTCGCATCGCACTGAAGCCCAAAGCATTGACCATCGTACATTGTAGAGATGCAGCTACACAGATCAACAGTCTTGTACCATACACATGACTCAAATTGTGGTTGTTATCCAACGTCCGCGAGTATTGTGCCAAACCGAGAGGGCTGATCGAATCAATACCCGGAACGTTGAACACGCAGATCTACGATGACCGAAAAGCTTGAACCAGAACTGAATTTCTGACGTCGCATCATAGCCTGCACGCTCCACCATCTGTCAGCAGTCCCTCGTCGACTATCCACCATATCCCAGCATCCCTCATGTTTCAAACGGCGTTATTCGCGCCATGGTCACCCACGCGCATGACCTCAACTCGTTCAATGTAGATCGGCATGTGTACAATCCGTCTTGCGCATCATAGTTCATCTCATTTTCCTGTGTGCAATGCAAGCTTACGACTCCACAGCAAGAGCTTTGAGGCCCACGATCCTGCCGTTCTTGTCATCGACTGCCACAACGTAGTACTCTGCCCTCGTGCCCTCGAGCTCCACCCTGAAGACCTTTACGGTGCCGTTCCCGGCTTCCTTCACCGCCTCCATGACCTTTTTGTATTGGCTTTCCAAGCCGGTGTTCTGAACCTGTTCCACGTTGGAGTTTCCGATGAGTGACTTCAGGTCCTCTGGGTCATTGTTAGCTGTGTCGTGCTGCTCGCAAGGCCGTGCAGGCGGAGAAAGGATTCCTACCAGCTGATACGTTGTCACCCTTGAATTCTAGCGCAACAGGCTCAAACGGTTCATCTGAATCGCTAACGTAGTACTCTTCTACCTGTTCTAGTATCTTCGGCACGGCAGTGTTTACGCTCTTGGTACCATAGCTCTTCTTCTGCGACGCGTCCTTGGTCTCCGCCGAGCCGGTGTCTTGATTTGCTTTGTCGAGAAAAGCGGCGTAGTCTGCGTCGGAAGACATGTTGTGAAGGGTGGATCGCCGATCAAGCGAGTTGGAACTAACACGTGTGGAGGGGAAGGGACGTGGGACGAAGGCGCTGGAGTAGAGGGTACGACGCGTGGGTTGGCTGTTTTGGACACAGGCGCAGAACGATGAGAAGGTTCTACGGTGGATGAGCCGCTGGATGGTGTGTAATACTGTAGGAATATTTGTCTTGTCCGCGTAGTTCTTTGTGTGTACTGGATATCGAGGGGGACGTCGAAGCAGCCTGTCCATGGTTTCGCGATTCCACGCGGTGCGATGACGCAACGGCTAACTGCGGGCATTTCCACGAGCAGTTGCGCGACCCCACCATGTACACACCAGGGCCTAACTCTCTATGAACAACGACATCACAAGCCCTATAGACCAACAGTCGTAACGATTCGAATCGCATGCGCAGCAAGTAAAACGCAAATTCAAGCAAGAAAGGCATTTTCATTCTCGTAGTTGATTAAGCAATACACACAACAACCCGCAAAAGGGCGAAACCAATGTAAGGTGCGCAGGGTATCATCGCCATGCGGAAGGACGTTACCACGTCTCTCCGATATTTTGCCCTCCAACTAGACATCCTCAACTCCCCAAATTCCAGGTAACTAATGTTTAAAGACAAGAAAAGTATTGTTGAACAAAGCGGCCTTACATACAACGCCTAAAGTCACATTCTCTGGTTTCCTAACCAGACTTTTGCTCAGCTGGAGTGGCTGCGTGAGCAGGAACGCCGTTCGTAGGCGCGTTGCGAGGGCTGCTGCGCTCAGACTTTGGCGCGCTAGGCTTCACGTCATCACCCTCATCATCGTAGTTCTCATCGACGTCCATGTGTCGAGCAGCCGGCTCGTGATGTTCCGGTCGCTCCTGTTTTGGTGTTTCCGACATGCGAGACAACGGTCGCGCAGCTGCCATGGGTGGAAGCGAAGGCGGGTGGTGAGCCGCCTCAGATGGATGGTACCCATCGTTGAAGCCACGAGGATCAGGCCCCTCTCGGGGGCTCTGACGTGGCACTTGAGGAGATGACATGCGGTGTGGGGGAGTTGGACGACGGCTGTGAGGCTCTTCCATCTTCTGACGCTTTTCTTCGTTCGAAGGAGGCTTTGCGCTCATGTGATCAGATTCAGCCTCCCATTCGCGGTGTCGTTTGACTGGTGGGGCGGTCGGCGGCCTGTCGTCACGTTCACGGGCTGCTTGCTCAGCAGCAGTTTGGGCAGAAGCTGGCGGAGGAGCTCCGCTAGCAATACCACCGGTGGCAGAGGGATCAGCATGGTGTTGATATGGCCCTTGGTAGCCGTTCCGTGGAGATCCCGCTCGGTTCTCGACGATAGGACGCACTTCCGGTGGGGGACTTGTAGGGCGGACACCATAGGGAGGCACGGCACTCTGGCTAGGGGCTTGAGTTGGTGGGCCACCGAGACCGGTAGGTGGTGGAGGAGGTGGTGGAGGAACACTACCAGCGTGAGGGCCGTAGTTTGGATTGGAAATACGGTTAGGCTGGGGTGGCTGCTGTTGGTGCAGTGGTGGCTGAGGTTGTGCATGAACAGCCTGAGGCGTAAGTTGCGGAGGCTGAGGATGGTAAGGGCTAGGGGCAGCATGGTGCGTCTTCGGCGACGGAGACATGCCACGGCGCATTGGCCCTGGTGGACCTGGCGGCGGGGGGCCAGCTGGGCCTTGAGGACCAGGACCGTTTGTAGGAGGGCGAGAAGGCTCTGCGTATGACCTAGGTGCTTCCTGTCTTGGGCTTACAGGCCTTTGAGGAGCATGCTGAGTAGGTGGCCGGATGCCCTCGCGCTGCTCATAGGGGTTCAGCTGCTGCGGCGGAAGGCCGGGATCGCGAATCTGAGCGAGGGGACGATCCCATCCAGGCGCTAAGGCTGGGGGAGCAGGACCTTGCGGAGGTTGTTGAGGCTGAGGAGCGCCCCATTGAGGAGCGGTAGGGCCATGGACAGAAGCAGGCTGGTAGGCTTGAGGGTGCACGTCTTGTGGAATGGGAGCGTTGCCCTGGTTCGGGGCGCCTGCAGATGTCTGTCCGTTTTGCAAAAGCTGTAGGCGAGCCTTGATGTGTACATTTGACGGATCGAGATCGGCCGCACGCTGGTAAGCGTCAAGTGCATCCGCAGTCTGGTTGTTGCAAGACTCGTACTGCGCCATTGTTAGTGAAGAACTTCAACCTTCAGGGACAAGGAGCTACTTACAAGTGTGCCGAGATCGTACCAAACTTCCGAAATGTTAGGGTTGAGGCGGATTGCACGGGAGTATGCGTCCAGCGCGTCGCGGTACTGGTTGATCTGGTAGTACAGTACACCAATGCTGCACCAGAAGGTTGGGTTCCTGCCATCACGGTACACCGCTTGCTGATAGGCCTCGTAAGCTTTGGGGTACTTCTGCTGTGACATGTAGCAACGTCCAAGCAGGTACCAACTTTGCGCATCCGTTTGGTCTAGAGCGATGATTAGATACACGCGCATAACCACATGGGGATACAGTACTTACCGGAAGCAACAGACTTCTCCAGGTACTCAATGGCCTGCTCCTGGCTGGCGTAATTTGTGCTCTGCTGGTGGTGTAGCCATCCCAGCTGCTGTAGGACCTTGGCGTGGTTGGCATCACGCTCGAGGACCCGGCGATAGGCGCCCTTGGCCGCTTCGAACTAGAAATCATGTCAGTGGTGAAAGCTTACAAGAGTGGGTGGCACAAACCTCTTTCTGCTGTTCGTACACATGTCCAATCTGGAACCAGATGTCCTCCTCGGTCAGTGGGCGAGGAGGGTTGGTGACAATGTACTTGAAGCAGTCCAGACTTTGGTTGAACTTCTGCTGCTGCTTGTAGATTATGCCAAGGCGGAAGTAAATCTCGTTTGCCTTTTCGAATGTGGGTTCCATGCGCATGACCTGTGAGAAGGCCTCCTCGGCGTGCTCCAGGGAGCCATAGCGATCGTAGAGTATTCCGATGCCATACCAAAGCTTAGGCTCCTTTGGGTCAGACAGATGGTATAGAGCTTGCTGGTAGGCAGAGTATGCTTGCTGCAAGTCGTCCATCATCAGATAGCAGTGGCCTGGTCATGTTAGCGACGTGATGCGAGTGATGCGCGCAAAGTCCTTACCGAGGCTACCCCAAACGTCACCATTGGCCTGGTCAACCTTGAGAATAGTGCGCAGGTATTCGACAGCTGCTGGGAAGGCATCTTTGGTGCGCAAAATACACGCGATACCTTGCATAGCTGGCACAGACCACTGGTTGAATTTCAAGGCCTGTTCGTAGCATTGCATGGCGCCGTCGTAGTCTTGCATTTGCTCAGAGAGAGAACCTGCTGGGTGTTAGTTTGAGCCCACGCTGCATGCAATGGATACCAACTTACCCATCTGAGTCCAGACAGCCTCGGTCAATTGTCCCAAGTACTGCGATTGTGTCTTGGGCTGGTTGACGTGCGGCGGGTGTCCATTTACCTGCGCGTGCGCCGGATGCTGCCCAAGATGATGCGGGGGCATGCCCGTGGTGGGCGAAGGTTGCTGGTGTTGTGCCATGAAGGCTGCTTGCGACTGATCAGGCTACAATGCGACTGGTGCGCTACGGAAGCCGCGACAGTGATGGAATGGTTTGGTGGTGGGGAAGACAAGACCAGAGCAACTTGATGGGTCGCCGTGTTGTCTATCTAAATGAGTCAGGAGATGGAGTTTGATGGTTGTGGTGGAGGATGGATACGTACAGTCGGGCGTGGGAGCGCGTCTTGCAAGCGTACTGACGGGTGCGAGTCGAGGCGTGGAGAGGTTGGCGCGGAGAACGACAACAGCGCGCAGAGGAACACGGATGGTGTGGACCCCGACTTGGTTCTACAGTGTCGTATGAGAGCAACAATGTTGTGGTCTTTGCCACGGGGTGGGTTGAGAAGGAAAGACTGATGTGAGATGCAGCCTCGTGGAAGAGAAAACAGATGAGGAAGCCGCAGACCAACAGATGGAAGGGGCGCTCCAACGTCCCTTCCATCAGACGTGGGTAAGGGGACCAGATGTTGCAGGGATACACTTCTTAGCGTCCACGCTAAGAAAGACCCACTTCTGTGGGCATCTTGCCGTAAATTACGTGCCTAGCATCGCAAAGCGCTGGCTATCCGCCGCGACCCATGCTTCCACCGGCGCTCTCCTGTGCCACAGCAACTTGGTACTAGGTAACAGACGAACCATCTTTATTAATTACTTAGCACCTTTTCCGCCAGAGTTGGCAATGGTGCCAAATGGTGCAATGTTTCAGATTGTTCCGTGCGGATCTGGTACCGTTCGTCCCAGGTTCACCGAACAGCGGAGCCGATGGACTGACACGCTACCGCTATTACGCTATATGCATCTAGAGGACAGATCAATCTTGTTTCGCCGATTTTCTACTGCCATAGTTATACTGCCAACGCAGAACGCCACAGCTTCTGCCTGAACAAGTTAAATGGGGTCGCCGCCGTTGAGCTATCCATGGATGGTTCGAGCATCAACTAGCTTCAACTACCACGATGCACCATAATCCACACAAACCTTGCTTCAGTGTCGCTACACACAAGGCGACCATCACGTCGCGACACCCAAAGTCGATCGTAGATATTTTGTTTTCCCGAGACTGGGTCCTCGCGCAGCGGGGCTTTATGGGAGGCGTCGCCAGATTGCCATGCCAGCCACTCAGACCCCAATCGTCGCCCTACGACGCTCAGCCTGCGAAGCCCACTAGGCAAAACGGCATGGTTTTCATTTCGGAAATCGCAGGAATGGGCTGATATAGGGCCTGCAAAAGGGGGCACGAGCGACGACAATGGTGCTGACACAGCTGGTGCGCACCCACAGACAGTGCCGTCCAAAGGCCGGGGGCGGGCGATCAGCCAGCCCTCCACATGAGAACAGAGAAGCCTCCGTCGTCTGCTTAGCGGCTCTCGGCATGCATCGTAATGTGACGCAGTTGTCCTCCGCTCCCGCGTCCTCGGCAAAAAGGCTCGTGTCACCCAATCCACCCCCTGCCGCAGCCTGAATCTGACAAGAGTCGATCATTAGTTGGCGCATGAGCATGCAACCGGGATTGCGTCGCCTCGGTGCAGGACCAAGCCGCTGGCATCTGCCGCCCTTCAGTCGAGCCATGATTGCGTCCAAATTCCTTGGCTTGCTGCAGCCCACCGTACCCGTAGCACATCTGTCGATACCGTTTCCGTCGTTGGTGTCCACGGAGCAGCGTGACCGAGAAAAGGATATCGGGCCGCCGCTAACGAAAGCCCCTCTCTTAGCATCTGGGCTCAAGAACCGCACCCACGTGAAACTCCAAGCTTGTGGATCCAGGGCTGGCCTGCGCGCGTCATCACAGCCGTGCCGGTAAGCGAGGCTGTTTTTAAAGGGACTGCTGTCTTACCAATGCGGAAGGTCCATTCATCTGCTTCACCCAAATCTATTGTGCTGCGACTCCCCAGCTGCCGCCACTATCTCCAATGCTCTCTATACATAAGATGCTTGGTTGCGGCGGATCTGTGCGGTAACGGCGAGGCGCACGCGAAACGCACCAGCAGCATGTTTCGTCGCAGTGCGGTCTGTCAGGTCGAGGCTCAGATCTGTCTCGCGCCCGTCCACCCGCGTCGTGACCCGAGAACCCGAGTATGGTTGGTCGTGGATATATAGACTTTCACTTCTGCCATCAGCGACATGACTTCTGTACGCACTACTACTATCGTCTTTTCGAAACGTGTTATGTGGGACGATGAAGGATGAGCCTCGTCTTGGCACCTCAGCTGGCGGCTGCGGCCCGGGGATTTTGCTGAGTCCATCATCTAGTTGCCTGGCGAGCGGTACCCGGTAATTGCTTCTGACTTCTCTACATCGCTAGCCCTTGATGAACTGCTTCGCAAGCAAACATGTCCATAACACAGGGAAGTATCTATCAATAAACTGCCTCCCCGCATTATCGAGCAAAGCTACGTATTTAGCCAATACACCTCGCCCATGCCAGCGGTAATCCATGGTAGCCCCCTACCTACTATCGCCCCTCACCTAATGTGAGATTCATCCGAGTGTTGCACCAAGCTTGATGCTTCCTCTCACCTGCATGCTGCGCGCTGCGCGCTGTCACGTACTATTATACGACTGGCAAGCTCTCGCTCCCCGGAGTGTACAGCAGCTGGAACATGGCTCTATCCGCGAATTGCTACGATCTTCCCCTCTACGATGCTTTCCGGGTGACTCTGCATGTAGCTAATGCAGCTGATCGACGGACCCCGGGCGACATAGACGAGTGGTTGGTGACCGCCGTTGGCTGACAGGTTGTGCACAATCGCTGTTCTGTCGACATATTGCTAGTCGCTGCTGGTGGAGGAAGGTCAAGCATTTTTCCGATACCCACTTATCGCCCCCACTTGATCCCTCGATTGTCAAAGCAACAGCGTTGCATGCCCATAGCAAGCTCAAAGGAATGGAAAGGCGCATGATGCGTTGTGCCACCTTTGCATCATTGTCAGGCCTCCAGATCCCGCCGTTCACTTCGTAGGAGCCTCCAACGGTCGAGACTCATCATGCCGTCAGGATCTCAGCAATGTGTTTGGCTGGAAACCTTGGTTCGTGTATGCCATGAGCTTGTCATGAAGATGTTCGCCTCAGGGTTGTGTGGGACCGAGCGGCCTCTCGGTGCAACCCTGGGAAAGGTGGGACCACATCCACCCTCCGTCCGGGATGACAATCCCGAGGTTGAAACGGGCTGCATGAGCAATCATGCGGGCTGCAGGCCGTCTTTATCAAGAAAAGCAAAGATGTAAGCAAGGGCACGGTGGCTGATGCGGCGCTTTTCGCTACGGCTATCGTCGCTCTGTTGCCGAACCGATGCCGCAGGGAGAGGCAAGTGTTGTTTACATGCAAAGCTGCACGCTGCGAGTGCCTTTGACTCCAGGCTCTATTTTCGTGTTGCACGGATATACCGCACGTTTTATTAAGTCACAATCCAAAATTCAGAGGGTAGATCACCGTCGCAATTCCATGAGTCAAGCGCCATCTGCCAGGGTCTATCAATCAGTCGAAAGGAATTCCTTTTCTCTCTCAGTACAATATGGCGACGCTCAACAACCATGGTTCAGGCACACGTCTTTCACCGCATCGGAGCGCATCACAACCTCGCAATGTGGCAAGGACAGCTTCGAAGCCATGTCTGTTTAAAGTTGCATGAACCGGAAACAAACAACGGAGAATGCCGCATTCTGGATTGACCAACACTAATGCTATGGATGTGTCTGCGCTTATACACGACAACCAGTAATATCCAAATCAGATATGATTTCCAGAAGCTTAATCGCATGATGAGGTGGGCGCAAATCAGCCTTGGGACCCTGGAAGGTAGCTGTATCGCGTCTTCATCACCTTGGTGTGTCACTACATGAACACACAGGAAAGAACGCGCCTTTCGCGACTACACCGAGCACGATTCTCTCACTCTATAATACATCATATTTGTTCTTTCCTTCTCTTACTTGTGTTCTTGCGCTACTTCTCCATCATACAACCTCAACACGAGGTGGCGCGTCATGGTTGCGATTGTGTCTTCCGTCTCTGTACTCCATACCACCGTGCGCCATCTCATCTCACCAAACGCCAGCGCGGTAGATCCCACTATCAATAATCGAAATACATCATGGCGTAATGAACAATCGTCTCTCTCTCTCGCCTCTTACCTTTCTTCACTGCTCTTAGCGGCTGCACTTGCGCCGTACTTCTCCATTCCGTCGGATCCACACTGTCACGCTTGCGAGGTGGCAAGAACATACGAAATAATGTGCAAGCAATGGATAGACTTCTCGCTTACCCCTACTGGGTTCCAATCACAATATGGGAGAAGCTCCATATGGACCAGTTCAAAGAGTCAAGAGCCTACAAAATGATCAAAGCGGCATACGACGCTAGAACAGCATACACAACGACAAGCATTACAGATCCGACATATTAACTATTAGCGTCGAAGCCAGTCCCGGCACAAGCTCACCAGGCTTCGACTTCACTTTCAACTTTAACACTATCGTTGGTCCTGAAAATCTCAACATGAAGATCACTTCTGTGTCATTCCGCACTATTATTTTGGACTTCACTAGAATCTGCTCGACTGCGCGGGAAGCCGAGGTACTGAACCTGGCGTTAGCGAGGGTTAACATTGCTCTGCATGGCAAGCTTGAGATGGTTGTCAAACGTCTGAATATTGATGGGTACTCCACGACAGCTAATGGTGGCGCAACTAGCGCTAGGAATGAGCACGAGAGAGAGGAAGATAAAGCCCTGGGTTTCTAGTAAGCAGAGATTGCGAGAACATGGGCTTCAGTGTGGATAGTATTAGTATCGGCAAAGCATGTTTCCCGTAATAGGTACATGTACATTAAGCGCCAGCAATGGTATCCAATCTAGCTCCACTGAACTGGAAGGCGTCGCGCAGGCTCGAATGGAGACATTGTAGCGTTGCAAGCTACAGAAAACGTACGGTCTCGGATCACCTTCACGTTTCTGCGTTTGTGTGACAACTGATTATAACTGAAATAGTGAACTAAGGTAACTCTTTAACCACAATGAGCATTTGATAAATGAAAGCCATTACTACTGATTCGATTGGTATTTCCTCACACTATCCACGAAACTGCTACAGGTAAGCAATAGTTCCAATGCAGTATTACCATACACTGGCGCTCTTACACTAGCCTCCTATGGCTGCTCTAGTGCCACTGCGAAAGCTGGAAGCAGGTGTGACATCGTACTTGGCAGATTGTTCTTCAAGAAGAAACCAACTCATATATGCGGTAGGCAAGATGATATATCATCCTAGAGATCTACTTGACAGTTGTAGATGTACTATATCTGGCTTTCGCTATGGCACTAGAGGGATGTCCTAGGATTCGGTCCGAGAGCTGCAACACCATAGGATTGCACTTGTATGGACTAAGAACTTCAAGACTATTATCATACACCCTGCCTTTGTATCATGTCCTGTTTAGGTCATTGCTTTCAACCTTGCCATTGATCCTATCTTATTTCCTACCTTTCAGCCACCTCGCAGTACAAACACCAAGTTACCTAGTGCTGACTGTACCAAGCCGCAAGGACAATAATCAATTCTCCACATCCCGAGGTTAACATTGGGGAAATAGTACCGAGCGCAACAGGCTGCCGGTTACTTCCGCAAGCCGCCCGTTTCATGACAGGTGTAAGCCCTAACACGCGGCATTTGGCACCAAGATGTATTCATCTGCATTCCGTTCCGAGATTTGTAACGAAATGTCAGTGCTTGAAAGGCTTTGCTTGTCTTGGCTTCCCTTGGAAGGCACATCACAGCGACGGATGGAATTGACCCGCACCCAAGACTAATCCAAGCCGTATACGTACGTAGATACTCCAAGCCTTGATTTGCATGCAAGGCAGATTTGGAGACAGTGGCACCAAAGCCTCGACGGCACAATGAACACGTATAGAATGAGATAGGGATACCTTTATATCGATACTATTACACTCTGTACCCATCCACTCCCTTAGAATCCAACTTAGATAAACGCAAACATCCAGGGTATATATGTATTCCGAAACTCCCATGCGCCGTGGAGACAGAGAAAGCTTGCCAGAGAAATGGCAGTCCTGACATGATCGGACCGAGACCCGGGCCGTATCGCGCATGCGTCGGAGCTTAATGCACGTGTGTTTGCTCTCGCAGCCTCGCAATCGGTTCCTGTTGGGAAGGTGGGCGTTCACTCCGGCCTTGTTTCGGCGGTAGCTTGTCCCACGCACAAACTCAAGAATGAAGCGTCATCTCCCTCAGCCCTCATCCTCTCAGAAGTTAACCAGCCAAGAAAAGTGGAATGATTCGGCCCTTCCCCACCCATCAATCCTGTTCTTTTCCCATATCCCATCCCCACATCTTTCCACAACCCTGCCGTTATTTCAACCGCGGCTCTTTGTCTTTGTTTTGTTAACCTCCACAAAAAGTCTCCGCTTTTATTTGTCGTCCAACGTTTATCGATCCATGGTGCGGCTTACTTGCTGACTTCTTGTGCTCCCGTTCGTTTCGTTACGAGCCGATTGCAATGGGATCGAGTTACTCTACTTGCTGACTTTCTTCCACATGCAGCCTGTACACATGCCTTGACTTCTGTTCATGACTTTGTGCTCTCTTTGTGTTTCTGGGCAGGGGTGTCCGAGTCGTAGCTTTTCTGCTTCTTCGCATATGCGTAGTATTGGGCCGTTGTTGGGTTGTGGTTGGGGTATCCAATGGTTGCACACGTGTATGGTGTAGACGATGTAGCACATGTTCAGGGCAGTGAGGTTGCGGTCGTATTGAGCGTAAAAGAGTCGCTGAGTGAGCGGTGCGAAGAGCGGGACGACGCGAATCGGTGCAATATACTTTTTGCTCAGGTCGGTTGAGCTAGATCTCTAGGCTCGGTCGATGTGAGGTTTCGGATTGTATTGTGATGCTCTTTGGACCAGCGATGAGCTCTTCTTGTATAGCCTTCTACTGCAATGGTGAATAGTCTCAACACCACCTCTTAAC